TTAGATACAAATTTACGGATAATGTCGGAAGGATACAAATTTAAAATCAATTAAAATAAGTCCATCAGTATTAGTGAGCGCGATCTATCATATCCAATTAAAATAATTATAATAAATAAGATGAGCTTATAGGATGATAGAAGCCAAAAATAATGAATTCTACTTGCAGAGTTTAATTGCATTCAATAAATCATTTAAAGTAACAAAAAAACGCAATATAACTTGCCTATACAATCAGAAATGGCAATAAAATCAGACAAAGGTTTTCATAAATGATACACGATCCCTTCGTTTCAGATATTTCAAATATTTAATGCATCTTTTTGATAACATTCTTTGGTAGATGAAAACATTTAAGGCAAAGAGTAACGTCCTAAGAACATGAAGGTATTTATGGAACAATTCACTCTGGTCGTGATGACGTAAAAGAACGGATGGTCAGCATTAAACCTCGGTTTCCTTGGATGACCAGTGCCTGCGCTTAATTTCGTAATGATAACCGCTAAAATAAATACAAAACGTCTATAAAAATTAAAAAAAAAAACTCAGTAGCATTTGCTGCAACACACATCAAGGACTTATTTGCAGATACAAGCGATCACATTGAAAGGTGCAAAAACAACAACAAACATTTTTCTAAACGTGTGCGCTATCTGTTAAGTCACATCCAACCAGAATAATTTAAACAAATTAAATGAAATGATAGGATAACAGTACAAGCCCATGAATAGATAGTGATTCTATATAGAAACGATTTTAAGAAGAAAAGAATACAAAGAGTGTATTCAAATAGAAATTTTATTTTGAAAGGCTACAAATTAAGTAGAGTGAGATTAAATTTCATGACTGCAGTATCTTCCTATAAATGGAACAATAACGGTGTTACCGGGAGCATCAATTTCAATCAAGTACAAGAATGGATGGCCAACGTGGAAGATTGGCATTGCTGATGCTGTCTTGATGACAACGCCTAGAAGTGAAACAAGATTAAAAAATCCCATGGTTACGAAAACGTATGGATATAGAACAGAGGCTATGACCGGACAATCGGGCGAATGCTCGGGGACCCCAAACGGTGTTAGTTACATCCTCCTCAGATCATACATATTTTTCTCAAATGTTACCCTCCATATTTTTTTTTAAGTTTCCCCCCATTCATGCATTTCATATTTATACCCGGGGCCTCAAAATCTAAACGACCTGATATTGAAAGATTGCGTGGATGGTTAAGGAAAAGCAGTGATTTTGCCCATGAAAAGAATGCCATCTATTTACGCTTTTATGGTAACCATAAAGGGATAATCCCTTTTGGAAGTTTTAGGGGATCCATTTACGGATAACCGCTCAAATAAATACGAAAAATCAACACACATCAATGACTTATATGCAGATCCAAGCAATCAAACTAAATGGTGAAACAGAATTAAAAAAAAATCCATCCTTACAAAAACGTTAGGATTTTGAAATTCGTGCAGTTACAGGTGTTAATTTAAAAGTTATAGACTTTTCCGAAGAACAGCACGAATTTGTTTGGATTAAATGCAAGAACGGATGATTGGCGTTGAAGATCTCTTTTTATAATATAAACTTGGTGTTCTGTGATTAACAATACCTCCAAAAAAGATAAAACATATTTCAAAAGAAATTATACTCAAATTGAAGTCCAACAAGATAAAAAAATATAATATAAGTTGTATTTTGAAGAAGCTGCAATTTATGATAAAACGTGTGTTGCCTATGCAATGGCAATCAATTCAGACAAAGGTTTTCATAAGTGATACTCGATCCGTTCGTTTCAGATATTTCAATTATTTAATTCGTCTTATTTATAACAATCTTTGCTGGATCAAAACATTTAAGGTGAAGAGTAACGTCCTAAAAACATGAAGGTGTTTCTGGAACCATTCACTTTGGCCGTGATGCCGTAAAGGAACGGATGGTCGGCATTAAATCTCGGTTTTCTTGGTTGACCAGTGCTTGTGGATACTAGCTCAATGATAATCGCTAAAATAAATACGAAAAGTCTATAAAATTTAAAACAAACAGCATTTGATGTAACACACATCAAAAACTGTTTTACAGATACAAACGATCACACTGAAAGGTGCCAAAACGACAACAAATATTTTTGTAAACGTGTACGCTATATGTGTTAACAGATCACAAATCACATCACATCAAAAATGAGGTGATAAGATAACAGTACAAGCCCAAGAAAATATACGCACCTTGGAAGATGATTCTATGTAGAAACTATTTTAAAAAGAAAAGAATACAAAGAGAATATTGAAATTTTATTTTGAAATAGCTACAAATTAACTAATGTATAATTGATAACTTTGATTATTGTCATCCATGGACAAATACGAAAACCGCGAGTGAGATCAAATTTCATGACCGGAATATCTTCCTAAGAATGGAACCATAACAGTGTTACCAGGAGCATCAATTATAATCAAGTACAAGAATGGATAGCGAACGTGGAATAACGGTATCCCTGATAATATCTTATTGACAATGTGTAGTGAAAACAGTGAAACTTGATTAAAAGATCGCGAGAATGGTTAAGGAAAAGAAGTGATTTTTCCCATGAAAAGGACGCCATCTGTTGACGTTTTTATGACAACCATGAAGGGATGGTCCGTTTGGAAGTTTTCTGCAATGCTCGGTGGCGGAACCAGTATTTCTAAAACAAAGCATTTGCCAAAATATAACCATATTCAGGGCGGCCGTAGGTTTGTGGCTATTCGATGGGGGCAGATAAACCCGAAATGGTGTAGAAATAGGGCCACAGAGATTTATATAATAAATTGATATAAATCTCTTTACAATAATAAACAAAAATAACCTAATTCATTGATATATTGCGATTTATTCGATTCGTATAGTTACAAATGATAAATTAAAATTTATAGACTTTGCCGAAGAACAGCACGAATTTGTTATCGCCGTTCGCTTTGGTTTGGATCAAATGCAAGAAAGGATGATTGACATTGAAGATCTCTTGATAATGTAAACTGGGTGTTCTGAGATCAATAATAATTCCTAAAAGATAAAACAAATTAGACTCATATTAAAGTCCAACTAAATCCATTACAACGAAATAATGTAATTTGGTTGTCATGGTGCTAATATAGCAAACAAGAAAGCTGCAAACGACTACTGTATTCCAGATACAAATGGAAGTTGCAACACTAAATACCAGTATCTTCTGTATGCATGAAAAATATATGAAGGACTTCCGTTAAAACTCACAGTACAAGAAACAGCAATGCTAATGTTTCAACAACAACCAAGAGAGGCATAACAATACAAAAACAAAATACGAGATTACAATGGAACAGAACAACGAAGAGTACAATGAGAGAGAGAAAGATAAATTTTAAATTTAGTTTTATTCATTGATTTTACAGTGATCCAATAAAGACTTTTTCAGATTATGGTTTGATGAAGCCAGAAAAACGTCCGAAGAAAGTGACAGAGTTTGCAGTATCATTGATTTTGACGTTGATATAGTACAAGAACGGATGGTCAGCATAGAATCTAGGTAACTCAGGATGGTTACCGACTGATGTAGTGCCGATGACTAAAATAACTAAATTGAATATGTTTAAATGGAGCATAAAAGAAGATTAAAAAACATATAACCTCCGAAAACCAACACAAACAATAAAATATATAATTTATTACAAAAAAATATATAATTATAAATAGGAACTATACTAACATTCAAAAGCGTCAAAGTTTGAAGCAAACAAAATATAGGCTGTTGCTTCAGAACAATGAACACAATGCAGAGACAAACATATAAATAAATTAAGGCGATGTCACTTTGGCAATGAACAGGATCTGCGTGGAATGCGATTTCCCTCTTTGAAGCAGAGCAAGAAAAGGACGGTTTATTTGAATGCCTTTCGGCACAATTCTATCGAAAATCACGTCTGGAAACACATACACATATTTTCTTGAATCCGACGATACATTTAATGATTTTGATTTAGTAATAATGTTTATTCTAGTATGGTCACACCCAGATTTACTTGTTTCTCATATATATATGCATGCATTTTTGATGATTTCAATAAATATTATAGTTTGAATAAAAAAGATCAGAGAAAAATGCAACCAGATGAGCAATTGTGGGATTGATAAGTTATATCACTTCGAAATAATATATGTGTTTAAGAAAATTTAGCAAGTAAAGAAAGACTACAAGAAATATTTTTTAAATAATGTGCATTTAGATAAAGTGCGAGTAGGTAACAATTTTTCAAGTACCAACCATTAATTTCCAATTATTCGGTTAGCTAGGGGAATTTAGTTTTATTGATTGCTTGTCTTTCTTTTCATGTATATTTAGCCATGAATAGGACTGTTCCTGAATGTACGATGGCAGAGATGAAGGGATGATCTACGTTGAAGTCTTCGGGATACACCAAAGAATCGGTTTGAATAGCTATACCTAAAACGGGAATGAGCGTAAGAAAAATTCAAACAATTTTTTTTTTAGAAAGAACTGCTACTATAGTTGCTTGTAAACATGGTTGCCAACTGTATAAATTTCAAAATATTTTGGCTTACACGAGGGTGCTCAACATGTATGTGATACTGCAAGTAATTGAATTTGCAATAAATAAATTGTAAACGTGAAAAGCGAAAGTTAAGCAAACAAATATAATTATATAGTTTTTGTTTGTTTTTAATGTTTCTGTACAGGTAAATAAATGTAGAGTATGATTCACAGCTCGTCACGAAGTTCGAGCCTGGTGAACGTGAGCAGTTTCCCAGAGAATAGGATAGTTTTTCCGGTAAATATGTGAAAAATGAATGGACAGTTTACATTGAAATAAGCCCGACTCAAATCCCTCTTCCTGCGTACTTTCACCCCTACAAAATAAAAGAAACCGTTCACAACGAAGCACAGTGTATGTTAGTAAATGTAAGAACCGTCACCATTGTTGGTGATAAATATGATCTGGTTAACCCATGCTCTGACTTACCAGTGGCGGCGGCAGCTTCGGCACCTTCTTCGTTGACTTCGATAAAAGCCTTTTGGATGACGTCGCTGACTTTGAGATTCTCATTTCCTTCGAGCAGTCCGGTGAGGTTTGGGTGCAAGAACAGAGATTCAAGTCCGACCTAAATGAGTATAATAGAAAATATATATATATATTATCTGTTTCATTAACTTAATTTCAATTCGTTACCATTTTCAGGGGATCGTTGAGATCAATCGTGGACTCGATCTTGAACTTGGGGAGGCTGAGGATAACGTCGGTGTTGTACAATCCTTCGGTGAGCTTGCTGAGGTCGTAGTTCGTGAGTTTCTGTTGGAGCTCGTCGATGCCGTCGATCTTATTGGGAAGGATGACGACCATGTTAACGTCCTCGTTCTTGTACGGCAATTGGATGATCTTGGCGTCTAGTTGCTTGTTGTTTCCGTATTTGTAGTTGTCGGTCTTGTGCATCATGTCGACTTCGACAAAATTGTCCTTGGAGGTATAGAATTTGTCCTTGGTGGTGAATTTCTTGTCGAACTGATTGGCCCAGTCACCCTTGAAGTAGATGGCGTTCACGAGGACCATGCGAGTAAGGTCGTTCAAAGAATCGGGCGAGATGAGGTCCTTAATCTTATCGTGGGTCTTAAGTGATACCCAATCATTAATAGCCTTTGCAGCTGCTTCGCTCTGGGAGAAGTCCAAAGCCTGAGCTTCCGAGTAGAAAGAGTTGGTGGCGATCTGAGAGAAGGATGGTTTCAGGGTAACGTCGTTCTTCACGTATACTTTGTTGGCGATCTCGAGGGTCACGTTCTGGATTCCATTCAAGTAGCTCATCAAAGATTGGAAACCGTCGGCGGAGAGGGTCTTCAATTCAGGGATCTGCAACACGTCGCTCATGACCTTAGCGGTCTGTCCTTCAGCACCCTGCTGGAGCAGCGACAGGATCGTATGCACGCTGATCGGCGAATAGATCAGATTTCCTGGATGCTTCTTCGAGATCTCGTTGAAAACCTTCATGGTGAAATCATTGTTGCCCTTAGTAACGATCTTTAGGTTATCGTGGGCCATGGCGAGAGTCACCACTGCGAAAAGTGCAAGTGCTGAAAAACAAAAGTGAAACAAATAAGTAACACTATCATATGAATGAATGGAACGCATACGGCTTAGATATATACCTAAACCTTTAGAAGAGGCCGCACTTTCATACATCATTATGTTCAATGTAATCACAAGCAGAAATAAAGGCAACAAATATTTATTCACGACAAATTAATAAATTTTCCCATACGTTCGGCAATAATAGTATAATTCGCATTACTCACTAAGTAAACATTGATGATGTCAACGGTTGTCACAGCAACAACAAACTAAAGAGCACGTTAAAAACGAAAAGTAAATCCATGCAACCAAAACAGCATCCAAACACGTAACCTTCAAATTTTGATTAAATATAACAATATAATATAATCTTGAGATAAATGTTAATTTCATCTTGCATAACATTTCAGATTCATTGTTGAAATTTTCTCACAAAAAAAAATGGAGATAAAAGAAACAAGATTCATTTAATTCATCTAAAACTGTTTTCGAGTCTAAAATTATAATAAAAGTTTATAAATAATAAAATTTTAATTTCTGGAATTAAGTTTCTGAAATGCATTTTGATTCGAGTTTGCGATTGTCTCATGTCTGTAAACAAGCTAATTGTTATTGGTCCGCTTGCAGCAGATGTTTATAAACAGTTCAAGGTTTATCTTCGTTTGGATATGATGCAACTTTTGAACTTTTATCGTGGGTTGGCGATAAAAATAAAGTCATCTCCTAAGTTGATTATTTAATAAACGTAAATTATACTTATTGTAATTTTACTTAAAAACAAATATAGAAGATTGTTGATTGATTATCTATGGAAGGCATTGGATGATACGATTTAGTTGAAAAGTTGCAATTAGAATCCAATGTAAATAAGATCGTCAATGAGCGTAGTAGTAAAGGCAACATGTGGGTCTTAATTGTAACAAATTAGCTAAATGAAACACGTAATCTATGTAACTCCTACAAAATAGGCCACGGTTTCTTAGACCTGGCACACATTAACGAGTCTCGTATAGATAGGCACGTATTCGCAACTATGCTTAAGATTTTCGTGATGTTGGGGTTCGTACTTTACGCGGTCGAAGGAGGCGGCAGTCACGATTATTGCCTGGATTTGACGCCTCAACCGCATGTCGACATCGAACAGGTGAGTTCAAAGTGAAGACATTGAAAGAAACTAGAAGATTGATTTGATCTTTTTTTCTGCAGCTCCTGGGGATGTGGTACGGCGTCGAGATCATATCGCATCGATCGGACGCAAAGCACGAGATCATCAAAGACGAAGCCTGTCCGGTTCTGTACTTCTCCGAGGACCGCACCCCGCGTTTCAACCAAGACCATCCGAGCTTCGCGTTCGGTGACTACGCCAAGGGAATCCCCGGTCACCAAGAAACCACCCCAAAAAATGACTGTAAGTGTTGATGAGTTATATCCATGGTAACCGCAATCGAAGTGCATTCGCGATGCTTTGGAAACGGGTTTTCGCGAGGCCGCACCGGGAAATCCCCAAGGACCAACGATCATCTTTGTTGTTTTTCTCTCACCGCTAAACAACTTATTTATATATTATACGTCTTACTTTCCAATAGTTCGCAGTTTCATATTCCGAGAACTTAATCCGAAATCACCTTTCAGTCATTGTTTTCTATAATAGTTTTGCTAAATTTAATTGATTTTCTACGAAACCACAATTACAGTAAAATAGATGTTTACATCTAAGAAAATAACATTTAAATAACTTAACTAATTAATAGTATTTTATATATATATTTTTTAATTTCACTAAATTTTAGTATTGTATTTTTCTGTAAAATTTCAAAATCCGTCAATTTTATTTTGTAAACAGGAAGCTTGACCATTAAATGTTAGTCTGCTCTTTACGCTAACGGTCACTAAAATATTATAATTCAATTGTCTTAAATATTAATTTAATGACTGCCAAACCGAATGAAAAACGCTATAACGTCTGAATATGGTCAATTAAGATTAATTACAATTATCCTAATTGAATTTCATGTAAATTGGCGATGATTAATTCGATTCGATCCGTTAATGACCAATTGAATGAAACGGATGGAAGATATAGAAAAAAAAATACGTGCACTTAAAAATAGAAGGCTGCGCAATTCCTGAAATATTAATTAGCTTCAATTGTTTGATGTCGCTCTCTGTGCACTGTCATTCATTCAATTATTTTCATTAGACGCATATACGTATCCGTCGACGAACGGTAACTATGACTACCGTGGCTATGGTAACTCGGAGGAGTACCGAAGGAGGAAGTACCAGGAGGAGAGCAAGAGGTTGCGATTACTGTGGGACGAGATGGGTTCGAACGTTGAGTATAATTTGAGGTACAACGCGACCAGGGCCGGATTCTGGATCAGCTCGGGTCCTCAGAACGGTAATACAAATTGATGATGTTATTTATTTTTGTGATTAATTTCCTTTCTCTCTTACAAGGCTCTCAATTGGCGACAAAATTCGATGGATTCGCCGGGGTAGTTCAGGTGCTCAAGGCCGTCGGTAATCACATGGTTCTCGTGTTCTGCCACAGATTACCAGATCCTAAACTTTACACTGTTTTATTGAGCAGAGTGCAGACCTTGAGTAAGCATGACGTGCACGGTGTCCATGGCCTGTTGAACCGTCGAGGATTGAGCACGAATTCCATAAGGAAGGTGTGCACGTACAGCGGCGCATCCAGCACTTACGCCTCGTCTGCGATCGGCGTTTTTGCAATGCTCTTCCTAAGCCGGTTCTGCTAAATTTGCGTATACGCGACCTCAAAGTTAATTATTATCCGATGGAGAACATTAAAGAAAGAGACAATCCAAATCCGATCGAAGGAACGAAGAGAGAGATATAAAAAGTGGAGAATCCCACGCGATGATGCATTAATTATACCGGATAATAAATATTCATGAAAGGACAAGCATCTAAAGTGCGGTTATTTATTATTCATCACACAATTTACTTATTTATTGGCGTCATTAATTGATCGAGTATTAACATAAAACCATAACAGTCGTTATTTATACGATCATCAATTGTTAAAAAAAAAAACAATTTATAGTCGCGTAAAATTTCAAAGAGAGCAAAATCTCAACAACAAAAATCCCCAGTGTAAATTTGTCATTTTGAATCATAAAATGAATCACACATGAATTTAGGCTTAGGTTTATATTTTACAAATTGTTATATATTTTTTAATCCTATTGTATATTTTATAAGTAAACGTATTGTAAAATAAATTTAAAAAAAAATAACAAATTAACAAGAATTAACAATTGCATTTATTATTTCATCGAACTAAAACAAAATTTAGAAAATATCTATCTTAATGAATATAACTTAAATCATCAGCTATCAAAAATATGAAATACTTTCAACTGAAATATTGATTCAATCTAATTTAAATATATTGTATGTATGTATTATATAAATATCGTTAGTTGAGAAATGTAAATCATGAATGCACGTCTATTAATCATCTGCGGTTTTTCTAATACTCAACATTTATTCTAGTTTATTTAGCAATAAACACTTCTATTATTATGTTATATTATGTAATAAAATAAAAATAAAGCAAATATTATTTACGAAACCACTGATTCATTTATAATATAAATTGTTACTTGTTTCAATTGCATAAACTTTGATTTTTAACTCTTATGTTGCTGTTCCACTGGGCAATGTATCAGGTCTTATATTATAAAATTATCAATATTTACATATTCAAACTTTATTCAATCAAAACTTTTAACTCTATTTCTACAGAATTGTTTATGATTATAATTGGAATTGTTTTTAATAAATATTTTAAACTTAATAAAGTTAATAATTACTGAAATAAACTCGAATGAATAAGGATTTTAAGAAATGCATTTGCGTCGGTGTAAATATGTTTCAAATTGTTTATGTCATCTGAAATGATGAAACGTCATCTAAAAATGGCAGTTAATTATGGAAATGTATTAATTTGGTTCCTAACAAGCGGAATATGAAAATACCGTGCGATCAAGTGGTTATTATGGGGTGACGAGATCATCGTATCATATTTTTCCGGGGTTTTTTTTAATTTTAGATCGAGCCGGAGGCCTCGATTGAGGCCACCGCGTCTCCCGTGACCCGAAGACGTTTCCGGCGGAAAAACTGTATCCCTGCAATCTCTTTTCGTCTCTATAGTTTTCTGGGGCGATGATAGGAGGCGACGCCGCTGCAGCAGGATTGCAACGGCGTCGGCGTCGGTTTCAGGAAGAACCCGAACTTTCCCCTTTAATAGTCTCGGTGCGGAATGGCGTCGGGACACCGCCGTCTGCCATACTTACAACGTGCAACCGCACACAATATATTTACACATATATTTATAGCGGACGCTAGCACGATGTGCGGGAGAATGAGTGAGAGAGTGAGTGATTAAGTGAGTTAGCGAGCAAAAGAGATTTAATTACGTAACGGTGACAACAACAATACACCAGCATATCGACGTCGATTATCAAAAAAAGATTCTGCTCGTCGCAAGTCGATCTCAATCGCAATCGACATCATCATCCTCATACTCATCATATGAGAGAGTCGCGCCCGCCGAGCACGGAGCAAGGAACAAATATGCAATACACACCACATAATAGTTCTAAAAATAAGTGATTAAATTTAGTATATAGCGTACACAGCAGAAGAGGCTTATTAGTTTTGCGCCGCGTGCTGAGAAAAAGCAGCTTTTTTCTTTCCAAACGCCACCAAAAAAATACCAAACCGAAAACCCGGTGGATGATCCGAAAATCTTCCGTAGCACCGTAAGTCTTAACATAATTGTCATTACCATAATAACAATAATAATAAACAAGAGAAAATAATTTTCACATCGTAAAATCGATAGGTCGAGAGATTCACATACGCAGATATAAAAAATATATATTAGCAGGAAGCAGGAAACTTAAAAATAGAAGGAAACAAACCGTTGAACTGCACTTTTTCTGCCACCATTATTATTTTCGCGCATACATCACTTTGTTTAGCTTATATTTTTTTCTTTTTTTCTCTCTCTCTTTCTATTGACACCGAATAAAAAAACAGTTGACAAAGCGCGTGGTATGAAAGCGCGCATCCTGCAACGATTCAATACCTTGCAATTAGCATCGTTGCTAGGTAATTGTTTGCAGAAACAAAATTTTAAATGATGATAATTTTCTCAAAATATAAGTTTCTTTCTAATATATTTGCATTTTTATGATTGAAAATTGCATTGTAAAATAGGTTTTAAAAAAACTTATAAAAGTTTACTTCAATTTATACATACGCAATAAAAGTTACGTCATATCTACTAGTACAGCAACATGTTCTAACCTCAAACTACTTATTTTAAGCATCGTACTTTATATATGTTTAAAAAATCAGGTTATAAAAACTTGATATTTACTAAAATTGCATATTTAGATTACTTAATTTATTGCAATTAGTTGCAGCAGTTGACTTTTTATTTTAATTTTTGTATTGTATTGAGTTTTTTATTTTGTATTTGTTATTGTTGCAATACATATTATTCTTAACTATAAACTTATTTTAAATCTGAACTTCGATTTACAATTTTTTAAATAATTTAATCATTGTTTATATATAAATCGCATCATCTTTTATATGTATCAAGTGTGACAGGTTGTAACCACAAACTTAAACCTCATCAAGTGCGTTGACACATACGAAACAATGCAACTAATTGCAAATATTCGAGCAACACGTGATAATCAGCGCATTTGACTTAAATAAATAATTGCATTCAATTAAAAAAATAATATATGATAAATAACCATTAAAGCTATGGATTTACATACGTTTAAAAAAAAACAAAAAAATGTACAGTGGAAACTCGTAGGTGTTAAGCAATTTTACCAAAAATCATATGATAATAATAATATGAATAATATTATTAAAATGATACTATCTACATTGCTACCTAAACAATTGGGTGTTGAAGCTATAATTGCAACTGATTTTACATTATTTAATGCTGATATTACCTATAAATCTATAATTTTATAATACTTCTCTAAGCAGAAAATTATAATTAATTTTAAGTATCGACTCACAAACTTTTCATTGTCAATTTTTTGTACAATTTGAGCACAATCCTCTGGAATTTAGTTTAGATATTTATAATTTAGTTCAGTTGAATTAATCTGCCATTACTAAAATTATTCTTTGAACAAGTTTGAGTGATTTAGATGCAAGTGGACTAATGTGCGCATATTTTAATTCTCATTAAGAACTGGATTTGAATATTTAAATGTTTAGGCGTAATGCATTAAACTTATTTCGTATTTCTTTCAATTAATTTTGTTTTATTTATTAACCAACAGTGTTTAATGAGTTAACCATTTTTTAGTAAACTAAATCACTTAAATTTGGATATAAGCAAGGTATTTAAAAATTAATTAATACATAATATTGATTAAGAAATTTAGTTAACTAGCAATTGGATTTGCTAAACGAATACGTAAATTTAGTATTAACGACTGTCGCAGTCGAAGAAATATTCAAGGTAAATTATCGAACCGGCTAGTTTTTTTTAACGTCGTCAGATGTAAACCTGAAAATCTGGTCGTTGCGCAAATAACCCAGTCGCAGATCGTTTTAAACCAATTAGTGGATAATTCGTATTCCTATTTATCGCAAAAAGAAAATAACGAAATGAAATAAGAGTAAACCGCGATAAGTCGATACATTTAAGAATGCGCGATAATCGACATGCTCCAGTTTAAGCATTTCAAAAATTGGACTTGCATTTTTTTCATTTCAAACAAAGATTTATAAATTCCGAATATAGAAATATCTTTTCTTGTTTATAGAATAAATAAATAATTTTAAAAATTTCAAACAAAATATTATAAATAGGAAAAATATTCAATATGATGAAAATAATACGAAAAATTGGAAACCATTCAACAAACAATAAACTATTGAGTTTTTTTCATGTACTGTTTCGGAGTCACAAACGAATTGCTTTTTCATTGTTTATCGACGTGTTTGTTTTTATTGTTGCATGACGTATCGTTAAATAACAAGAATCTTAAAATTTACATAATCGGAATAGTCAGAAATTAAATATGTTTTTTATAGATAAGATGGGCGGTGCATCAGAAATAATCCGACGAGGTTCAAGGACTAACAACATCTCATTTGTGAGATATTAAAATAATCAAAAAATAACAGTCTTGTACTAATACTTTTAACTAATATATTTTGTATTGTATTAAGTTTGTTTTGAATTATAATTTCTGAGTTTCTGACGTTGTTTAATTTGGAAATTTGGTGTTGAGTAGAAGTTGTTTCGAAAACCCAAAACTTGTTTAGAGAAATCACCAAGTTCAAGGACCAACATCTTTAAGTGAATCGTCGTCTATGGCTTTAAAATGATAGAAACAACATTCACGATAAAACAAAATTTATCGTTTTTAACATTATCAAATTAGTCTCGAAAATATTTGTTGCTATGGTTATATAAATGAATTAATTATATTTTATAATAATGTTTAAAACGAAAATATCACATTTGTTACCATGGTTATATAAAGTAATCCAAAGTAGATTGAATTTTGTAATTTTATGCAATGTTATTGTTGTTTGTTCGATTTTCTTCTGTTCTGTTGCGAATCGAATCAATGGACCAGCAAGGATTTCCTTTGTCGCAGAAAATGAGTTCACGAGTTTTGATAGCATCGAGTGAATTAAATAAAAAAAATATATATAGAAACCGCGTAATTGTAAATTGCAGAAATAAAAATATAAAACTTTCACATCTCGTTTGTATATTGGAAACGGAAGCGAAAACAAAGCAAATCATATTTGACAGCGAACGTTCTTTTACCTGTGCGTATGACACCCATTGTCTCGTTGTACGTCGTCGTCTGATTGGAGGAGAACGTCAAGTAAATCACCGTCTGATTGGTTTGAATATCGCACTCGCGTTGTCTGCGTCGCGACGATTCGGTTCTGACTGATACCGAACAACCGACCGCAGCTACCTTTTATACAAGCGCTTATGATTATGCAATTAAATAAAAATGACAGTAGAATGCAACGAAGATGATATTTTCATAGTAAAAAATACATTATAAAATATATTAACAAAAATGCACGGTAGACGCGACAGTTATTAATATTTTTTAACGCTCGGGTCATTGTCTCGCGCAAATCCGTAAAAAAATGGTGCAATTAAACGAATTATTTATTGTTGTAAAACGTTTGTTCACACTTTTATCGTTATTTTTTTTTTAGCTGAAACAAAAGGGTAATTGTTCCGCAGATGCTCAGTTTTTTTTCCTAATTGTATTCTTTTCATTCTGATGCCCCTGTTTATTCAAGGATTAACGAGTTAGAAACAGAGATAATCATGTATACACAGATTTTAGTTATCAATCTCTTAATTATCATTAATAATGTTGCATAAGATTTACAAAATATACTTAACAATCTTAAAGTACTTGAATGTTGAGATCATATTACATTAATGATTAGAATAAAAAACTGTCAACCTTTGACAATTATACAATTTGTTTATTTAAATTCTTAATTATTTAGTTTATACTGATGTATTGTGTACTCGCTTAACGAGCACGTCGCATAACAAGTATTTCGCTTAACAAGCAAAATGAATTGCAAGAGAAATGACTCGCTTAACAAGCGACGTTTCGCATAACGAGTGACGGTGAGAGGAAAAGTTCCGGATTGCGCGCCTGCTATATCATTTGTAAAACTTGTGTAACATATGTGTATTTTTGAATATGTTTCACTATACGAGTAAAAATCCGGAAATTTTGGAACAGATTAAACTCGAGGTTCACTGTATAAGATTAAATAAAATTAATAATAAGCAACTAATTTAAACGTACTACAATATTTTGTTTTGTTTTTAGTGATTACGACCCTTTCTTAAATTATTGATAGTTGTCAAAATTATATTCATTGTGCTTCAAAATAAAATATTTTATTTTTAGTGTTTCCAATATTTCATATTAGAAATATTTTGAATCTAAAAATATGTTCGAAACCAGTTTTCAAAATAAAAGGGCATTGGAATTCCCATGGAAGCAATTAATATTACATCAAACCTCATCCGCAAATAACAAAAACAAATCAATTATTTAATTTTCGATTAACGCAGCGGCGATTATCAACTACAATTATCTTTTATTTAAGTAAAAAATGTGATCATTTTCATCATATTGCGATATTGCATCTGAAGCAAATGGTAGCTTAAAAGGTTAAACATTTTCACTATTGTCTATTAAAGCGATCGTTTATTAAAATATCGTAATTGGATTTCCCATGAGTTTTATTCTTTTAAAAATACCCGAGGTCAAATGCAATTCTTGCTAATCTGCGTACAGGACAGAACTGTCCAATGCATTATAAAGTTTATTGTCTGGATTAGGTGATGTGGGAATATCCGAAGGCAAAAAACTAATGAACTTATCCATCCAGCTGCGAAATTGCATCGTTTAAACTTGAACGTGTTTTTTAATCTCTGGGTTTTCTCATGAAAACTATTTACGTGCTTGCAGTCAAGCGATTTTATCAAAAAATATTATCCATTTCTGGGAATGTATTGCTTTTGATAGCAGCATTTTTTTTTCTTATCACCAACGTAAAATATTTAATTACCTTGACAACATTAATGTCAAGATGATGACATTATGATGCAAAGTATTTAAATTCAAAGCCTTTTTGACTGACTTATTTGGTTGGTTTTTGTTATGAATTTTGCAGGTGAAAAATGGCGTTGGTCATGCTGCCATGCGATCTGCCGTGGTGGGGTTCCGTTCAGAAACAACTCAAGAAGTTAGCCAACACGAAGAACACGCTAGAACTTATCGATGGAATGCAGAAGATACACGATATGTGCAAGTTAGTATTGCAAATTTGTAATATATTTGAAAAATGACATCTGTCATTATGTGCGAATTGCCCTACGTTGGTCGCCAAATGTGTCTGGTTAATTATTATTTGTTAATTATGATTTTTTTCTTGTTCAGCATAAGTTTGGATCCTGACGAGGATACTCCGGACCCTCATCAGTTCGTCGGTCTGCTAAACTTCCTGGACAATGATCTGACCAGCGAGGAGCGCAGCAACTTCCTCAACCAAACTCTTCCGTCGATGGCAACCAGGGCTTCCAACCTGCGACAGCACAAACCCAAGTCTGGTCTTCACTTCAGCCTCCAACAGCAACGTACGTTAAAGACGAAACAAGCGCCATCGACGTTGTATTAAACATTTGCAGCTTTGCAGCCGACTGCACCGAACTGGAGTACGAACTTGCGGCCTCTCTAGTAGCAAACGCCTTCTTTTCAACGTACCCAAAACGGACGAACAAAACGCATCCCACGCTGCAGAACTTTAATTTCAGCTACTTCTTCAAGAATTTGGTTACAAATTCGCAGAAAGCCAAACTAAAAAGCATATTACACTACTTTGATTGGTTGAGTCTCGGTGAGAACGCCAAAGGAAAAATGAAACTTTCCAGACAGGTGTGTCTCTCTTTTCATGATTATTTATGGGATTAGTCTAAACGACCTTTCATTGCATAATTAGGTGATGTCTAGTAAAGAGTGGTTAACTATCGAGGATTGGTTGGAGTGCAATCTTCCGCTTTGCCCCATCCTGATTAAGCACGAAGGAAAGCTGGAGAGGACGGACAAAGAGTCACTGAGCGTGTGCTTTTCGAGCACGAAACCCGGGGGACGTATTCTGGAGAATGGAAATACTCAGGTAATGTATACAACATAATTTATTGATCTCATTAATATATGTGCTATTTTTATTATTGTAGGAATCTATGTGCATGGCTTGCGTGCCTGAGCTTCTGGCGATCATGCTGCACGTGGAGTCGTTGGAGGACAATGAGGTGGTGACGGTCGAGAAGGTGCGACGCGTGTCGCGGATTGTCGATCCGAAGAACCGCGCCACCCTGGAGAAGTTGAGGGAAGCCGAAGAGGTATTAAACGAACTGCCCGACACTATCCCGTATACACCACCAATATTCTTTAGATTACAATGTGTTGTGTAGATGCGGAAGACTATTCGAAGCTCCCTCTGAGTCAGTACGAAGAAGACAACGTCCTCAGGGAGCTGAACAAATGCTTATTGGCATACCAGCAGAAGCAATCGGTGAGGGAGCAATCGCCAATTCTGCAACAACAGCAGCAACACAACAAGACCAGAAGGCTATCGCCGATCGGAGAATCCATCTCGCTCGGTTCCAACAGCGACCAACCACCTTCCAACCTTCCCATCATCACGCAAGAATCCTGCAGCACAACGAGAAGCGGTTCTGCATCACCTCGATTCGATAACAACAACTACACCAACAACAACAAGCTTCGGGTACAGTTGGAATTCGAGCGAGGACTGCAGAACAAAGCGAATACCGACGTCGTCAATAACCGAAGAGGCAGATTCATAGTACTAGGTTCATCCGGAGAATGTCTTCCGGTGAAAAGAAATCCAATGTTGAGAGCGGCGAGTCGATATTCGAGCTGCAGCTCGAGCGACGAGGAATTCCACAGCGCCAAAACGAGCGTCGAAGATGGTAATATCAACCACCGGTAAAACGTTACTCACACTTAATTATTATTCTATTCAGAGAGCGAAGAAGAGGAGTTCCACAAGAGATACAGCTTAGATTTACAGACACCAGAACGAAGACATACGTTTGCTGAAAGATTAAAGGATGCGCTGCGAAAAGAAGCCTCGAGTATGAGCACATCCACAGAATCTAGTTACGCAGTTGGCATCAACGTAACCGGAAGTGGCGTTGCCGATCCAGACATTAAGTAAGTTACTCAGAACATTACATTTATTATCAATTACATCTTGGAATTATAGAGTGAAAAGGAAAGGCTCGACTGGTTTTATGCTACAAGAGGACTCCCTTGATGAGGAGTTCTTGGTAGACTCGTTGAAACAGGAGAAACAGTGGATCGACAAGTTCCGTAATAAGCAGTCGGCCGTTCTTTCCAGAAAGGAATCCAACAAGTCCAGCGAGTATAGTTTTAGTACAGATTACAGGTAAACATCTATAAAATAAATTAATATTATTCAGTCACTACATGGTAAAATAATAAAGCAAAACGAAACGTATTTATAATTTACAGTTCCGAATTGGAAGAAGTGTACGAGCAATTCTCGAGATGGCTGGAAGATCCTATTCTGCAGACGGATAAAGGAGCTAAGAAGCATCTGGATGGACGCGATTTGGCGGTAGTTCAGTTTGCTGGTTCAATTCTTAAAAGAACGTTAAGTGAATCCTTTGCCGGAGTTCCATTGGTCGACGGAGATAGCGCACCCAGCACAAATGTGGGTGAATACTCCAACGTGACGAAGAAGAATAAGATGGTTTTGAGCGCCAAATCGTTGAGTTTGGAGCTGGCCAAACACAAGCATCTACTTGCAGCCCAACTGGTGAGTGCATTTAAACACAATCCCTTTAGTTATCATCAATCAGGCTGTGTTGTTGTTTTCGCAAACAGAACGAGACTATCGCTCCTGTTGTTGAGGATACTCGAGCCCCTAAAAAGCGTTTGAATTGGGTAGCTACTGTAGTTCAGACATTAGAAGATATTTGCGTTAACGTAACATTACCCCCACCGGTTAGAATTACTAATAAGAAGGTAAAAATAAACATGTGTGATGGTTTGGGTGTATTTCTGTTGTTTTTTTCTTCTAGCATTAAGTATCTAACGGTATTCGCTTGCAACTAAATCAAAATAATTTAGCTAATCCAATATTTAATAATTGTGTTCTTTGTTTAGTTGTCGCAGATAGCGCAGAAACCTAAAAATGGGTTACGGTCCATCTCCACGGGTAACTGGGGGTGTGGTTCAAGTAAAAAAGGGGAAGTGCAACTAAAAGTGATCATCCAATGGCTGGCAGCGAGCGTCTCGGGCGTTCCCTCCATCATCTACTACACCTCCGGGCATGGGGAATTGGCATCCCTAGACACCGTCTATAGGATCCTGAGGGATAGGAAATGGACTGTCAAGGATTTGGCGGACGCAACGCTAAAATACTCCGCCCGTATGATCGAAGGCCGCAACGAAAACTCGACCCTCTTCGAGGAGCTGATCGGCGTAGATCGAAATTCAACGAACGACAAAAGAAACCAATAACACTGTACATATATTATATACACGTAATTAAAACAAATCGAATCAAAATACACATACAAATTATAATTATAGAAAGTCTTCCCAAACAAAAGAAAAACATAAATGTTTACAAATTTTTGATACTTGCCGAGTATACAAGCGGTTCTTTGAAAGACAGGTTGTATTAAAGGATTGTTTATTATTACATTATACTATAATTATTATTATTACATTTAGAAAATAAATTACCGAAAATAATGTATATTACATATAATTAATTTGGCTAAAAGAAGATTCCCCTCATCCTACGCCCTGCTCCCTGCCTATCATATAAAATTATAAACTTGTTGACGAATTGGTTCAGATCGTTGCAACCCTTTGTCAGCGTTCCCAGATAAGTCATTAGAGCTACGTCGTTGCTTTGCTATAAATTTAAACGGGATTATTAATATACATTCACTTCCAAATCGAATTGTTAGGTAACTTACGTTGTAGAAGTCCTGTCGGAATCTCAACGACTGTGACACGGGCAATCGATGGCACAAAGAGTACGCCTCCCTTAAGATTTCATGATTCTTGGGCAGCTGCCCACTCTGTACCGCTTTCATGTATTCCAACACCAATTTCACTCGAGAATGCAGCATCTTTATGGCGCTATGCTGAGCGGTTAGATGTTCGGCAACCAAACTGCTCTCGCCGGAATCCGTGGACGTCATCCTAGCTACGTGATCTACACCAATTCGCTCAGCCTCTTCAGTGGCCAGGGTGTAAGTTAAAGGTACAAACAACATAGTTGCATCTCCTCCAACCAAATCAATCACAGACTCGTAAAGAGTAACCGGAAGATGATCGATGTTTTTGTCGAACGGATTCAGCTTCATCATGATCGGCGACTCGTTAATATCGCATATCTGCTTATGGATTTTGATATCCATGGTGTTTGCACTATCTCCAGTTATATACCATCCAATAAAATCCATTTCTTGAAAAACTTGTTTAACTAAAACCAACCAAATAACAATCAATACAAAATATTAAACTAGTCAAACCAAAACTCACATTGCTCTTCTTTCATTTTGTAATATTCCCTATCAATCACAACATCTTCATCAATCTCGCTGAAAACCAATTCAAATGAATTCATGATCTCAATGTTCCTGCCCTTCTGTTTTCCAATCAAAGCACCAAGAACTAACAAAAAAAACATACATTATATATTTGTTATTAATGTAGATAATGAAGATGTTCACCTCTCAAAGTCTTTGCATTCTGGGCTCGAGATCTGGTCCAGTGCTCGGACACATTCATGATGACCAAAGGATGCAGAGAACAAATTACTGATCCTGCAGTTCCCATTGCCATGACGCTCTTCTCCTCGCCACCCTCCGAGGTGTCCATGGAGATGCAGCTCTTATCAAGAGAGTTAACTGCAGATGAAGAGGCAGCTCCTGAAGCGCCCGCACCTGAGGCGGACTCCACTTCCATGACTTCGTCCTTCACCACGCTCCCTTCTAAAATCATCGTAATCCAATATTTATATACCTCAATCAATACTAGAGAAAAACACGATATTGTTTGTTGTTGAGAAGAAAAGAAAAATTGAATGGAATGAAGGATGACAGCAATTGTACAGGGCTACCAAATTTATGGACGTGATGACTTTGCAATGTTGGTCATCTATATATGAGATGATTTATATTCGAAGATGTTGGAATGAACGAGTCTTTCATTAATGAATTGATATTTTAAAATTAGAATCTAGATGAAAGTGCAATGATATATTCTTCAAAAATTAGACAAAGCTGAGAGTTGTCTAACCTATAAATTATTAGTGATCTGCACTATTGTTTACATTATGATTGATTGATTGATGGCTCGTGGGAAATGTGGGGATGGTGGTTACGTAACGTGACTAAATTGTTGTTGTTGGCGTAATCGTGGTGCTGGTAATGAATTCAATTCAGTCCAGTCGGTATTTGGCAACAGTGCGTGCAGGTCGTTTTGTCATCTGACGACGACGACGTTCAAATAAATACACATACACACAGAAAATTAGCCTCTGCTGTGGACTTCGAAGATCCAAAACAGCGTCCCATTTATGACATAGCATTGTGTTTGTATTGTACTGATCAATACACTGCACTGAAGACATGGGACTCCTCACCATCGGCAACCCCTTATCCTGGGAGGAAACTAAGAAGCTCTCTGACCATGTACGCAAGCATGGCATCATTCAGTTCATCAACCTGTACAAGAGGCTGAAGGACAGGCAAGGGGACATCCTGAAATGGGGTGATGAAGTTGAATACATCCTTGTTAAATTTGATGAGGAAGCCAAGACAGCCAAGGTGAGCCTGAGAGCAGTTGATATTCTAAATATCCTACAAGAACGTGAAGAGGCTAACCCAACTGGAGTGAAATCACTGTGGCGCCCTGAATACGGAGCGTACATGGTAGAAGGGACTCCAGGTAAACCGTATGGCGGCCTTTTAGCCCATTTCAACATCGTTGAGGCGAACATGAAATACAGACGTGAAGAAGTTGAGGAGCTACTGTTGGATGGGGAGGCCCTAATGAGTATCACCAATTTCCCAAGGTAATCATTTAAAATCAATCAATATCATATCTGCAGTTTACAATCTCAACAAGCCATCCACTTAAGTAAAACGCTATTATTAAATGATCAGCAGATTCCCACTTCTGCTTGCATCAGGGCAATTAAACGTTGCATCAGCGATTAGACCATCTTATATAAACTAAAAGAAGAAGGTATCGATAACAATAACGTAATGAGTCATTGTCGCCTTTTTGATTTATTACCGCAAGACTATTTATAATGAGTGCGATATTTCTCGCATGGCGCGTGTAACGAGCAGTGTGCGTTTCTGTATATTTACTCCGATCTGCAATTGCTGCTAATCGTATACACAGTAATGTGCTATTTTATTTTTTCCGCTAATCATTGTTTATTCATTTTCCTGTTCGTCGTTTCTGTATTATTACATAAAGTGGATGCGGTTCAAGGACACGGGCGACGCAAAATAAATCTCAATTAATCCCATGCAAAAATATGTAAGAGAACGCAGATAGTGCGAGAGTAATGAGAAAATAAAAGTAGCTTTTCTAAATCGTTTTCGTGCGCAACGCAAACTCCTTATCTAATTTACGTTAAACATACAGTAACGTATTTACTAACATTTTATGCTGTTAAGTATACATGTCCCCCACTAAACTGTTACTTGTAGCAGGTTGAATAAAAGATGCAGAATATAAAGCAGGTGGCTTCTATACAAATAACTGAAGGAATCTAATTATGATATAATGAAAATCGATAGTAGAAAAGCTACTATCGATACATACAGTGCGTTATTATTTTTAAAATAGGTCGTATAAAAATTAATATGTGTTTGAAGATTGGGCTGCGAAGACTTTTCGTTTCCAATTGCGAAACCTACTCCGGATCAAGGTGCGACCAGGTCTTTGTTCTTCCCGGACGAGGTGATCTATCCTGGTCATCCTAGATTCAAGACACTTTCACAGAACATTCGTGAGCGGCGAGGAGAGAAGGTCGCAATCAATATTCCAGGTAGATCGGTGACTTCCAGAATTGTTAATAACAATAAACAATGTTGTTAACAAACGAGTTTGCAGTTTTTAAGGATGAGAAGACGGTGATCCCCGTGGACGATTCGCATCTGCGAAGCAAAGCGGCCTTACCAGATCACATCTACCTGGATGCTATGGGTTTTGGGATGGGCTGCTGCTGTCTGCAGTTGACTTTCCAAGCGTGCAACATAAACGAGGCCAGGATCCTGTACGATCAATTGACGCCGCTCTCCCCAATCATGGTATCTTTGAAATCGCTAACCTTTCCGAGATTGTGAATTTTCTATTTGCAGTTGGCATTAACCGCGGCCGCCCCAATCTTCCGGGGTTTCCTGGCGGACATCGATTGTCGCTGGTACATCATTTCTGGTTCCGTGGATGATAGGACGCCAGAGGAACGAGGTTTGAAACCGCTGAACAACAATAAGTTCGTGATCGGCAAATCGCGCTTTGATTCTATCGATTCCTACCTGTCGCCGCAGGGCGAGAAGTACAACGATGTACCGTTGACGTACGACAAGGAAATCTACAATCAGCTGAGAGAAAACGACATAGATCATCTTTTGGCGGAACACGTCGCGCATTTGTTCATCCGGGATTCAGTCTCTTTGTTCACGGAGAAGGTCAATCAGGACGATGAGCAAGACACAGATCATTTCGAGGTAATCGATTCCACCGAATTGTAGTTAAATTTTAATAATTCGAACGAATTGCCTTTGCTTTAGAACATTCAATCGACCAATTGGCAGACGCTGCGCTTTAAACCGCCTCCCCCGAACTCGACGATTGGTTGGCGTGTGGAGTTTAGGCCGTGCGAGATCCAGATCACCGATTTCGAGAATGCGGCCATCGTTTGTTTCGTTGTACTTATGACCAGGGTCATCCTGAGCTTCAAGCTCAACTTCCTGATACCCATCAGCAAAGTACGTGCACAATCTTTATATCAATATTTCATGATAAGAAGATGTTTGATTTCTGCAGGTGGATGAGAACATGAGGACGGCCCAAAAGAAAGGCGCTTGTTTGAACGAGAAGTTCTGGTTCCGCAAGGATATCACAACGCAGATTAGTCCGCCCGAGGCGAACGAATGTTGCAAAGGCGCTTCGAACGGATCCAATTGCGACGTTTTTACTAAAATGACGGTCAACGAAATAATTAACGGAAAGGTAATAATTAAAAAAAAAATCTTCAATATCATGATGTGATTATTTATACTTACAGAATGGAGAATTTCCTGGTCTGATCCCGTTGATCAATAATTATCTGAGCGGAATGGAGGTTGACGCTGACACGCACTGCACCATTCAAAGGTACTTAAAGTTTATCCAGAGAAGAGCGAGTGGCGAGATTCTAACCACGGCCTCGTGGATCAGAAACTTTGTGACCGGTCACGAAGACTATAAGATGGACTCAAAAGTTAGTGACCGTATCAATTTTGATCTGCTGAAGACCGTCAAGGGTATCCAATCCGGGATGATCGCTTGCCCCGAACTTCTGGGTTACTGTCCCGTTTCCAAAACGGTGGAGAAGATTCCTCCAGCCATGTCAAAGGTGGCTGGATGAACTAAATTTAGCGTATCACGTTGATGGAAAGAATATATTCTATATTTTTTTAATAGATCAATTTTTTATATAAATACTATTATATTAATCCACCAATTTTTATGTAGGTTTTAGGCTTTGTTATGTTTGCTTCCACTTGTGAATTATGAACAGTATTTTTTTACAAACTACAACTGGCATTTATTAGGAGGGTTCCACTAATGATTGATTTCTTTCGATGTTGAACATATGTTAAGTGTATGCTACTTGCATCAAATAAACAGTACATTTTAAATAGATCTCTTTCATTGAAGATCGCATTGGCGCTGATATAATTTAATAAAAGAAATTAGTATGGACAAGAAGTGTTGAAGAGTTTGAAACAATAGCTTTTAAGAGGTGATTACTTTATTCAATTCTTAAACTAGCTCTCGTTAAAAATTTAAATATATAAAAAAAGATTAAACTAAAAAGAGAAAAAAATAAAGAACATAAACATTGCGCTTAGTTATAAGTAAAAATAACTAGAAAATTCCTTGAAATGTATGGTTGAAGAATAGACGAGTCCGAAAATGAACAATGAAAATAATAAGTTATGTACAAGTTACATACTTTAGGCTGGAGTCTGACTGAACCTCTGCAATCTCTGGAGGGCTTTTGCGTCTTGGTCGTTGCTTGGTGTTGGCTCAGCACTCGCCGTCGGTTCAGCCGTCGTCGTCGATACGGAAGAAGTAGCGAAACGTGCCTTCCTCTTCTGCAGCTTCTCCTCGTTCTCCAACTTGGTCAAAGCCGTCGAAACGGACACACCAAAACGTTCAGCGCGCTGTTTCAGTACATCAACGTTGGCCGCGGGTGAAGCAGATATCCTGTTGTTCTTGCTACTGCCATTGGTGCTGCTACTAATTGTGTTGTTGCCCGCTCCGAATCGCTCAGCTCTAGCCAATTTCTGCGCGTCCGCTGGTAATGGAACTCCAAACTTTTTGGCCCTCATCTCAAGACGTTCCTTGGCCGTCAGCTGCGATAATTTAATAATCTTCTTTTCCTCTCCCTTATCGCCGTCCTCCTTCTCGGCGCTAGGAGATGATACAACGCCTTCTGGTTCTGGTTTCTCCTCGCAATTGGAGGAACTCCTATTCAGCACGATCTTCTTCGGCTGCTTCGGTGACTGCTCCAGCTCCGTGGATTTTCTCTTCAGCTTGATGGACGACGTTGAAACGTCGAGCTGAGAATCCAACTCGCTCAGCACCGAATCGTTTTCCTCGATATGCTCGTCGTCATCTTCGTTGAGCAATGCCTCGTCCAAATCTTCCGCCTCCAACTCTGACTTGCTGCTTGTCTTCATCACTGTCTGCAACCTCTCCATTAGTTCCTGTTTGTTGCCGGTCGTCGACAAATTACGTGCCTTCAACTCCTTCCGCAGTTCGGACACCTAGTGACGAAAAACAAACATTAAATATCAACAAAAAGCACCATTGACATCAAAACATAACCTCGCTTTTTTCTACCCCCTGTACTTTCTGCTGCCACATCAAACAATCGTAGACAGCTAATCGAGAATAAACATACGAAAAAACTCACCTTCAGTTTTGATACATCCATTATCTCGTCAGCATTTTCCATAGTCGTATCGCCTGATATCAGAACTTCTTCCTCATCGAAAACGGCTTCGGCGATGGCGGCAACTTCACTGTTATTCATTTTTAAAATTCGCTACCAACTTCACGTTCACTAATTTTGCAGGTTATGTTGTCGTTGCTGTTGGAGCTCAACTGAAGATCTTTGGGTTTGCGATGTGCCTTAAAAAGGAAGCCCCTCAAGCCCAACCCGGCGATGGTATTAGATCCCTGAAATCGACGATGTTATTTAGAACTGTAAATTACGAACTCTACGTAAAACCTGTATGTACCTGCCCGTCTACCCTTCGTAAACTTGTTTGCAAATTTCCATTTAATTGCTTAAAATTTTCAGAATCTTTTCATTATGGGTTTTGGATTGGTAGCCTTCCTGGGATGCACAGGGTACATTGCTTACATGAGATCCAAATTTGATGGTTTAGGTTATTACCCTGCTATAAAAGAGGATGGTCATGAAGAGTACCTGAAAAAGAAATCAAAGTGGGACTAACCCAACATTTCTACCTGTAAATAAACTTAGTTCTAATAATTTAAATAAATTATGATAGTGAATAAAAATAAAAATAAATTTGGACAGACAAATAAAAAATATGAATTAATATATATAATTTAGTTACATTAATAGTTAATAAAACATTAGAATAAAGAATTTTTTAAATTTATGTATATTTGGTTGCTTGGTTACACTTGCTTTGCTTTACAGGGTACCGTCAGTTGCTAGTTAAAAAACTCGTCCTTGGGGGGAACTAGAAAATAGTAATCCGTCAATACCAACCTTAAATAAATAAAGTATAAAACTTTTTTTATATATATATATATATATATAATATATTAAAATATAAATAAATAAAACAAAATTTAACTAAAAAATGTTTTTATTTAACAATATTACATCATAGATGGTCCTTGTGCACAAACTCCATCATCATAGATGGTCCACAAGGTGTAATGGCGAAAATTTAACAGCTGACGGTTAACTTCGTCATTTTTGACAAACATTGTTTACATCCCACTTCTCTCATTTACGGTCTTGACGGTAACCAATATGCGCTTAGGTAATCTTGTATATTAGTATCATGTGTATTTGTTAGTACACATATATTTAAAATCAATTTAATAGACTTATTAAAAAAAATCCAAACGAACGTATGAAATGTATTATACGTAAACTCATCGATCCAAAAGCAATTAAATTTAACAACTTCAAATGTCAGATCAAAGTGAATTGGATGAAAAATAAATAGTTCCTTCACCAATCCGACAATTTTAAGGCAAGCAACACAAGTTATAATGCTAAGTAAAACCAGTAACAAGAACGCGATTGGACTGTCAAGAGTGGGAGGAGCCTGTTAGTGGATTGATTGTTTTCCTTTCAATCGAAATGCAGTTGATTATTTTGATTTAATTAACTATTTACAGTAATGTGAAAAACCAAAACATAAAATAAAGAAAATACAAACAGTTTTAAATAAAGATAAAGTTTATTCAATAGTAGTGTACTTTTAAAAATTTATTATTTTTTACACAATACGGTTAACAATCCTTTAAGACATACGATAAATCCTAAAAGAGTAAGAGAAACAGTAAGCTCTTTCAATTGGCTCAATAAGCAGCAAAAGTTTTTCACGTTTCCTTTTCCCCCTCCACGGACAGTCGTTGGAACGAGAAGAAAAAGAGGAAGAAGAAGTAAAAAGAAATCGACAGGAAACAAAAACCAGGAACGAAACGTGTGATTACGATAAAAACGCGAAAATATATGAATATGAAAAATTATTGACCGAGAGCCGAATTTAATTTTAACAGGAATTTAACTTTACGTGACTAGATTACACTCAAAACTTTCGGAAACCAGGAAATCTATTTCTGATTTCTCAAAGTTAAAAAAATAAATAAAATTAATATATATATATATTTTATAAATATATGTAGAATAAATAATAGACACGAAACAAATTAAGACTTAATATTTGTTTAAAAATAAATTAGACGCTTAATATTATACCAAAATCACGAAAATTAATCGTATATTACAGCTAGCATTTACTTTTCTTTTCTCAACCTTCCGCATATACCTTTGTTTTCATCTCTTCTCGATTGCAAGAAATCGTTCACGATATTAGTTTTTTGTTTGAAGACAGACAAATATAATATGCATTTCGTATATATATATATTTTTGTTTTCATTTTCTACCTACCAAAATTTTATGTTGTTGTTCGAAATCCTCTACGTGTATACAAAACGGATGTACATTCAGCTTTATCAAAAATTTGGGTAGATAATTATTGTCATATTAACATTTTTTTTTGTTCGAACATTTTTAAAATGTTAGTCGTTTCAATTATTAGTTTAACTTAACATTATTGATTTTGAAAAGTGTGCGTGGTTTTAGTTTTTTTTTGTTTTTTTTTGTATGTTTTTGTTGCGTTTTTGCTCAAAGCGGTGCTTAGAAATTGCTCTCATCCATGACGCTCCACATGAGCCTCTTGAAGGAACCGCTTTGATGGATCTCCTCGGATTCACCCAATGGATTTGTCTGCTTTTGTGGCAGAGAGTATACTGGGCCAGGTTTCTGAAAAAAAAAACACATCAATAAGACATAACTCATTTTTGAATATATATATAAAAAAAAATCAATTTCGATTTACATCCAAAACGAACGTCATCGATGGAATGTAACTATCAATTTGACTTATCTGGAGTACATTTTCTGGGGTAATCCCGGATTAAATATAAACGATTGCAGCAGATTTTCAACTCCTGAAATAATGGTTCGGTTTCATGTTGACGCGACTCGCGCCAAGCGCAATAAATCTTTGCCACTTTTTTTCACCCACAACCTCTAAATTTATATCAGATTACTTTCATTCCATTCAGTCTTAAAACAAAAAAAGTTACTCAAATCTTCAAAAAATTGACTGATTTGAGATTTATTAATTTGAAGTTTTCTGTTTTTTTCCAGTACGAATTTGTTTCGCTGTTAAAATTTACAGTTATATAAACTTACTAAACAACTTGGCAACAGCAATTTGTCAATTTTGACATTTATATCATTAGAGTTATTAATCTACTTGACAACAGTGATTTTTTATGTGAATGTCAATTTTGACACTTGTTAGTTTTTGAGGTTGAGTTTGATGAAATGTTTTACCTTTGCTGGTGGAACCCTGTTTGGAGCGAAAATCCTGGTTTGTGCAGGGGAGGAGACCTCCTGCATGACGCCTCCGTAGGATTCTTCGCGGACGGCTTTGTAGGTTTCGCTATCCTCGGGATTGTATTTCGTTGGAATTTTGCGAGCGCTAAAAATGTACAGAAATGGTAAAAATAGTGTTTTTTTGGTTATACTATTATCAAAATAATTACGCAGGAATTCCAGCCTGTTTGTAAACGGTGTCCGCGATGTTCGGTTCGCTGTATAGATTTATGGGCGAGTTGAATTGCTTGTGGACGATCTAAAATTATGAAAACGAAAAGAACGATCAGCATGAGAGTTCTACTTGTAGATGTTTGTGGTACATGAAAGGTTATTGTTTTGTTGTGTTTTCAGTCTTCAGGTTAGTCTGTCCTTGGAAGAAAATAAAAATAAAGAAAATAAAACTACGGACAGTTGTGTTGTATATAGTATGTGATAAACGTTCACAGTGTCAGGAAAAAAACAAGTTGTATAATAATAACCTGCTTGTTGGGATCCTCGTTCTGTATTCTTTCCAAAACAGATTTGGCAACCTAGGGAAAACATTAATTTGTTTTAGCCACAAACTACGAATACCGTACTATATTACTACAACTAAACAGCTGTATGGGATTGAAGCGTTTGCGGTCATAAATAAACAAAGCTCGAGATTTGGATTTATATATTGCGCGTTTTCCTCATATACCTTATGCCTGAAATATTGGTCATGATCGATGATATGGTGCGATGGTGGCGCCCTCACGTTGGGATTGGGGTGGTGACGGAGGTAGCTTTCGGTGTGGCCAACGTCCTTTTTCACCTTCGCCCCGGGCAACACAAGGGGTGTGGTGCGGTACGGCTACAAAACAACACATTCGACATTTGACACACAGGTTGACTTGACGACATGACACATTTAACGTTACGAACAACAGTTGGCAACAGATGAGGGAAGCCCCAGAGCGACACGTTTATGCGTGTAAAACAACATTTTGAGGCCGGCCGATGCTTTTATTTTTAGTGTACTAAATCCGATTCTGACGCAAGTGGAACTTAACCCAAATAAAATCTATGTGAGCCTAAATATCTTCATGTTCCGATTGACGCGACCGTCGAAAAAAAAATCCATAAAATAAAAAAAATAAAATTACAGAAAGAACATAGGATGAACATTGTCTTCCCGTTTCCTTGGCCCGAAATAAACGCTTCTCTTCTGTTTTTGGCATTCACTTATTTTCAGCAAAATAACGTCGCAAAGAAAACAGACGCGAAGCGTTGCAGCATCGATCTGACCTTAACATTCTTCGGTTGCGAAAAGACTTTCGAAATTAGAAAGAAAAAATAATATAACAGTTTCAAGTTTAAAAAAAAAACTATTTTTAAGCGCCGTCCCAAAATATATACTCTGAAGCGTTTTAATTTTTCATAACTTTTGTACTAAGTTTGTGTATATTCTCAAAGTTACGTCATGCGAGTGATGAGTTCTTTTTTTTTCTTGCAATGACGAAGTGCTAGTGGATGGCATATTATCAATTAGTATTTTGGACGCTAAAAATAATTGGGAAGTGTCCGTTCTAAATCCGTTTTTCATTGAGTAAGGTGCAGCGCATGTGAAGGTGAAGAATGAAACGGGTTTAAAAATAAAGAAGTCAGCTTCTAGAAGTGACGCAAAAAAAATATATCGATTTTTGCGACATAAAACGCCTTAATATGCATTCGTGATTTAAAAGACGCAAAGAGCGTGGGAAAAAAGGAAAATATAAATATACACGTAACTATGGTGATTTTTGCAAGCCCACTACTATATATATTTTTCGAATTATTTTGAAATTGGAAAGCTCGTAATCGTTGGACGATAATGAAGAAAAACTTCTAACAAACCATTTATCTTTCTTCGTCTCTTACCCACATAATAGCAGACTCATTTTGTGCGCCGAAATGACAATCTGATCTGCTGCGTGAAAGAAGCATCCTCGATGGTTTTCTTCTCTTTTGGAAATCCTTGAAACGAGGATTTCTCTATTTTTTCTTAAATATTTCCAAAAGGACTTTCCGCCGCGCCGTTTACCTGACTGACACCGACTGCTGTCGGGGAAAATCTTTTCGAAACGGCTGCCACCTCTCCACCTCCAAAAATTCGTATTTTTGCACGAAAATATGTCCCTCGCAGAACGTAACTCGCGCGCCTCTCTTTCATCTCATATTTTTATTACGCAAAAAAAAAACGAGACCAACGTCACACAGTTTTCATCGCCTACTCGAAAAACAGGCAAAAAATGTGTGTATCGTTCAGCGGTGATTTAACAACCTCTGCTATTTTGTTGCGATCCGTGAAAACCTCTCTTTAATTAACACATTTTCAGTATTACAGCATCATTAATTTATACAAAATGTTGAGGTTTACTTCAATTGTATGTTTCTGACCAATGTCGGTGCTTGTCAGCTTCAAATGATTCTTAATCGGTTTATATTTGACAGCTGTCAAATAAAAGAAAGATTAATTAGTTTAAATTTTGTTTAAATGAAAGACATCATAATAGCCTCTTATTTGACAGCTATCAGATACAATATCAAAATTAAGTAGGTTAACTTTTGTTTATGATTTTTTGAGGCAGCTGATCGTTTTTCTAAAAATATCTTTAGCAAATTATCAACAAGAATTTTTGTTCAAACATTGTTCAAATTATAAACTTTATTTAACCCATTTTCATCATTACGACATCATGAATGTAAATTTCAAACGTTTACACATTTACGATTAAAAAACTGAACTATCTGTTCGTACACTGTCACAATATGGTTTAAAATTAAATTTATGACCACTTGTTTCTAGGATAATTATGTGAATTTTTAAATATTTTTTTCTAAACAAAAAAAATCGTCTGTTGCGAAAACCTCATAAGTAAAACTTGAATTAATTTAGTAAAACTCGGCAGTTACCCACATTTATTGACCTATTTTCGGAGCTTAAGTACCATCAATTTATATTCTAAACAAGATGCTTATAGCAGCGATGAAAGACTTTAACGTCGCTAATATTATACTGCAGTTGACAGCTATCGAATAAGAAACTAGAATTACATTCAAATAGTCTATAATTAACTATTGTTTATGATGATTCGAATGCAAGAATTTAAGAGTTTTAACTTGTATTTGTTATACAAAAATTAAAACTAAGATCTTAAACTAAGTTGATTACAACATTTGTGTCAGCTTATTTGAATCAAAGATTGTATATCGCGCTGCTGAATATTATTTTAGCAAATTATCAGCAAAGACATTGTAAATGTTGCTTTAATTATAAAATGTTACGTTCGGAAAAACACACCGTAAACACAAATGAACCAATTTACTTGTGAACACAAATTAATCTAATTGGTTTATTATTTAACACGTGATTTAATATTTCTTACGAATAGATTAATTATAATTTAAAAATTGATTGAGTATGTACTTCTAGGTGATGCAATGCGTGTCCCACAGCCCCACTAGGCATGTTAAAAAGGTGGTACAATGCTTGTCCCACCGCCCTTTAAAGAGTTAAATAACAATTAATATATGATGATAAATTTAATGAATGTGTGAATATAGATGTTATTGGATCATTGTTTTATTTGCACAATTTTAGAATTGCAATGTTGGCTTAAATGCAAAGCCAACATTGCAATTCTTAATGTCAAATTGATAGTTGATTGATGATTGAAGTAAACATAAACGATAGCTGTCAGTTTGGGTAAAATGGAGGAAGAGAAAAAGAGGGTATCGACGTTTGCAACAAATGGGCCAGCTATGACCGAAACGCTAAAAACAGAGTATGTTTATGAATTGCATTTGAGTCGCAGTCGAGTTTGATTTGCGACGTTTCGTGTGATCGATTAAAGTGCAAAATTTATTAATAGCCTTTCACGAGCGTCGCTGGCGTTCAGCCATTACCGCCGATACGACGAGGATTTTCCGGCTAATTGCCTAATGCTTTCCTCGGGAAATCGCCGTTAAGAAAGAACCGCGCTTCTCTTGCACGTCGCTTCATTCCTCTTTGGCGCTTCGCCAAGGCGATTCGATGTCGAGACGACCTTACCTGATTGACGACGTGGATGTCACCGTCGGTGTCCTTCTTGGGCGTCGGGAACTGCTCATCAACACTGTAATGGAAGTGGTCCAGCGGAGTGAAGGGCAGGGAGTAATAAGGCTGCAGGGCCGGCGCCCCCGGGCTGTAGGGACTGGCACCGGTGGTGCCCCTCGGCGATAGGTGCGGTGACACCGACAGAGGGCTGTAAGTGTGATGGGAGGAGCCGGCACTTCCGGGAGCCGCCCTGTTCCTTGCCGCCGAAGCGTCCCTGCAACGACAAATGTCAGACAGATCCGGAAGTAGTGATTGTATCCGACAATGTCGGAAATAGAAATGTCAGTGACATAAATCAAATAATCAACGCCACAAATATATTTTGCAAATTTGCAAAAAAGAAATGAAAATCTGACACTGACAAATTTCAAACGGAAAAATGGGAAATATTATCCACTGAAAGAAGCAAAAAAAAGAAAGACAAACGCCAAGCAAAATCGGAATGTTGGATATAATCAAAAGAACAAAAGTTGTGGTAATTTTATTGTATTTTTTTTACAGGAATTACGGAAAAGAAAAAAAAATAACGTCAAAGAAAACCGGAAGTTCTGGATAAACTGACCGCGGGTAATGTTGGAAACGTAATTAGCAGGTTTTGGGATGATTTTGGGTAAGCGCCAAGAAAAGTTATCGGAACGGAAAATGCAAAAATAAAGAATAACATAGAAATGAAAAAAAAGATGTTGAAAATTTTTTGGACGATATCCGAGTGTTGAACCCGGCTGCGCTTTATTTATAGAAGACAGGAGAAACGAATTTGTGTGTGAGATAGAGAAAAAATAAAAGGGGATTAAAGATAATTGGCAGAAGTTTGTCGCAAAGTTGAAATTTTATTCAAAGCGAGATTAAATTGTATCACTTAATTTTTATTACATAACTAGATTGCGTTAAGCAGGTGGTAGCGGGATCTTCCGGAAGTAGTCGGGCAGAGCACGCTTCCTGCGGAAGTGCGAAAGCGTTTAGAAGGCAGGTGAAATTGATAATTTTGTTGAAAGAAGTACGAATGGTCTAAACTCACCTCTGAACTACAACACGCACGGTGTTTCCGGCGTTGCTGAAGAGGTTTTGAGCATCCTCGTGCCTGATGTCCCTGGAATCGTAATTGCCGACTTTGGTGATTATGTCGCCCCTCTGAAGGACGCCATCAGCAGGCGAATGGAATCCAACCTGGAACAGGAAGATGAAGATCAGAATCGAAGGTGATGTTTTTTTAACGTGTGCCTGGGAATTTGGTTAGGCGATGGCAGCCTACTACGACACTGGGTTTGTTGAGGGTTTGTTTTAAAAAAAACTCACTCTTGTCACGATCAAAGGGGCGTTAACATCGGACCCACCCACCAAGCTGAAACCCCATTGCTCCGTCGGGGAATCCCTTTTCAGGGTGACCAGCATCTCATGCAGTTTACCTCCCATTCCTGCGAGGCCAAGTCGCAGGCAAAGAAGTGTTAAATACCGGAAGACCGAGAGAACACTTTACGCTCACCGAAAACCACCAAGCACTAAAATCGATGGGCGAGCGAATGGATGCAGAGAAGAAAAACACACTGCAATTACATAAAGCAGAAGGCAAACACACTCAAACACACCGACACATACAAAATGAGAGGAGTAGATTGAAAGAGTAAGAGAGAGACGGATGAACGCACAAACCGTGTACATGCACGTACAAAAACGAACAGCAAAATGTATGTGTGTGCATTCTGCCGCATTTAAATACCGAGGGGGGGATTTATTTTTAAAACTTTTAAATTAGACCAACTACGAGAACGGCCGTTCCCCAATCGCATCGCTATTTTACAAAACCGCACAACAATGGACGTCCGCCCCACCCCGCTCCGTCTTTGTCGAATTTGACACACGCCAAAGTTTGACGCGCGGCATCGCATTAAGGGTGACACCTGTCAACCTCTCGTCGTTGTTTGTTGTCACCTGCTTAAATGAGACCGAAAGAGATTCTCATTTCTTTACCAACGATTAAAATAGATAATCAACACAATTAAAGATAAACACAATTTCGTCAGGTGACATAATACATTGTGGTTTATTAACAGTGTCAAATTTCACCAAGAAACCTCACATTAAGTGTGACACCTGTCGAACTTTTAAAGTTGAATGAATAGTGAATTTTATTCCTTCATATTTTATATGTGAATGGCCATGAAACGCAATAGTCAACTTGAAAATGAATAAACAATTGTTATAACAATGTCGTGTTTTAAATATAAAAATAATAGTATTTTAGATTTACGATTATCACGGAACAATTCGAAAAATAAATAATGTATACAATTTTAAAATTGTACAACGTTAATTATTATAATAATGTAACATTAAGTAAACTTGATTCATTGCAGATTGAGTTTATAACAAAACGTAGAAAACACATCATTTTTACTATTAAAATTTGATTTATGATCATTAAGCAAATTCGTATTTCATAACGTATGCGCGTTATTAGAAGACGTAACTACTTATAGTATTTGGAAATCAAACGAAATTAGTTACTATGATAATGTGACAAGTATTACATTAGTTACAATTTGAATAATTACGCAAGTTGTCTCGTTGCAAGTTGATTTACGATCCAACAATTATAGATTATTTATTTTTTGTGTGTGTTTGCGATTTCTTTGTAGAGACTGGCCAGTCGTGGATGCGATGATATTTGTAGAGATGATTGTTTTAGGTTGTACTACATTAATAGGCCGGAGCGACGTGAGGACCCCCAGTCGAGAGATGCGTATATTTAAAATCCTCGTGAACGGAATACCACCCACAATTAAATTTAGACCGGAACAATAAATTTAAAAAAAAATGCAGGAATTGGAAATAAAAAATATAGGCGAACGGAATTTGATGGAGTTGAGAATTACATTTTTTATCTTGACGCTCTCTGTATTCTGATGGTCGATAGGGTCGGTACACTCGCGAGTTTTAGTCGATTTTTCAGTTGATCGCGCGCGGTCTCTCTGAAAGACAAAATCCGTTGGCCGCTGCCGCCGCCGCCTCCCCACTTACAATCCATTTTGATGCACTTTAGAACCGAATGCATACAGAAATAGAAAAAATATAGATGTATCTGTAAATGCGCGATTCTAGAACACGGAGATGATCTTTAGAATCTGTAAATTTTAAAAACGTATTCGGACAACTGTTAAAGTTTATCTGATATTATACATCTTGTAAAGATCAAAGCAAACGCTGCAATCAGACATTGACAAATTGATACCTGTCATAACATTTATTATACTCGTAATATAAATAATTCAAAAAGTTATATAATAAATCTACAATCACTTTGCAATATATTTTTTTTAATTAACGCCGTTATATACATTCTACGCAATTTAAATTAAAGAAACCCGGCGCTTCCACCGATATTGAAATCATATTTTCAAAATATTAACTTAAAATCAGTAGCAAAATTACAATGCCGCCGAGCTTCGCAATGTATGTATAGGGGACACAAATAAAAATTTGTTTAGGGCCCTCAATTAGTATAACTAACTGGTGTTTAGGACCCTCGATTTACTTAATGTGGTCCTCCTAGAACCGACATTCTAGCCCTCCGTTATTAAAGTTTAGGGCTCTATTTCAAAATAAATCAAAATTGTCTGAGTATCTCGATACTTAAAATAATTTCGAGCGATTTTGGAGCCTACATAATATTTTGTATGGCGAACAAAGATTTGAAGTTCTGCCACTTAAAATAAAAAGATTTAATTATTTAATCATTTAACGATTTCATTATCCATTTTCAGTTAAGATATGTTTCACTTTCTACTGAGAAATCATTAATTTTTGCTATTTGCTAAAATGTGTTTCAATAAATTTGTATTCAATTACATTCATTTACAACACTACGTCATTTATTGACATTCCTGTCAATTTTCGAACCTTCTTTTTCGATGAAATGTGGAATGTTATGTATGTTTGATCATATAGTAATTTAAATTTATTAAAAATCATTTACATAAAAACACAAATATTATATTCACTATCATCTTTCCCGGCGCTTCCACCATACTTAAGTATTTCAAATACATTGACAATGTAGTGAAATTGAAACAGTATGAAATTGGTGTAGATTTCGCGCGAATAGAAAATATTAAAGAAGCGTCGCAGTTTGAAGTGCTATAAATAGCAGCGCAATCCTTGTTTGTTTGGCAATAAAAGCTGGCCACCATTTGTTTACAGTTCCATTGTTTGGGAGCGATCCGATCGTAGCTTATTTATTTACTTATTTGCCAATTCGTTCTGCAAGGGCGTCATGGTTACCACCGCAAAAACAGATTTCGAGCGAAACGCGTGCGGCGGAAAGGAAGGTCGTTATTTGGGTTACGAACGCTCGTTACTAGGACACTTGTCGCCTACATCTCTCATTGCCAAATGTTACACAGCGCATCAATTTACGAAACACCACAGATGAAAATTCATATTACAAAAAAGCAAAGATAATAAGACTATTTATTATTTTACAATTTTTTTTACATTAAACAAATAAACAAAAATATTATTAGTATTTAATTATCAATAAAATAAAGCTTGATTAAGCTATTGTCTGATAATTCAAACAGAAAACGTCAATTCAATTACGTAACAACTGATAAAATATTTGTATTTACTGTTTTCTAATTGTTATGGTTCTATTTCTGCCACCTTCAGAATACTTGTAGATAGATATTAGTGATGTTTGTTTAGAGGTTTTACTTTTGATAGTAATATTTTAGTCTAATTTAGAGTTTGATATTTGAAAATAAGGAATTTGAAAACATTTAACTTCTGTGTGCTGTTAAATCAAGTAAATTCGAATGAACTTCTTTTTTTTGTTTTTATTTATTTATACAAAAATATATTTAGAAATTCGTTAAAGGCACAAAGAGTTTGTTTATTACAAAAATACCGGAGAGTGAATGAGAGTGAAAAATCGTTAGATTAAAGAATCATTGATGGCTGCCAAATGCTATGCATCAGTGACAGCTCCCATTTTATATATATTTAAAAATAACATTCATTTCCAACAGCATCTCCCATTTCCGTTCATTTCTTAGATCCGAAAAATCCATAACAAAAAAAAATAAAATTGAATTTGCTTTCGTGAATTATAACCCTAAAAAGTGAAGTTTATTTTGCGAAGGTTGTCAAAAAGAAAAACAACTGAAATCGTGCGGCCGCTTCGCTCCCTGACCCAATTGGAATGCTCTATTTTTAGTGTTTTAACCATAATATGTATTCAATCAAGATGTAATTCGTCGAGTAGTATATAAAATAAAGCCCGAATCCGTGAAGTTATTAATACGAACGTGAAGAGAAAGAGAGAGGCCCGATCTGAATGTGCAAATGTTTTATGAATACTTACGAGAATCGACGTTCCCCGTTCCTGTTTACTCCCCCAGAATCCCGTACGATGGTCGAACACTTATTTATAAGTCGCATGAATAACCGACGCGAAAGTGATTCAGATCGGTGAATCAAATATACTTATTATGTATTTGTTACACATTATGGACAAAATGTTACGTGCATGCCAAAAGGGACGAGCAATTTGACATTGGTTTAACGCATTCAAACGTAAAAAAAGCAAAATAAAATGTTTCTAGTTGTCAAAATATGTGCTCGTTTATCGTGATATAAATAGGTAAACTTTGGATTCTAAAACCATTTATTATATTTACAAAAAATACTGTAATATCAACATTAAATTATGATATTCGTTAGTTTGACAGTAAAAATCTATATTTTTTTAACAATCGACTCAATTTATAATTATTACAAAAACTTGAGATTCGCAAATTATTTTAACAATCACTTTGTTATATAAACATTTATGATACTTTATTTAAATTGGACAGTTCAATAATTTACAGTTTTGTTTTTGGTTTTAATTTATATGTACGTTAATTTGTATTTTTAAACTATTGCTGTGCGTTAAGCAGACTCTCGAAGCTCTGAAATTATAGGAAAAGCTTAATTGTTCTTATTTGCAGCGATTTGAGGCTCAATTTCAGAAATTATTAGGTGCAGACTTACATTCTTTTTGCTTTGGTTGGACCTGTAGGACCAGAAAGAGGGCCTTTGGTAGGACATCGTCTAGCACTGAAGGAATGGAGGTGTGCTGTGCGCGGACGAAGAAGCAAACCCGACAAAACGGAATCCGCGAATTTTTTCGTCCGAAATATTTTTCTTCTTCTTTTTTGTTTTCTCTTCTTTTTTTCTATTTCTCGTCTCTCTTGCAATGCACATACATACATAGGGGACGGTCTATATATACATTATTTTTCGTATCTTCGTCTGCTGAAAAAGTGGGGGAGTTTGTGGGTTTGTGTGTGTGTATGATGCGAGAGAGGATGTTCAATTCAGACCAGAAGCCCAGGCTTCGGTTTAATTTTAGACCGTTTGCTTTTTATTGTCCGGCCCAGCTGTGTTTGGCACATGAAATGGATTTTTTTCTTTCGAATTTGTATGTGTGTGTATTTTTTTTGATAGATCCGAGGCGAAATATCATTTCATAAATATTTACCACCGATTTGTAGAAATAATTATAGAAAACGAAGCAATATACAAATTAAAAGTTGCATAAACACAATAACCGATGCATCGCAAGTATTTGAATTACGAAGTTGGCAGCATTGCATAACCGGGACAAGATGCCAAGCCAATTCGATACGCCGGATTGCGGCAGTACATTTGTTTGGAAAATTAACGCAAGTTGCAACAGTTGAACTTATATATATTATTTTTTTGTTACTAAAACAATTATGATTTCAAATTTTAAATAATTTCAAAAAATTGAAAAACGAAATTTAAATTTTCATGTCTATTTCATAGAGACATTTTGAATTAACAGTTGGTAACGTTGAAAATAAATTGTAATATCAAAATGTTTTTGAATATTCTGTTGTTGTTATAATATTGATCTGTTTTTGCATAAGAAATGTCGCTGATTCTGCATTACGGACCGTACGAATCGCACGGAGTCATCAGGCATAAGATACAGAGGCTGAAGGGACTTGTCGGTAAGAGACAGTTGTAATTTGATGTGATATTGAACTTGGTTTTGGAAGAGGAATTGACGAAGGAGAAATACTTCGTGGAGATGGTAGCATCGCCGCACCTGAATCGTTTGACGGTGGAGATGAGGGGCCGCACGATCTTCACCTGCGACATCAGGAATCTCCTATTCAATTTGTCGTTGGAGATGGACGTTGTGGGTAGACGGATAATAGATGTTATAAAGCAGCACGAGGTCATCTTCTTCGCGGATGAGAATGTTGCCAAATACGATTCGATAAAGAGGGGCATGCGGTGGCTCAACTACGAACACGACCTGCAGAACGTGCATCATTACCTGGACTCGGATATTTCTATATTCTATCAGCTCGGTGATCGGCAGAAGGTCGTCGCCTCGACCGATCCCAGATTTGCAGCACTGTTCATGGAAAGGATCGGCGGTGAGGATGATAATGAAATCAAGCCCGAAAATATGCGCTACTCGACCTACTCGCACAGCAATCTGATGTCCATCAGATCGGTGGTAGTCGACAGATCGCGGATTTCCAAAGAGGAATTTGATATCTCTTATATTTCGGCCGATCCTTCGATGACCACCGTTTGCGTGGATGGACCATGTCCGAAGTGTCCGCCTCCCGAAGTGTTGGAGGATTATGTTAACAACGAGGAAGATAGTACAAATTAAAATAAAACAGATTTCAAATTACATTTTCATTGCGAATATATAGAACGAATCATCACTTATTATTTTGATGATATTTAAATATTAAAGTGTAATAAATTACTTTAAAACTGCTGAAAAACCCCGATTATCCGTGGTAATTCGGGAACGTTAAAGCACGGATAATTGATAAACACGGTTAATCACTTTAAAAAGTAATCTGTAATTTTTTATTGTTTTCCTTTTAAAATTGTTGTTTCTTTATTTAACTTGATTTACAAAACGGCAGATATGCAGAGGCCATTTTATTGTTTAGCTTATAAAATAAGTAAAAACCACTGCAAATTAAGACCCAGATAATTGGCGTTTTACTGTATAACGAATATATATTTTAAAAACAAATGGGAAAATTGCTACGTAAGCAAGTTCGCTTGGTTGCCTGACATTTTATCTGAGAGTATATCAGCTTTAAATGTAACAAAACCGCATGATTGAATCCAATTGCTTTATGTTAATAATTCATTTATTTGATTTTAAGTTTTATAATACAATTTAAACAGCATTTCAAATATATTGATTAAAATGGTTTAAATATTTTGAATTTTTATTAATAATATTTTTTTTTAATACAAAAAGAGATTTATATCAATTTATTTATTGATATAAATCTCTCCGACCCTATTTCTAACCCTTTCGGGTTTAACAGCCACCACAATTTTTTTGTTGATTTTTCGGAATTGAACTAACGACCTTTCGTATCAGATTTTCGTGATACGGCGACCTTATTAATAATAGTTTAACGATATTAATTTTACAATATAGTATTATATAAAAGTTTAAGAAACCCTGGAATGGAAATGAAAATATCATCAGAGGGCGGCACCAATCAAATCGGTTAGATGTCGCACTTCTTTTGGAGGTTAAACTGGGTTAAACCACTGACAGTTACAAGTTGAATTAGTTCAAATCGTTCGTGTATAAACAATTGTTTTTAATATTCATATTAAATTATTTGAACTACGAATAAAATATTTAAATTCAAAAATTGTAAGTTCGCTACACAAGTTGTTCGTTAACGCATAGTAATTGTTTTGTAGCGGGATGAGGCCGCAGACGAAGATGAAGCAGGGCATGTCGTACTCGAAGAAGGAGAAAACTATTATACTGAACGTGTTCAAGTATTTCAGGATAGAGTATCCAGAGAAGTGTGTTACTGAGCTTGTGAGGAAGACGTCGAAGGCAACCGGTTGCAGCGAGAAGAGCATATTTCAGTTCCGTAAGGAAGAGGAAAGCGTCGAGGGTTTCAAGGAACCTTCGCGGACGAAGATCAGGAAACATCTGAATATAAATAGTAGAGACATAAAATATGATGCATCGGTGCGAGAGGCCATCCGCGTCATCATCTACGATCTAAAGTACAAAAACGTCATTCCATCTCTGAACACTATCCTCAAGCAAGTGAATTCCAGCAGCTCTTTACCGAATTTCTCGTTGATGACTCTGAGGAGGCTGTTGTTCGACATGGGTTTCTATTACGAGAAGAACGGTAACAAATCGATTTTGGTGGAGAGAGGTGAGAACGAAAAGAAACTGAGCGATGATAATAAGAAACTGGAAGAGAAGAGGTTGCAAGTTGATGATAACCCGATACCCTTCCATTACGAAGGCCAACCGAGCTTCCATCCCCCAACCAATGAACTGAATAGACCCACATATTCCACCTATAATGTTTCCATGATGATCAACAACAATTACGAGATGCCGAATGCTTGGGTCCAGCACCAAATCGGCGTCTCCAATTAATAACGTAACCACGGAAAAACATAAAAATGAACAAAAGCCGACGTCAGTATTACCGCAAGCGTGCTGTGATTTCAATTCCGATTTTATTATATTTAAGTCTGAAAATTATTTATTTTGTATGCGATCAGTATAATATAATAAATACTGTTTTTTTTAAACTAAAATGTAAAAGAAATGGTAAACGTGTAAATTAAATAATTTATTGGAATGGTACAATATTTTTTACATATTTTATATACATATTTATAATATTATTATTTGGATTTGATTTAAGGCAAGAGTTATTCAGTCTCTTATAATTATAATCATCGTTGTCTGACTAGATTGGTCGAAGTGTGGAAGAGTCTTGTTATGCCTCCATTTCAATGTTCTCGTTACTGTCACTCTTGAGCACTGCAAATATAAAATTCAGTTATCATCCGATATAATATAATTCACCAGGAATTATTACCTTTCAGCTGAATTAAATTGTCTTTGACATTTTCGTAGATCGGCTCCGTCGCTTTAATCTCTAATTAAAGAAACAAAAACAAAAAAATGAGATAATTTTCATACTTAAATATTTGTTGATTTTTACCTTTCAATTGTGGCGGATTTAAAATGGCATCGTTTATGCAGGTATGTATATACATATATTGAGCCTAAAAATAATTAATTTGTTAATAATAATGTTATAAGTGTTACGTAAATATTTTACTTCAGTTTGGACCATATTTTTCCTCTGTTTTCTTAAATTCAAAACTGTGTTGAAGATGTCCAAATCGCCGTTACATGCAATAGTTTGTAATAGTATGTCGATGGCAATCAACGTTCCGGTCCGTCCAACTCCGGCGCTATAAAAAAATTTAAAAAAAAAAATGGAATTGAGCAACGAAGGTTTTCAATTAATCTCGAAATGAAATACCTGCAATGCATGATAGCTTTTGTGTTATATTCGTCGATGAACTTCCTGACTAACAGACAGAAGTTGAGCATGTTTTCGGTGCCGCTCGGACATCCGAAATCTGGCCAGTTCATGAATTGCAGATGTATCACGTTCAGCTTCTTTGAATCCTGCAAAATTAGAATACAAAGATGACAAAACGATTAGAATAAATAATTAGGATAATTTACAGTTTGCACTAGTATGTGACGCTCGCGGTAGAAGCCGTAATTCAGCTCGGTGGAGCACCGGATTTGGATATCTTCGATTTCCATTTGCTCGTGATCGTTCGGGAAATATTTGTAACATTTCTCCTGAAAATCGATAATTGCATAAATTTGGTATTAAATTGATGTTGTTTTTTACCCGTTTCTGTTCATAGAATTGCGCCAACATCACGATTACCGTTGCGTTCTGCTCAAGAACCATCTTCCAGAAATCATACAAAGTGCCCTCCAAAGGACCTTGCGTTGCTATGTACTCTGGTGTATCCGATATACCCTAGAAACACATTTTCATTGAATACCAATTTAAGGTTTGGATATAAAAGTTAAATCTTGTAAGAAAAGCTTACTTTGACAAATGAAGCGTTTATGTAGTCGCTATCCGTGCATCTCAGAATAACTCTAGTATCGTCAACTGGAAAAGTAAACCAAAATTTGTTAAATGTTAACTCTATAGATGATGGAAAAGTATTACAAGGTAGTATGTTGGTATATCGATTTTTCTTCTTGTTCTCTGGCAGTGAAGCCACATTTGTGAGTAGAACGAGTTCGGCGCTGGTGGTGTTGAGGGTTAGGAATTCCTGCTTAAGTATGTTGGGGTTCCTCTGGAGCTCAACGTAGTAGTCTGGGAATTTATTGCTCACCACAGGTATATGCACTATAGATTCATCGCCAATCTCCGTCTCCACGTGCAGTTCCACCCTCCTCTTGCGCCACACGTAAAACCCGCCGCCTCCCGCCAAAATAACAACAGCCAGTACAGCAAGTACAATTCCCAATATTGCCGCAACGCCCAACGCTCGTTCATAATCTAAAATCAAATTTAATTATAATCTAAATTTTAGTAACTAAATAACATCACTTACCTGTTTCGAAGTACATGGCTTTAGTAGTTTTATATGCGTTAGCTGTGTATCCTCTGATTTCCACGAAATAAGCGGTTGCAGGCACGAGAGGACCATTACAAAATCCATCATCATCTGAGCAATTTTCCGTACCTAACTCATATAACACGTATGTTTTATTGCCTAAAACGTAAAATTTAGTAATCGATTGCTATAAGGAATAAGTCAATTGCACCTGAAAAAGGATTCCATTTTTGGGGTGTTGCTTGGTACTTTTCTATGGCCTCCGTCTTTTCGCTCCAATGGGGAAAATTGGGTAAAACTTCGCCATTCCAATAACCGTAGGAATTAGTGGTATTATCAATTTGATCATGTCCCGTTACCAAGATTGAGTAGTACAAGATATCTCCATTATCATCATCGAAAAGTTCCTTATGCATCACAATAGAAGCCGTAGTGTAATTCACATTTTGAAGTATGAATTGATTGCTCTTCACCTTCGGTACTAAAATCAATGAATGAATCAATTAATATGCAATATAAATAGATTGAATTTAAAATACCACCGGCCGGAGATTGAAAAGCATATTCTTCCTTGACACCATCCCCGTACTCAGTAATAGTATGCACCACAACAACGTAATCCTTCGATGGTTCCAGTGGAAACGAGTAGCTTAATTCATTTTCATCACTTGTAGCGTTTACAATACCATCTTCTAAAAGCTGAACTCGATACGATCGGAACTGGCTATTCATTGAGCAAGGCGGCTTGAATGTGATCTGCACATGACAGATGTATTTCTCCTGATCTTTGGATAACATTATTTCCGTATTCAAATCCTGCACCGGGCCTGCTTGCGTCTTAGCCGTTTCGTGAATTTTGGACGCTGCGAACTTTCCTCCAGCTCTTGTACTTGCTACAACGCTAACATTGTAACGATGATTGGGGTTTGTATCTACGAACTCGTAGCTCTGATCCGTCGTCGAGTATATGTATAACACTTGCGCTTCAACCTCGCAATCTGTGGACGTGTCATGTATAGCACCCAAATATCCAATGGATACGTTGTAATTTTGGAATTCCCCATTCATGTGTAAAGGTGGATTCCAATCAACTGAAAAACTAGTGTTGCTCAAATCAACGAACGGCTTCAAAATCGGTTCGCTGGGATCTGCGAAAACAAACATCAATTTCTTACTGTGAATCTAATTTCATTTACTTACATCCATCTGGTGAGGGGAACGAAATTTGCACTTCTTCACTGACATAACTATTTTCTTTCAACACTGTCCTAACACTGACAATATAGTTCTTTTGGGGCTGCACATCTTCATAAACATAACTGTAATCGATATTGCTCATATCTTCGTTCGCAAGCACTTCGTCTGAAACCATCTCAACTTTACTGTTGCCCTCAATCGACCACGAAATGTAGATTTGAAAATGCGAGAAAGTCCCAAAAGTATTGCAGGGATACTTCCAACGAGCATCAATCGACACATTGTAGATTCTCCCAAAATCGTTCGACAGAACATGTTCAAAATTTCTCGGCTGTTCGGGTTCTAGGAAAACAAAATAAAAATTAACTTCGAACAAAAAATTTCATGAATTAAACTCACTAAAAATGTTAGTTGAGAACTTCTGCTCCGAATAATCGCCTGGTCCTATTGAACTAAGAGCGCGAATCTTTGCTGTGTATGAATGATACGGATTACTGGGTATTGTCTTGCTCTGAATCTTGTACTCAATTTGCTCGTTCGACTTATTTGCAGATCTTTTACATTCATCGGGAATGAAGTAATTCGGGAAATTTTCCAAAAATAAGTCGTATCCCGTAGGAATCGAAGGCATTTTCTCGGGTTCTTTCCAAGTTAACGTAAAGTTATAAGAATGTACATCCTGTAACTCAAAATCCCGAGGCTTACTTGGAACTAATAAAAGTGTACTGTTAATAAACATAAAATAACTAAATATCTTATTTAACGCATATTACCTTCTTGGAGTGTGGTGAACTCGAATTTGTCATATTCTTTTCCTTCAAGATCTTCGGAGTTTAACACGTACGCTTTGCAAGAGTAATTGGTAAATTCGGATAAATTTCCAATTGTCATGAGATCTTTCAAGTCGAAGATATTAGTTGTATTCCATATGGTCCATTCCAATTTTTCATTAGCTTCGCAGTAAATTTTCACTTTGTTAAAAGAACATCTTGGGCTATGACTTTGCACAATATTGCATTGAACATCAACTTCCGTTTTTCTCACTTCAATAACTTCGCATGTGGGTTTTGGTGCATCTACATAGATTAAGCGATAATTTCATATTTTTTTTGCGGTTGCCAATAAGATAAACTTACCCTCTTCCAAAGTCATTCTGTCTTGAATCACAAAATTTCCAAAATCAGTTTTGGATTTTGCAGCTACTTTTATTGTGTAACTAGTACACGGTTCTAAATTTTCGAAAGTATATGTTAAAATATTATCTACATCAATAGTTGCCTTCTGATTAATTTGAAGGGTGTATCCAATGACGCAATCATTTTTTATGGGCGCTTTCCATTTTGCTTTCAAAAAATTGTTCGATGGGATAATATCTAGTTTTTGGATAATGTTAGGAACTGAACGATAATGTTCAAATTTTTCGACATTCCGAGGTGAAAGACCTATTGTTTGGCAGAAGGCGTTTTCTATAATCGTTTCGTTGTTGAAAATATCAATAACTTTATCGTCTACGTGCAAACTGAAATCTCTGCAATTATCAAGCAGATCCCATGATACCTTGATCTTCATTTCATCCAAAACTTCCAGAGTTAAGTTTCTATCGATATCTAGCGCAAAAAAATACATTAATCACTTTGCTATCTTACTTATCAGAATGATTATAGCAGGTTAGTAGGTTTTCCTTCCAACTGACAATCGGTCCTTCGTTAGCATGTGTACTTTTTTAGAATTATTTGAGTTTAAATCATTTATCTAGACTTACCTTTTCCGATTGTTGTAGCTTGGATTTCAAAAAATTGACCAATGTGTGTATCTGATTTAGCCGCAATCTTCACGTTGTATTCAGTGCAAGACTCCAAATGTACCTTCAACTCTACACTGGTAACATTTTCAACTACCACTTCTTCAAGATCACCTATTCTAATCACATAACCAACTATGCAATCGCCCATCTCCGGTGGAATCCAAGTCAAAGAGGCCAAATCGTAGGAGAGTATTGCAGATGCATTTTGAACCATTCCCGGTACTGAAACATAACCAGTTAATAGTTTGCTGTTGGTGAAAATTATTGAGCAGCGCACCTGAGAAGAAGAGGCGCGGTACGGCGCCCTTCCGAGGTGCTGCCAATCCGATATCCTTGCAGAAGCCATCAGGAATTACAAAAGATTTGCCGGAAACGTTCTCAACGCTTCCACCCACGTGCAAATTGAAGTTGTTGCATCTTCCAGATAAGTCCCACGATATCAGTATCCTGGAATCGTCCTGCACGTCCAACGTCAAATTGCGCGGTTCGTTGAAATCTAATCATTTCAAGAAAAGAATATCAAGAATGACGATATTAGAAATATGCAATGGAAACACATGAATTTTATAGAACTGAAAACATTCGAGCAATCAAGAAAATGTGGTCGAGATAAAAAAAAAAGTCGGGACTGTGAAAAGTGAGTCAGAATTGTAATTGAGGATGTTCCCATTAAGATATACTCTGGCAGATGAAATATGGGTAAAAAATGAAAACAATAATAACTATCAAATAACATTTGAAAATGAATATAAATGTGATAATCTAATCATAAATATGTAAAATGGATTTATCACTTAAAGTTTTATATTTCCTATAATTTAAAATAATTTGTAAATACTGATTATTGAAATTAATTGGTAAAGATTTTCCTTGGATGCAGAAGATTTATTTGTTTGATAAGAACCGAGACAATGGATAAATGTGGATCATAGATTGCAGGTGAAAATAGCAAATAACAACAATAACTTGATAACGAATTGGATGAAATAAAAAAAAATGGAATGGACGTGCAAATAATGTGGAATTGCTTTACAGCTGAGGACACCTTGCGCGTTCATTGTATTATTTCTATTTTTTTCGGTAATATTTTTCGTAATCATCGTTTTATCTAATCTAGTTATGCTTATTTATCAGAAGGATAAACAAATATTAATATGGACTGATCAATTTCAATTAATGGACGTACCTACTAAAAATTTTTGGATCGTTTTGAAGTTGGAATGAACGTTGAAACATTCAAATTTTCCATCATATTCAACGCAGTTCTTGAACTCTTCGCTGCTGTTGTAACCCTTATTGCTATTTCCGATGTGCCTGTATATAATTGAAGAATTGCTGGAAAAATCTAAATTACACGAATAGATGCAATCTTTTTCATTTTCATCGAAGGGTTTCCATTTGAAATGGATTTGTTGGGATGTGTTCTCGGGGTATTCGATGGCGAAGTCTTCGAATTCCGGATGACCTATTTCATTATATCGCAAATTAGTTAAATAGTTTGTTGTTGCTGTGAAATGGAGCGCTTACACTTGTTGCACTTGCAGTTGTTCTTTGTGATTGGGTCAGCAGTTGATGAGGCAGCAGTCTCGGAGGTGGAAGAGGTGTAGACGTCGGTGCTCGTGCTTGTACTTGTGCTGGTATCGGTTTTAACGATGTCGACGATGTCGGAGGCGGCGCACACGAAGAATATCGCGAAAAAAAGGCGGCAGAGCATTATTGTCTGTTGGCGACGGGACCAGCACTTTTATTAAACTCGTATTATTTTGGAATCAGTCACGGATTGGAAAAGGCATTCCGAGGAAACGCGCATTGATTACAGCAGGATGTGCGACTACGATAAAACAGCATAATATACATTCGCGTATAATCGCGGTCTTTGTATTTATTTGAAACTTTTCGCCATACGCACGCACACTCACACACAAATATATATATATATGCAATCTCTCACATCCTCATGTGGATAATCCAATTGTCCCCGCAAGTTGATCGGTTTGTGTGGGGGAGAGGGACACACACACACTCTTGCAGCGATAGATTTGGGCGATTGGGGAATAACGAGAGAGTGGGAAAGGGCCACGGAAACTTCGCACAAAAGCACTTTCCTTGATATTTCACTATCTACACTATCAGGTACTACTACTAATATTTATCTATGATGTTCGATTGTTGATGCTGATGATTGTTGATGAAGCTCATAGCTGCTAGATGGACCGTCAAAATTGGAGCAGCGCGCTTCCTTATTTTTTCCCCCTTTCGTTCCTGACAACGGTAGTTGATGATGTTGATACTTCTGGTGATGGTAATAAGCAAAGATATGTTCGTGTTGCTCTTCACTCTTCAGTCGCGCCCTCGGGAGCGATACGGCTTCTAAAAATAACTCAGATGCCCAAGTTTCAATTGGAACATGTGGTGTTGTAAATTCATTCCTCCCGCACACCAGACGCACTCGCACACACACATCGACTCTTAAACGTTACAATTATCAAATTAATTAGTGGACGACACATAATATCTATTACATGGTCGTAATTCCGTATTATGCATCCAGTTGAGCGCTCCACTGCCGTCGATAACGACGCACTCCTTCCTCACTTCTTCTTTGGCCCGACTTCTTTCTACCTAAGACTACTACTACCTGCTTTCTTCGGAAAGGGCTCGCATCCGTCACCTCCTCCTCCCCCTCTTCCTTCCCCGCTACCACTTCATTCTTCTTGCTCTTCGTCTCGCCGCCCTCAAGGGCCCATCTTCTTCCACGATTTTGTTTTTATTTTGTTACCTCCTCTCGGCCATCTGGAAATCTCGGCGAATCCTTTGTGCCTACCATTTTTTTTACCTGCACAGAGTAAGAAGCATTCAAAAACGATAGCATTTTTCCGATATTCCCATACTTTTACCAGGGAATTTACGTTTCCAGGATGTGGCGGACTTTCGTAATAATAATTCCATCGGCAACAAATTTCAATTGATGATACGAGCTAAATTCGATAATTATGAAATAACTTCAGCCGAAGACGTATTCCAAATCTTTGTACTAGAATTTATTCAATCATTTTTTTTTTACCTTCAGTCTAAGATTTTCTTCAAATGTAAAGTTTATACTGTTTACATCCTCCTGTTTACATAAGTTGTTAACAAAGAAATAATAAATTTAATTTTTCTGTAAAATAAACAAAATATATACATTTCAATATATCTACAAAATAGTCATTTGTTTTAAATAAAGTGAATCTTAGAAAAATTGATATTTTGAAATTATAAATATAAATTAAATTTTAATGTATTTCTTCATTTCTAAATTGGTTTTGCGGTTATTATTCCAACCACAATCAGATATTTCCAGCAAAATAATACTTTTAACCAGTTAACGCACGAATTAAGTAATTTAAATTAAAAATATATTTTCTTTTATAAAAAACAAATAGATTTATGTAAACTTTATTTTTTACTGTCCGCAGCTGGGCTACGTATCAAATTTAACACAATCATCATTTAAACAACAATTTTATTTAATTCAATCAATTATTCTTATGAAATTCTTGAAAACAATTACATTTGTTTGCCCTTTACAACCTGATTTTTTTTTACAACGCTGTCGACTTTCTTGGATAACTGGCCAATGATGGATTCCATCTAATCTCACATTTTTCGAAGGAAGAACAGTTGTTGGGCCCTTTTTCTCATATACTTCTTGAAGGGATTATAAACGTCGTCCACTTTTCTTAACATTGGTTCTTTTGTCTTCTCTACATAAGGATTCTGATATCTGGGTCCAAAATTTCAAAAGATCCATTTGGATCCAATTTCAAACGATCCAACAATTGATTAATCAAATGGCAAATGAAACGGTGATACCATTTAATTGATCTTATGGATTTGGTGGTATGATATTAGACCACCTAGCAAGTCCACACCTCCCATAAATTCACTATAGATTTTAACCATTTGTGGACATTCTACTTTAATTCTTTTCCTGTATATATTTCGACAAAGCCCATCAGCATCGCAAATGACAAATATTTTATAGCCCCATTTGGCACATACTGTTGTTTTAAGCTAGAATGGCATCTGTTGATGAGGAATTTTTAAAAATTTTGATTGCAGGTGATTGACTATTGGTTAGATTTTTTATAGCTTATCTCTTTGAAGGTCAGTCTTGGATGGTTCCTCAGCATTGTCATTCAAGTGAAAATACTTTTTTATTTCTTCCCATCGATCTCTACTTATGATATCTGAAATCTAATATACGCGAGTATTTTTTTGCCCAACGTGATCTTGGAAAACCAAAAATAGACATGTAAATTGTTCCAAAAAATTGTTCAATTTCAAATCTATTCAAATTGAGTATCTTGTTTGGATTTAGTTGTTTACAATATAAATTACTTTGTACAACAATGGGATCTAAAATCACATAATTGAAAAAAAAATCGAAAATATCGAACTGGCGTTTTCAGTTCTTCCGCCTACAGAATATTACCAAACCAATTTGGCATATTCCTAACACTTTCGTTTCTGATTCTGCTTCACTAGTCTTATTTTCTGATTCTTCATTATTTTCTTCCAAATTCATTATAGCAGCTTTACATTTGTAAACGATTGGGTCATACTCTTCATCACTATCACTCAAGCAACTATCTTCACTTTCCTCTGGTATCTGTCTAGTTTGCAAGGAACCATTTACAGACAATTTCTTTTTTTCATAAAATGTTGAAGGATCCATAACCTACGTCGAGAAGAAATATAAATAAATATACAAATTAATTTTCCTATCATGTATTATATTTTTTACAATATGTATATCAGTTATTATTGATATAAAACTCTTGGCCCTATTCTGCCACCATTTCCGTATAATAGACATATTATAAAATAAATTTATAATTAAGCTTAATCCTTTATTTGTATTTTTATTGGAATTTTAATCAATATTTTTCCCGATCTCCTATTTTAATGCTGTTCTCTTTTAGTACTGTTATCTTTGTCCTATTCTCTTGCGTAATGTTCTATCCTAGTGTGTTGTTTGGTCCAGTCCCCACTATAACAAGGATATGAGCCAATCTATGTATAGTGGAACATCGTTTAACGAATTTAATCCGTTCCAAAATTTCCGGATTTTTACTCGTATAGTGAAACATATTTAAAAATACACATATGTGTACATAATTTTTAAAAATGATGTAGAATGCGCAGTCCGGAACTTTTTTTCTTACAACACAAGGTTCCACTGTACATAGATTTGCTCATAAATTTATAAAAATCCATATTTTTATTACTGTGCATATTAGCGACAAAGCAAATAATCTATGAAGTCGCTTTAATACACTTAATCAACTAACCAAAAGAACACTAACCAAGAGTACACATATCTAGTACATGTAGTAATTTTATAATTATTTACTTACCTCTGAGTTTACAACAAAAAAAAATATGACTGCCTCACAACATATAAAACTTGGATATTAATTGTAAACTACGTACTGTTTACTTTTATTGTTACACTAGCAGTGTCGTCACGTGATTATATTTTAAGATAAGAATATACTAAATGTTACACACAACCATCGTGAATTTGCTGCATTCGACTTAAGATGTTAAATTTTATTGCTAATGATAATGAAATCACCGAGCCATCATTTCTTGTATACAATTTCAATAAAATATTCAACACAAAAATAGTTATTTTTTGCTAGAATTTAATTACATTTTGTAATAATTTTCAATAATTGTATTAGTTTATAAAAATGCTACCGCGGAATTATTATTTTTATGGTCAAATAAATATTATAATCTAATAATATTTTTTTCATATTAAAACTATAATGACAAATATTTGAGTTGGTTTGATACGTAATAATTTGAGAAGAATATTGATGAGGAAGCGGATTTTGTTTAGACAAGAAAAATATTTGTTTTGTTGTTTTATAAATTTATTCTGCATAAAATGCATAAAAATGTGTGTTCCTTAATTTAATACAAACGTTGTGGTGGTCCCATGGACGATTTAACGTGGAGGGACTTAACGTTTTGCCAATGCTTCTTCAGCAGAGAAACCAAGAAGTTAACGGACAAATGTACGTTTTGTACGAGCTCATCTGGGGTCATGTCAACGTGTCCAACGGCGACAGACAAGCAAAGTACCTATAAACAAATAAAAAGAACAGATTTAGTAAATGAACTAAAGTATCCTCTAACACTATATTAGATCTTTGAAAAATAGCTGTATTCCAAAAAGCTGCATCTAATCAACATAATATAGTCACTTCGAATTGAGCAATTTAGAAAGTTAATTTCGCATCATGTTTCTTACAATTTTGAGTTGGCATACATCAAACTGCTGGCTTTGTTATGATGCAAAGAAGAATAAAAACAAAATATATGAAATGTATGCATACCTTCTTCATTTGGAACTTGATGGTGGCCTTGACTTCATCAATCTTTTGGGTCATGGATTCTTGGTGGGACAAGAGACCAGGGAATTTACCAGCCTTGTTAAGACCTGGACCCAGGAGACGTGGGATCTGCTTGATCAAAGCCTCAGAGGCAAGGAAAGCGTCGTATTTCTTGGCCAGTTTCTTAACCAATTTCTTGTTCTTGTTCAGCTTCTTCAAAGCATCAACATCCATCCATGGGACGCCGTTAGCTTTGGCCTCGTCACAATGCTGCTGATCTCCCAAGATGCACACCTGCATTTTTGGGCGGGGAATGTGCTTTAGCCTATACAAATCAAAGTGATACTTAATGACAACTGCTGGCTACAATTATAAACATATTCGACAATAATGAACTTACTGAGTGCAGTTCTTAATATTAATATATTAATGAAATGGTTCGACAATCCCAAACAGGTTGTTTGGAATTATCTACCCAGTTTATTAAAGACCCTGGGTACAGGTCCCTTGGGGGCCTTATGCCACCCAAACTTCTGACCATTTGACCCATCTTTAGGATGCACTAATATCTTGCAAGTAATGTTGAAACTTAATGATCCTAAAAATCGGATCACGGCAGATTTACGTACTTTACGGTTCCGCTGAAACGCTTGTCCTTCTGTGGATCATAATTCTTCAGACCGATTTGGACTTCAACGGTCTCCAAAAAGTTCCTCTTCTTCTCAGCAGAGTTGCTGATAACGGCGTTGACACATTCATAGAACGTATCACGAGATACCTTCGACCTAACCAACAAAAATAGAAAAACCCATATGTTAGTATAACGAAAATCGTACGAAAAGAAATAAAATCGTATTGAATTGAAGAATCTATTGATGAATTATATTCCAATAAATAAATTCTAGTATAATAGCAAACAATTCTGATGATTTCAGATGAAAGTTATAAAATATGGTACTTACGTCATGATGAGATGCGGTCCTCAACAACACGCAAGTAGGAAAGAATGAATTTCCGTCGGTCGCGGAGCACCTAAGATGGATGGTGTTCTACAGTCATGCCAACTGAAAATAAATGTACATCCCCAACTTTAAAAAAAAAAATAAACTAAATTTAAAATACAAATCCATTAACTTCTTATTAATAATATATTGATTTTCCACTACAATACAGATTGCGATTGGTGTAATGCGTCGACAGGACGTAGCTAAATGGTAGAGGCTCTTCCTAGAGGAAAGAAGCAGGAGGAAGAAAAAAAAAGATTTATATTCTTCTATTTTAGGTGTATTGAACAAACTAGGTAGGATTATGAATTGTATTATTAATCATAATGTAATTAATTTTCAATAAGGTATGTAGTAATATAATAGCAATAATCAAGTTTGCTTTAATTTTGAAGGAAAAAAAATAAGTAAACGGTATTCGATTCTAATTATTACACATTTATTTTGTAATTCATGTAAATAATATAAAGTAATCTATATAAAATAGTTGTTTTTTTTTCATTGTGTATACATATACTTAGGGACCACTACCGGTTATAGTGAGAGCGGAGAATATAAAAGAGTTAAATATAAATAAAACAAAATACAGTAATTAAATAACAAGATTTTGAAAAGATTTCTAATTTCTCATTTGTTGTTCTTTTTGAAGAGAAAATGCGTTTTCTGTTTGTGTTTTAAATTTACAATTTGTTGGAAATTATGTTGAAGGCTTCAGTTCTCTCCTCTTCTAGCTCCTTTCCAGTATTGTTGATCATCTTCTGGGAGAAATCGTCAATTTCTAATCCCTGGACGATCTTCCATTTGCAGTTCTCAATTGTCACTGGGAACGAGAAGATGACGTCCTTGGGAGCTCCGTAGCTGCCGTCGCTCATCACACCCATTGAGACGAATTTGCCCTTGGGGGTGCCCATGAACCAGTCCTTCATGTGGTCGGCCGCTGCTTTGGCGGCGGACATGGCCGATGACATCTTCCTGGCGGCGATGACGGAGGCACCGCGTTTCTGGACGGTCTCGACGAAGACGTTCTTGAACCAGCAGTCATCCTTAACTTCAGCAGCGGCGTTCGTCTCGCTTCCGTTCTTGTTGACGAGAGCGTGAGTGGCATCCGGGTATTGGGTGGAGGAGTGGTTGCCCCAGATGATCACATTGGAAATGTCACCCACTGGGACTCCGACCTTGGCGGCGACCTGAGCTTGAGCCCTGTTCTGATCGAGGCGAGTCATAGCGCTGAAGTTTTCCTTCGGGATGGATGGGGCGAACCTGGAGCAGACCATTGCGTTGGTGTTGGCTGGGTTGCCTACGACCAGGACCTTGACGTCCTTCTTTGCGTTCCTATCAAGGGCTTCACCCTGGACCTGGAAGATCTTTACGTTGGCGGCGAGGAGATCCCTCCTTTCCATGCCCTGCTTGCGGGGCATCGCACCTACGAGGAAGGCGGCGGACACGTCCTTGAACGCCACCTCTGGGTCGGCCGTTGGGACAACTGACCTCAAAAGCGGCAGGGCGCAATCCATGAGCTCCATGACGACGCCTTCCAACACTCCCATCATTGGCGGAATGTCCAACAGGTGAAGCACCAAAGGTTGATCTTGGCCAAAGACATCGCCCTTGCTGATCATGTACAAGAGAGAGTACGCGATTTGTCCGGCGGCTCCGGTAACCACAACTTTGATTGGTTCAGCCTAAAAAAAATTAACATTTAATTCCTTACAACAATGTTATTAAAAAGTAATAACTTTGATTAATTAGTATCAAATTTAATTCATATTATTACTTTTTTTTTATACATTGTAATTTACTTAAAATGTATATTTTTCAACAAAACCAAACAATTTTATTAATTAATTGTTACAATTGCATACTATATATCCAATATTCCAGTAATTACATAATGCTTATTTTTTTATGATAGACGTATGATATACTATCTGATATTTAACTTTCGCAATAATAAAGGTCAAACTATTTAATATATGCAACCAAATCTGCCAATGATGACAAGAAATGCACAACTCTACAAATCCAATTAGATTAATTAACAGCACAGCAATGCAACTATGACCTTGTTAACATTCAATGACTTGTACTATATAAGAAAAGCATTATCAACTTAAAGAGTTTGTTTTATTCAATTAAACTATAATATTTAAAATATATTGCAGCGAAAATAATAAAAATAATGTGTGTTTGAAGAATGCAGTTGAAAACACATAGACAGCAACATTAACCTCACCATTATTCCCGTGTACTTGACGCCTTGGTTACAAGAAGACAACTGATCTGATGAACTCTGATTGTGGTCTGACCGGCCCTCTGCTAACCGGCTGTCTCTGATACGAGAATGGACGATATGCCTATGTATTCGTCCTACAAACTCCTCAAGGTGGCGATTTATCTACAATCACCCAATATCCACATGTATGATTATGACGTTCTTTGAACTTTCCACTGGCAGCTGCCATTCGTTCGGATTTCAGCGGCAAATTCCATTCGGCCAATTGGATGGAAGCCGTCGTCGCGTTGGAAAGAGTAAAAAACATCGGGTTAGCCGTGAAGACTAGATGTTAGAAAAGGAAGGATGTGGTGGAGGAGAAGGAATTTGAACATCGAGAAAAACTCAAATTCCAAACATCGTTGCGATGGGAGGCTTGTACATAAATATTTTTAAACTTATCTGAAAACTGGGCTTGGTTACGTCAGCTCCAGGGGCACGGCCGTCCGGACTTGATTAAATAATCATCCTTATTAAATATTGATAACGAGATTATTTATAATTAAACCCATTTTTACACTCGAAATACATTATCTCTATAATTAAACAGATACCGCTCGAACGAAAACAAATTTCGGTTTTCGAAGTTGTTATTTGGATATCATTGACCTACAGCTCTACTCTGTTTAAATTTACCGTCGATAAACAATTGTATAATTAACATCTTTAGATCAAAATTATTAAAACTTAATGAAAATTAAAACAAAACGCAATTTCAACAAAACCTATTAGTAATTTATTATTTAGTCAATCTTAATCAATTAATAGTGTTTAGATAAGACATGATTAGTAATACTAGTTTTTTTTTAATAAATAACTTATCAAAAACAATTGAACAATAGGTCTAAAGGTTAATTAGAAAATCATGTTTTTTAAAATTTATAATGCGCTTCTACATTCGACTTCGTTTTGCTTATGTTTCAGAAAAAGTTGTATCCTCGAATAAGTTATTAAATAACGGAATATAATAATTAAATCTTAAATAAACTAACAAATTATGTTTGATGCTAAAATCCAATTAAAGAAGAAGTAATTGAAAGAATTAAATGTAATTGGTGCTACTGAAGAACTGTCAAAATGATTTTGACAGTGAAAATAGCGGGAAAACGCAGACCATTCGTTTAAAAACAACGAGATTGTGTTGTAAACAAAGATGAGTTTGTGGGCCGATAAGCACCGTCCAAAGGACCTCCTGAAGGTGGATTATCATAAAGAACAGGCGGAGAACCTGAAGAAGTTAACGCAGCAAGGAGATTTCCCACATCTGCTTGTTTATGGTCCGGTGGGTGCTGGAAAGAAGACGAGGGTTATGTGTCTTCTAAAGGAACTGTATGGGCCTGGAGTTGAGAGACTGAGGATGGAGCAGATGACTTTCACGACGCCCTCAAACAAGAAGGTGGAAATTATGACTGTCAACAGCAATTATCATATTGAGGTGAACCCAGCAGATGTAGGCATCTATGATAGGATAGTCATCATGGATCTGATCAAGACTGTGGCTCAGTCGCAGCAGCTGGATGTTAACACACAGAGGGAGTTCAAAGTCATTGTGCTGACTGATGTGGATGAATTATCAAAGGACGCCCAACACGCCCTGAGGAGGACTATGGAGAAGTATATTGGTAATTGCCGTTTGATCCTGTGCGCAAATTCTACATCCAGAGTAACGGCGGCAATTCGCAGCAGATGTTTGAGTATACGTGTGCCGGCGCCAACCAACGAAGAGATCATCAGCATATTGCAAAGCACATGCAAGAAGGAGGGTTTGAATTTACCGACAGAATTGGCGCTTAAGATTGCGGAAAAGTCTGATAGGAATTTGCGTAAAGCGTTGCTGATCTGCGAGGCCTGCAAAGTCGAGCAGTATCCGTTCAATATAAATCAAGAGATTCCATTGCCTGATTGGCATGTCTTCATCAATGATATGGCCAAGGAAATTGTCAAGGAACAGAGCATTCAAAAGATTGCTACAGTTAGAACCAATTTATATGAATTAATAATTCACGGGATTCCAAATCAGTTGATTTTCAAAACATTGTTGGATGAACTGTTGAAGAACTGCGACGTTGAATTGAAGAGCAAAGTTGTTGAACATGCTGCTTTCTATGAACACAGGATGCAGCATGGCAATAAGCACATTTTCCACTTTGAAGCATTCATTGCCAGGTTCATGTGTTTATACAAGAAGTTTATTGAAGATGTTACCAGCGGTTTTTAATTTAAAATATATAGTATTGTTGTTTTTTTATTTAATAAATATTTTTCGAATTAAATTAAATATTGTCGCAGTTTTATTAAGGGAGGAAGGAATGTGAAGGCACGAGAGATTTTGTTTTTTAAAGCTAGGTCACTCTACATCTGAGAAGTCCTCGATGTTGATGTGCGCGTTGCATTCGTACTTTTCGTGTTCTTTGCAGACGAAGTTGGAGCCACGATCGCAGTCGCACTTGGCGAATCTCACATTTAGATTGTAGACGGGACTGAAGGGACGGTGGGGTTTGTTCTCTTTGTTCTCCTCTTTAAGGTCGTGTGATCTGGAGCTTCTGGCCGCACTGGAAACGTTCCTTCTACTGCTCACGTTTAGGACATTCGACGAAGCCAGATTCTCCGAAACCGATTTGCTCTGAGAGATAACGTGCGGCAGACTCTTGGATTTGCTCTTGGAAATCACATCCAAAGGAACGTCGGTTGTCAGTTCCTGGATCACAACTCTACAAATAGAAGAAACAAGCTGAGTACTGCTTAGAGACTGGGATATCGTTTTGAGGACGAGGACTGCTCCTCGCGGCTGGAATAGAATTGCTCGTTAGTTATTTTTCGACGCAGATGCTTGTTCAGTTGACTATACTCCAACGCCTTCTCCTGGTACGCATCGAGCTGATCTGTGGCTGATGAACTGAAACATGTTTAGAGCACAGCGATCAAGTAAAAGTCGTCACAACAGATTGCTAGCAAATAGTTTGATTGCACTCACAGCTTCCGGTGCAAATCCTCGAGCTCCTTGTTCAGTCTGCTGATCTCGCTCTGCAGGTCCTCGTTGATTAAGCGTTGATCCACCGCTTCTTGTCTGTTCTCGTTCAGGAGCTTCTCCAGATTATCGACTCGATCTTGATCTCTGCTCAGCGTTTTCTGCAGAATCTCAGAATCCCTCTTGAATCTCCCCAACTCTCTCTGCGTCTGCGATTTCAATCCTTCCTGCTCTTGCAGCTGTTCCAGAAGATCATCCTTTTGCTTCTCCACTCTGCTGTACATCTCTTTCACGCTCACCAGTTCAGATTCCATCCGCTCCTGCTGGTTCGTCGACATCTTCAGTTTCATCTCCAAATTTGCTATTTGCGATGTCAACTCGTTGATCTACAAAATCATTATTTACAATACTAATGCCCTCATAGATAGTAAGTAATCAAAATTATAACCATTAATACGAATTATTATCTAAAATCACTAGTATTAACTTACTTGTCGTTCGTAGCTTTTTATCATCTCTGTTTGGTCTTGGATATGTGTCTCGAGATCTGAAGCATGATCCAACGCTACCGACAGCTGCAATTTAGATTCAGTGGCTTGAGTTTCCAAACTGTGGTTGTTCGTCTCCAGCATTGTTGCTTCATGGGAAAGATTTCGGAATTGATCCAACATTTCGCTCCGTTCGATTTCCTTAATATACAAAAAAAAAACAAATATTAAAAAGGATAACAAAGACACAAGATAAAGTGTTAACAATTAAAGATGGAACTATTCAAAAGCAGTGTAAACAAGTAATGGAACATACTTACTGGATTTAGTGAAAGTAATTTCCAGTACAGTTCCATCTCCAATAATAGAAAGACCTTGGAAGGTCGCTCTGCAAGAAATCTAGTGAACGAGAATTGCGAAAACTCACCTTTGAAGTCATCATATCCTCGATGCGCTTGATTTCCGCTACGTAATGTTGCAGCTGCGTCTTGAGGTCTTGAACTTGCCTCTTCGCGATCTCCAGTTCCGCATTGCTGCTTCGGCAGCTCGCGGTGCACGCGGCAAGATCATCCTGCAGACGTCTACCAAACAAACATCTTCAATACCACCGAACATCAACACCGACAACAACAATAATTACCTGTTTTCCAGGAGAAGCGAATCCCTGGACCTCGTCAACGTCTGCAATTCCAAACGCAGATTGCCGACCTCCGAGGAAACGGACTTCAGCTGAAACTCGCGCGAGTTTTTCTCCTCCAAGGTCGTTCTGTTCCGACAACAACAGAAAAAAACCATAAAAATATAAAAGAAATCAAATGGTATCACTTTCCCGCATAACTAATTGATAGGCATTACGCTAATCATGTTGCAATTACTGCAGCAATCGAGGGAACAGCGACCGAACGAGACCTAATGAAAAGTAAACATAAATATTGGTGAGAGAAAATATGCGCCTCGCGTTCGACCTTAATGTTTAAATCGTCATTTGTTTCTACTACACATAATAATAATAAAGAAGAAGAGCGATGTAGTAAAAATTGAAAGACCGTCATTATAGAAGAATGTACTTATATAGAATAGTAATTTAGAAAATTAGCATAAACCACTTGCGTTCAATGTTACAAACTCTGTCGTTAAGACGTGCGTGGTCAACAATGACTAACTGTATAAACTGTATAAGGTAAAGATCCTCGACACAAACGACTTGCAATTTCATTCGTAAAGCATCAATTGCAATCTCAATACACAAGAACAAATTGCTGAATCTCATTCAATAGTTAATTTAATGCTTCGTTTAAGATCACAAATGTTAGAAAAATAATTTTTAAATTTATAATTCTATATTTTTGCTAAGGAGAAATAATTGAATTTCATTCTGAAATTGAAGACAAAAATCATTGAATTTTACTTTTAAAATGAAACAACAAATTGTTTAACCTGATTCTACAGTCAATACAATATTTTACAACCGTTTTGGATAAAATCCATTATGTGTTTCTTTTCTGTTTCGCGCGCCGTTTTGATTAATTATTATTCTATACGTATACGAATTTGTTTAATTTAAATCCATTAGCATGATGTCTTGTGTTTTTTACATTGTAATTTTATAATTCGACGATGATATGAATAATATTAATAGTGAAACTGCGGACAGACAGAAAAAAAAAACATATACATTCGGTTTACGAATGCAAAACAGGTCTCTACGTACCATATCGATTATGTATTATATAAAATGTTTATGTTATTTATGTTTAAAATAATTTTATTCAATTATTTCTGCATGAATTATTTTTTTAATAGAATTTCAAGTATATAATCATTTTGGTAACTAATGGTTACACAATTGTTAGTAATTTAGTGGTACGATGTGTGTATGCAATCTTTTAAAAAAGTACAAGAAAAAACGAATATTAATAAAGATTAATAACAAATAACTTTTGTGGTAATTCAATTCTTCACCAATTTTATTTTGGTAACAAGTTAATGTTTTATTAAGATGAAGAGTTAACATGTTAATAAAAAAAACTAATTTTTATTTTGATAAATTAATTAATCACCAAAAAAACACAATTTCGGAAATTAAGGATTGAATACATCTTAATTAGTTTACAAAAAAGAAGAGAAAGAAGCTCAAGTGTATAATAAGTAAATTTTAATGACTTCTTTTGAATTCTATTTATAACGTCTTCAGTTCCTGTCCTCAGGTAAAAATTCAACGAAAGTGAAAGAAGTGGAATTTTGCTAATCGTTAAAATTTTATACATTATGCTGATGGAAGTGCAAATTATAATTAATGAATTATTCAATAAAAAAAAAACAACTAATTTTGAAGAATCTGTATTGCATGCGGAAGGAATGGGATAAAAGAATAGAAAACAAACGGTGTTTTTGATTTGGAAATTGTAGTGGAATCGTGATGTAAGCAGCAGCAGCAGCAACCGAAACCTATACGATTCGAGTCGAATTTGTAATCATTTCACTTTCGTCCGCGGCGCCTGCAATCATCGAATGATGAAGAGGATGATCGTGATGATGATGCTACCTACTACAACGACTGCCACCCGATGACCCTCACCAATTGTGCCATCAAACGCGCGACGAGAGTGAAAGTGCATGAAGCGCGGAAAGAGACGTCGTTCAAGTAAAAAAAAGTAATAATAATAGTAGTAGTAACAGTTTGACATTGAAAAAGGCAATTCCCACTCGAGCCGCCTCCTCACCACTAAGTTCTTTTTTTCCTCTTCTTACAAAGACACAAACCACCGTCGACGACGTCCGTTCCTCGTGTTATTCATGTTTGAATGAAGAGTGTGTGCCATAGAAATGAGTGGGCGCCGGTCGCGCGATATCTAAGAACAATTACATATCACGAAGAAAGAAATTAAATTTGAAGACGACGATGAATTTTCGATTATCGATTCAGTGATTATTGCAGCTGTGATGAACGGATTTAAGCACTTTTTACAGGTGAGTCCATATCAAAATTTCAAAATAAAAAAATGTTATTCGAGCAAGTTACGCAACGCGCTGAGATGAATTCCCGATGAGATGCGCCGCGATAAACAAGCGATGAATACCGGTGGAGAAGCGTCAAGGACGGCGGTGCATCTGCTTCGCTGATATCGATTGTCTTTTTCACGAGAAACAATCGAATAACAAGAAGGACAATTGAAAGTTAATACATTTCCATCGACCATATTATACCTTTTACTGCAATCTCTGGTTAATTAGATGCAAAGGTTACATTTTTTTTCAATTTATCAATTCAGTTTAAATAAGATTGAACTCAGTATTTAGAACAAGAATTACATACATTGTAAAAATCTACATAAGTAAAACTTAGACTTAAAATATAAACTAAATACACATAATAAATGTTTACAAACTTAAATTTTACAAACAACATACAAACATTTTTTTCATAAAATATAATGATTATGTACAAAAAAAATCGCAAACTATACTATCTATTGATTATTATTTATAGTTTCTTCATAACTGCATATATACTTCAAACCTTCCCGAACAAGGTCATCAATATTTAAAAAAAAAATGTATCCAAAATAAATATGTAATGAAATTTCTTCTAAACGACGCGAAAACTACGAAACATTGTATGTTCAAATGATTATCGAAATGCACGAACTTTTACTTTCGATTCAAACTTAATAAATCTTACGAAATCCGTTACATCATTTATGTTACACAAATAAAAAAATTGAAAAACAAAATAAAAAATTTAGTTACGTTTAACAAAAGCAACAACTAATCTATTAATTTAAAAAAATCTAAATTAAGTAATCAGTTTCATATTAATTTATTGGAAATCATAATTAGTTAAATCTTTCAATGCTTTTAATTTTAAATGCTAGCAAATGGATTTCCAGATTGAATTATTTGTATTGCCTGCAAATCCAAATTGCTAAGCAATATTCGCTACTTTCAATTTTGTTTTGGTAATGATCGCCGATTTTCTCAATTACCACCAAAATTTCCTTTTTTTTTTGCTTCTTTGGAAAAAAAATATCATTTCTTTCTAATAACATAATTACAAATTTACTCAACTGATTCGCGACACCGAATTACCAAAACTTTCATGCTTCTTCCACACACATTTTGTTTTGTTGTTCGTTCGGTTCGATTCGATTCTTTTGCAACAGTTATTGCGATCCATATTTTGTTTTGTTTGTTTCACCTTTACAACAGTTCTTATAGTTATAGCAGTGAAAGTATTACCTAACCGCTAGGATCTATTGTCTCCGCTCCGCTCTTTTACCACTTCCTCTCCGCGTATACATAAATAATCTTTATTTTTTTTGGTAATGCGAGTCATCATCATCGTTCTCTTCCGAATCCGGTAAATTCGACATTCGAAAAATTTATTATAGACGTTTACACACAATTTCTATTCGTTATTTGAATATTTGAATTATTAAAATGTGCGCTGCGCGAATTTCTCGCGGAGAGAAACGTTGCGTAATCCGAAGTTTCTATCTGCCAATCATGATTGCTAATCAATTACCTTCCCTCGATCACCTACCAATTTGGAACAAAATCAAGTATTGCGTAATAAACAAATTTTAAGACAAATTACTTTACTCGAAATCTCTATTTAAAATGGTGCAGCTTTATCTTGTTCTATCGAGTGCAAGTCTTTCTTTGAACGGGAAAATTACGTTCACCTTCAATCGCATTCCATATTTATGTTTTTGTTGTAAATATTGAGCGCAATTTACACCTCGTTCATTAATTATTCATGGTGGATTAGTATTGAGTCATGTGTGATTAGTTCTAAGAATGCCACCGCAAACGGATTCAAAAACCTTGCAACACCCAACAATCAAATAATGCGGATTTTCCATCGACTGAATATACTTCACCCCGCATTGCAGTCACCTTACACGTTCTTGAGCAATACGAAAGCACGATTTTCGTGATTCCGATTGCTTCATTCTTCGGCGAAAGATTCGATTCCAACAATTCTTATGCAAATAATTATCATTCGTAAAAGGCTTTGCGGTTTTCAATCATCTTACATTTAATTATAAATCATACAATTTACAGAAGAAGTAACAATTCTAAACATGAAGAATTCAACTAATTGACAGACTAATTGTCAATTAATAATAATAATTTTGAAAGTAAGCTCGTAAGTATTTTTTTAACGAAAGTGTAGCCAGTAGTTCAAGCGAAAGTTCTGAAGTTATATGAAAAAATTGTTCGTAAACAAGTAAAACCCCCAATTGATAAAACAAATTCGTCAGGAAGTATGGAAGAATTCAATTGGATAATAACAATATAAAGCCATTTAATGGATCAACGATTTATTTGGCTTAGAAAAAAATAGAGTCAAACTAAACACTTCTTTATGTCAGCACTCCGACTTTTCGGAATGATAATAAAAGAAGCAAATAGATATGCAGCAAAGAAAGTAGTCTTTAGAATTTATTGAATTATTTTTTAATGAAACAATTCAAACCTTCCGTTATATAACTAATATTTTATTCATATGTCAAAGGGTTAACATTCAGCCGTTAGTTAAAAGTTAATATTACCGTTATGAAATTCAATGTACGGAACCAACTGTTGTTGCTCCTTACTTTCCGTAAATTTGTAATCAAAAATCGATGCTTTCCTTTCCGCAAAACCAACATTACACAAATAGGAAAAATAATCGAAAGCCGTATGAATAAATAAGTTACTGTTTACCGGCAAGAAAAAATCAAGTATCCGAGGGAATCCTACGAGACTTGCATTCCGCAAGAAGCTTTCCATTTTCCCGATAAATTCTAACAAGAAAAAAAAAACTAAATAAAACTGAGAAATATGATAATGATATTCATATAATAATTGCAGTTTGCTTCAATTGTGTCGTAATAATGAATCGCATGAAATTACGATCTGTTCACTTCAAGTTCGACCGCACTTAATTCGTATTAAACGTTGCGTAACGGAAGGCGGCACGTTATGTAGTCCACGTTACGTGTAGCCATGGTTACAAAACAAACAAATTCACACGCCCAAAATCGGTTTGGACATGTCTCGATTGGTAATTAAATATAACAACAATTATTGAGTTGTGGCTTCTTCCAAAACGTAATTTTAATAAATAAAAAGTATTCGTAGAATTTTCAATTATATGAATTACAAATGAAACTAGTTTCATTACGTACGAAAATTGTATTTGCAACAATTATATAATACATATCATAAACCGTTTTGAAATTGTTTAAACATAGAAAAAGAGATAGGAAACGATACAGTTAACGTTATATAACATGTCTTTACACTCCCACAACCAATATGTGCATAATTTGTACTTAATGCATGTAAAATTTCTAATAATATATCAATAAATCAATTTGTAGCGCTGCATATTTAGTTTTTTGTTTCGGGAGAAATTTCTTGACGACGAATTCAAATTAAAGCAACGACTTTCGACCTTTCCATATTTTGTTTTGCACGCATTCAAAGCAGATAGTCACGAACGAAATGTACTTGCAATGTTTCGTTTCATAACGATGGTTATGCAATGCACCGCGAAATTCATGATCTTGATCTCTATAGCAACGAACAAATATAAAAAAACACGAAAGTGTTTTGAGGACGACGATGGATGAAGAACGAACGACGAAATAGGAAAAGTCGGCGGTGGCATAGGTCAGGTTTCCAAAGCAACGCAGCAGCTTCCGATCTCACGTGGGTCGAAAACGATCCCACAAAGCAATTGCATCACAAAAGCCTGGATCTGCATAGCGGTGTGAAAGCGATTCCATTTTTTTTTTTGCGACATGAGCAAGTTAAAAAACAATTGATGCTAATTTTGGTGTCGCCATCTCGGAATTAGGAAGTGTCTATTTCTTGGAAGTCCATCTTCGGCAAAGGCGGACGGGAAAATATGGGGAGGCACACAGTTAATTAACTATTTTCCTCGCTTTCTTCTGTCGTTACATAAAGTTATTGCTGCTATACATATGGACGCGCCTTTCTAAAGCTACAGGAAAACCATATTAAGTGTCGTTTTGCGACGCATATAGATGACGCTCATTACATTCGCCTTCCTTACTCCTGCCAACCTCTTCACCTTTTTTTACAATACACAATTCTTCAATGGAAATAAACAAATTCTATATTAAATTATTTAGTAGAGCATTGAAACAAAAGTACGAATGCAACATGAATTGTCATGGTTTAATAATAGTTTAATAATAGAATCTAAAATAAAACATCGCAGTACAACCAAACAACAAAGTGTAATCTTCATCTTTTTCAGATAATTTGGATGCTGGCGTGGATCGAATGGGCACCTGGTGCGGTCGTGGCTCCGCCGTGGGCGGATCCCAAGCTGAATCCATGTGCAAACGAGCCTCGAGGATGGCAACTCCTCTACTGGCCGCCAGACGGAAAGTGCTACAAGATATTTCAGGTACGTGACCCTCATCGAAACCACGAGAGGAATTGCATCGAAACAGAAAACAGATTGCATAAAAATGCAGCTGGGAATGAGAATCGCGCAACCATCTGGTTACTTATGCAGGGCAGACGGATGTCGGCGTATTATGCAATTGGCGCGCGCTTCATCGACGCCGTCGCAATTTATTAATTTCATGCGTTATGTAATCACAGCGTAATAATAATTCATTACCGTGCGCAAACGACGGTTTTATTACGAGTTGGAAATAATGCACCTGCCATTGACATTTCGCAAATCTGCAAAGAGACCTTCTCTTCTTTGATGCAATAAAACAAACATAACCAGTTTACATCAATATGTCTGTCGTTTTAACGTTTATGTAATCACTGTAAAAGATTCAAGAGCATCTAACAATTTCCACTTTTTAAACATTTCTTATAATTTAATGACAATGTATTTATATTTTTTAATAATTTCATGTATATTGCTCATTCAAGTTGCAATTGATAAATATGATCAATAATGTTAAATTCTGTTGATAGTTGGGTCATCCGTGTCCAGATGACATGGAGCTGAGTCCAGCAGCTACAACTGCAGGTGCCATACAAAAATTATCAGCAGAGTGCAAATGTCCACCGAAGACAGCGCAATCGGCGCGCGATGGAAGATGTTACGAGCTCTTCACGTCTGGGCCTTGCGAAAAAGGCCACTACTTCGGTCCAGACGAATACTCTACAAACTCCACGTGAGTCTACATCTTCCGTATTATAACAACAAGTTATTAAATTACTTCTATATTGTTTTAGGGTGAGACGACAGTGGGGTATCTGCAAGCAATCGAAGAAGTGCGGCAAAACGAACGAAGTGTTTTGGCCAAAAGATGGCAAGTGCTACGACAAATTAACGAGAGGGCCTTGTCCGAGAGGGCAACTTCTAACGGTGGGCAGCAACGATAAATTAGCAGTGTGCAAGTGCAACGATAAATACGAGCTGGGGGATTACAATTACGGCGGTGGCAAAGGGTGCTTCCAACACTTCACCAAAGGTCCGTGCACAGAACGAGGACATCTCTTCCTACCGGACAAGACGTGCGGATGCAGTGAGCAGCTACCGCACTACCACAATACGACGAAGATGTGCTTCGAGATCGGTAGCATAGGACCTTGCGATATCGGAGAGCACTTCCAACTGGACGCGACGGGAAATAGGGGGTTGTGCGTCTGCAAGAAGAACAACATCCGCTACAAGGGCGATTCCAAGTGCTACAGACCGTACACCCAAGGCCCCTGCGAAGCGGGTGATATTTTGGTAAATGCGACGAGCTGCATCTCGAATCCGTGCAACAAGAGTCACCTCTTTTTCCCGGAATCTCAGAGGTGTTACCGAATCGGCACGAGAGGACCGTGTGGCGCCGACAGGGTAGTAACTTTCGACTTTGAAACGCGCCCATCCGTTGATGGGATTTCGTACAACGGAGTATGTGGATGCGAACGGGACACCGGGTGCTTTGTGAAGAGTGAAAACGAATGTGGGGATCGTGAGCCTGATCGAGTGCTTTTCCGTAAGAAGTGCTACAAACTGTACACGCAAGGGCCATGCTCCCGCGGTGCTTGGATCCTTCCGAAGAGGGCAAAGAAGGTTGACGAAATTTGGACGGAGAAGAAATCGCGAGACGGTTACTGCGATTGCATGCCGGGTTACACGAAGATCATACGCACAAAGAACGAACGTTTGATTGCCGAGTGTTTATCACCGACGGTGCGCCTCGCGGAATACTTAACAAGGAACTTTGTCAATTAAGCCCATTGTGTTCAATTACAAATTTATAAATTATATAAACAATATCGACGACGCTATATTTACCAAATAACGCGTAGTGTGTATAGGATAAGAGTAGAATCTTATTTAATGCAAAAAAAGAAGGAACGATTCAACCTCATCACAACAACAACAACAAAAACTGTTTTTACAAATATTTATAAAAATAAAATAAAAACTTACCTGAGATTATAATTTTTTGAATTTAAATAATGTTATTTATAATTTATATTAAATACAAAAAGAACTTACGTGACTTTGTTTTTGAATTCGGAGACTCCGTCCTCAAGACTGCGAATCCTGGAATCCTTGCTAGCCAGATCATTCTCCAAAGCGACTATGCGCTCAGTTTTCTCATCTAGTTTCAACTGCATTAAACACATTAATAAGCATCTACAAAATAAATAACACTGAAGACTCACCAGAAGATTATCCTTCTCCCGATCAAGCTCCACGAGATTCTGCCTCAACACCTGAACATCCTTTTTCAGGGCGTCGATTTCCCTCTGCAGCGTCGCCACATTATCGCCGCTCGCATTAATATTCCTTTGGTACGATTCCAGCTGATTCTCGGACTCGTTGAGCTGCCTCTGCGAGTCCTTCAACGCCTTGTCTGTTTGCTCATTGAGAATCCTTAAAATTAATGTATAAATTACGTTCATAATTCATTTGGACAACTCACTTCAATTGATTGTAGGCCGTGCGCATTTCCGTTAATTCCTCGTTTGTGTTCTTCAGTTGCCCCTTCAACACGTCCAACTGGTCTTCCAAGCTGGCGATGGTAGTTCTACGACTACCTTGGTTTTGCACCAAATCCCGCTTTTCCATCTCGTGCAATCTTATGGTCTTCTCGCTCTCCTTAAGCATCAATTTATATTTATCCACTTCGTTGGTGTGAAGTTCGGATGTTGCCTTCAAACGCTCTTTGATAGCGTGCTTTTCGTCCTCCAATTTATCGATATCCGCCCTCAGTAAATCCCTTTCTCTCTCCAAACGCTTCAAATTCGTCTATACATCAATTAATTAAAAAAAAACTAAAATAGATAATTTACCAAGAAAACTTACTTTTAAGCTTAAATAATCAACACTATCGGTGCAATCCTGTGAGTTTTCCAAACGCAACATCAGGTTGTGCTTTTCCTTTGCCAATACCTGATTTTCTTGCCTCAGTTGCAAGATTAAATTATCTAACTCATTGATCCTCTTCATCAAATTACTATCAGAATTCGTTGGTACGAACTGAACATCGTGCGTTTTATGTTGAACATCTTGTGTTTTGTACACATTCTTAAACTGCTCCACCAAATGTTGATACTCTTTGATGTAGAAATCGCGCTCGTTTCTGAGCCTATCCACCGAATTCGTCTTGTGCGGATACCTTCTATCCAACTCCTCGTCGATCATGCTTTTCAGCTTGCTCACGCACATCCTAGGATCCTTTATCCAGTCGTTCACGCTATCCGAATCCAGCGGAGAAGGTATTCTCTTATCATCCGAATATAAATCGGCATTCCTCGAGTAAGATTCGATGGTTTTACGCGTCGGTGATGTTTTATTATGTCGTTTCGGAGATTTACTCTTCTTGTTTGGACTTTTTGGAGGACTCCTCTGGCGTCTATGATTCTGATCTGAATCCAACGTGCCCATCGCGTAATGCTCGCTGATACAATGCCCCTTAAGCTCAGCGATTGTCCTCTTATGCTCGGCAGATTCTCTCACCAATCGATCAATTTCCAAGTTCAAATCTTTCTCTGCGTAAAAAAAGACAAGAATATAGTTATTATTACAAACGCAGTTATATAAAAATCAAGATTTACCAATAATAGAAAACTTGTTAATCTTATCTGTAAGCCTCTTCTTGTCGTCGAGCGCCGTAGTTAGGACGGACTGCAAATGTCTTTTTTCAATCTTGACAGCCTCGACATCGGCAATTAGACTTTCCTTTTCGTGTTTCAGATCCATCACCAACTTCTCTACCCTCTGAAGTTCGATCATCGTGTTGTGCATTTTCTCCTGCAACCTTTACGCAATTTCAATGTACAATTTCTAAACTTAATAGGAAAATAAATACCTTGATACTTTTTTGCTGTTGTTTTTAACAGTCGTGTTGCATTCCTCCTCTACCGCTAAAGCCATCTGATCGATGTCCTTCAATTCCTTCTCCAGCACGGAATTTCTCTCCGCCAAATGCAGAGCGTGCTTCATAGCATCGTGCTGCTTACATCTTGAATCTGCAAATCGAATCATCAATCATCCATCAAATAAACAATATTAATTGATCAAACCTTTCAGCTTAATTTCCAGTTCCATTTTCTCCTTGTACAATGAATTAATTTCATCCTGCTTGTTCAATAGTTTCACATTGATGTCTTGGTAACAGCAGTCCCCATTAAGGACTTCCTGTGGACGTCCCCCTTGCAACAAATTACCCAACCTCCCAATTTCCTTCTCACGGTTGATCAACTGCAAATACACAATAAGTTTATTTTTCTTCTTTTTTTTTAATATATTGTAAATTTACCTTTTTCCTTAGGTCATCATTGATCTCTGTTAATTCCAAATGTTGGTCCTTCAAACGATTCACTTCCCTGGTCAAATAGGCCCGCTGCTGATCTGCCAGAGCCATAGCCGAATTGATTCTGCTGCTGTCACATTTTTTACCTGTCTGAGCTGTCAGTGACACTGTTGAAGATCTGGGTCTCTTTTCCATCTCTCTGATCCTCTCCTTCAGCTTCCTCTCATTTTCCAACAAATCTCTCTTCTCACCCTCCAAGCTCAAAACTTTCTTTCTCAAATCTTATTTAAGAACAAAACATAATTAATAAAAAAAAATACACAAGTTTGCTCAAGTCACTAACCCTTCTTTTGTTTCTCACTTTCTTCCCTCTGTCTCAATATATCTAAGTGAAGATCATTACATTCTTTCATCAATTTAGCATTATCACATTTATATGGTTCAGCACCAAATCTGAGATTGTCTCTTTCCTAAAACACCAAATTGTTTCAACAATGGTTAAATCATGCAACATTTAGTACCTGTAGGGCATCTTTTGCTATTCCCATGTACTTCCTGAGATTTTCAGTTGTTTCAATCAGATCAGCCAATAGCTTCTCTACTAACAAAAGACAATCCGGATTCAGTGTGTACTTGTACCCAAGATCAAGTAGTTGTCTACACACGTTCTCATACCTTTCCTCCATAATTAAAATCAATAAATAAACAATAAAAAGAAAGTAATTAAAATGAAAAACTTAAATATCGTTAACTCAAACTTATCATGGTTATGTTCTTTGTTTGTATTCAAGAGAAATTCACAACAAAACCACCTGTTAACCATGGGTTCTTTTGAATTCATCACCAACATTGAAAAATTGAATTTTATTAATATAGAAAAATATTTTGCATTTTCTTCGTTTTATGTTACCTTTATTCTAATATGATCATTTAAAATTACTCTATTAAATTAATTGTGAGCGAATTAATATAAATAAATTAATTTTAGGCTACCCGCTTAACAAATGTATCTTTATTTTGTATACTTCTCCCTAGATTAATGAAGTATAACTATGAAATAAAAGAAGAAATTGCGTTTTATTTCAATATATTATTACTTCTTCTTTCTTCCACTCCTTTTCACTTCACTTAGCTTTTGTTGTTATATTTATCTAACTCAACTAAATTAATGTTAATAATCGTTGCAAAATTTCGAATGTTTAGCCAACTAAATAACTTATAAATTTAAAATCGAGTTTGTTTGTATAGGTTAGATATCAGGTGTTCAAGAGTATTGCAGAGTATTGTACTAAAAGTATAATAGCAAAGTATTTAAGAATTTTCCCCACTTTGATCTATTGCTATTATCATAATGTGCGGTCGCTTAGCGTGGTGAGTGTGGTATGAAGACTTGTCATTCTTTATTTCAATCCTATTTGCAGCACTTTAAACCCAGATGAGATATCTGCAAAGTGTGAATACATGAGTAGTAAAGAGAAGCTGGAGAAGCCGGAGTGGATCCACAATGACCAAGAGTACAAGCCTGTATTCAATGGACCTCCAACAACTGTTGTTGCAGTGTTATCTTCCAATAAAAACTTAAAATTGGACAAGACCAGTTCCACAGAGTTCTGTTTGATACCTATGAGATGGGGAATGTTACCATCATTTGTAAAATCTTTTATTTTGTAATTAATACATTAAACAACTATTATTTTCATTAGAAAACTGAGGCTACCGGAAACTTTCACACACACAATGCTAGAATAGAGAATATTTTGAAATCTAATCTTTATAAGCCAAGTTTGATGAGTGGAAAGAGATGTGTCATAATCACTGAAGGCTATTATGAGTGGCAAACAACTCCAGGTGAAAACTTGAAACAACCGTTTTTCCTTTATCAAAACGTGAATATTAATAGTTCTTTTTTAATAGAATTCAATGATATATTAAACAATTATTTCAGCCTGATGGACCCAAGTTTGAATCAAAGAAAAATTTGATTAAGTTGGCTGGATTGTTCAACATATCCAAGGATGGAGATGTAAATATTTTCGGAGATTCGATTTAATGTGTTAATGGGATTTCGTTTGCAGAGTGTTAAGTATTCTTGTACGGTTCTTACGAGGGAAGCGGATTCTTCAATGGCCTGGATGCATTACAGAATGCCGGTGATTTTAAATACCAGAGAAGAGGTGAATAATTGGCTGAATTATGAAGAGATTGAGTACAAGGAGGCTATAGATAGATTACCCAAATACGAAGATTGCAAGAAGGAGTTTAGATTGAAACATCACGCGGTTAACAAGACTTTCGTGAACAATTCATCCTGCAACGAAGCCAAGTGTATGCAACCAGCCGCAGCTAAGTATGCATACTTAAGTACGCTTCATGATACAAATATACAAGTTGGGTATACCTACAGCTGCCTACAGCCGTTCCATTTTCGTCCTATTTCGTAACAATATAATATGAAAGATAAGCGTATTTACTTAGTTTCAAGATTTTTTTACAGCTTACTCTTATTTATTGTCTTGGTCACCGTCCATATGCGTGTACCAAGGGTGTACCTTGTATATTTGTATCTTAAGTCCGCTTTATATTAGGATAATATTTTGAATAAGATCTCCAGTGTCCTCAGCCGTTATATTAGGAAAGAAGGTCTAATTCAAAATTTGCAATAAATCGATTCGTTATTTTAGGAGAAGAAGCACCACTCTTGACGGATGGCTGAAGAAAGCTAAAAAATAAACAAACAGTTGAATTCATTAAACTCCAAACTTTTTCTTTTATAAATAAGAAGATTATTTAATTTTCTAATTGTTTTCCACCTTTGGTTCACGTTAAACAATAATAAAAGAAAATTAGATTTTCACTCCCAATATTACCATAACGACAAAAAAGTGTTTTGAAATAATTTAAAATCACACCACCTGTTACGTATTTGCGTGTAAAGTAATCATTTTAAAAATTGTATTAAACAAATTATATAAACAGAGTATATAATTAATTATCCATCTTTTTCTACATTCCATTCACATTAAACAAATGTAAAAGAAAATCACTGACACTCAAATTTACCATGACGACAAAATAACTGAGTTTTGTTTTTGAAAACTATTTATAATCGCACCACTTGCTATCAAATGTATTGTAATAATTAAAAAAAAAGGATTTAAAATAATTTAAAAAAATACCTAACATTTTTTGAATTATTATTTGAACAGTTTTATTGTGATATGAAATAGTTGAGACTTGAACTGGATGTATTATAAAGAAAACAAGTAGTATAAAATTCACAGTGCACTTTCCAACAGTCCAAAGTCCGCGTTCGCACGGATCGTAGATCCAAAGGTCGCGCTGCGCGTTATTTCTGTATGCCCACTTGGAACGTACTCCATATATCATGGAAAACGATTCATTTTAATATATTAACCAGCGTTTTGCTCATTACAGTATCCATTATATCGCGCTAATCCTCGCGAAACAAATAAATCTATATAAGTAGTATGCAGATTCGTTAGTTTTGCAGATACCTTTGTTTTATAATTTTTAACAGGCAGTTATTTAACAATCGTTTCACGTTGAGATGGAGTGGAGTTAATTTAAGTCTCTCCAAAAGTTTATTGTTTTAACTCATTTCATTATTTCATAAACTTAATTAGATTTAAAATAGTTTACTTAACGTCATTATGCCATTCTTTCAATATTTAAACATTTAGAAGATATTTTAATACAAGCCAAATCACTTAAGACTATGTCTTATTATTATTAATATTTTGCTAGATAATCAAAACGAATAATAATTATTAATGTATCAATTGTGCTATTGTTCCATCGATTCGCATATGTTAATTCTTCACTATTAATTAACGAATCAATCCATCGTATTGCAATTCTAGCGTCATCAGCTTCTTTGTAAAAAAAATCAATTTTGGAAACAGAATCTAGGTCAGCGACAAACTAAATGTAAACAAAACATTGGATCACAATATTTTTGTTTGTTTGTTGCCATGACATTCAAAATAAACGGTTAACGAAAATAGAATGGACGACTCCATTCAAATTTATATTGTAATTTCTCACGTTATTTTCCCTATTGGAATTCAGATATTTGTCACATCTAAAAACGAAATTGTCTGGCACATTCAATGAACGACTTTCACTTCTGACAGGTTTCATAAATGTGAACAAAATGCTTGAAGTGCTTGTATTTACTACTTTTTCTTGCTTTACGAACAAAACAAAAAAATGAAAAACGAACGAGTTAAGAAACAATATTTTGCATCCACAATCGGTAGATAGCGATTTATCTGACATACATTATATCCTGTGACGTCTTTCGTGTTTTTCCCTGATTTATTTTTATATAAATTAGTTGTTTTCAAGTTGTTACTCAATGTTGTTATTATTATTGCAATTGTAAAAGTTAACTTAACTTAATGAGTCAAAAAGTAACAACAACAAAAAAAACTAAATTTGAATAGTTTTTAATGATGTAAAAATATAACGTTTTCAGTTAGACGATCAAAGGTTGCGTGTAATAAACGTTCGATAAGGCATTGGAGACACAAAGATTATATTATTGGAATTCTGAAATTGCTTAATCGCGATTCGGTCTGACTAATGGGGAAACAGCGATTCGCGATTGGTGGTGGTTGCTGTCGAATGGTGATCAATGTTTTTTTACTCGTTACCATGACTTCTTAAAATCCATGAGCTTATGAAATAAAGACAACATTATGCTTTTTTTGTACTTTATATGAATATTGTTTATCAAATAACTGATATTTTAAAAATTTATTTCAAGTTAAGTGAATTTGATATAATTTGATTAAAAGATTGTACTTTAGGTTGAAAATGGGTTGAGAAATTGGATAAGTAAGTTGTTGGGATTAAATAGGAAAATGGTGATGGGCGATTTTGAAAATAACGAGCATCCTGTTAAGCGACAAATTTATGAGTGCGCTCTCGCCGCAAACTGATTTACGTCATCTTCGGTTGAGTGTTTTGATGCTCGTATTTACAAATTCGCGTTTGTTGACTTTTCGTTTGATAACTGCTCGACTTGCGACAAGTAAACAGAGCCCAGGTGGAGCAGAGATAGAAATAATGAGCGGTCTTTGGACCGAGGAGAAGACATATTTTGACTGATATTCGGATGGATTTGATAAGAGTAATTTTGTTGATGCCTTATAAATATAGAATACGCACCCATGACAAGTATAGTGGCTATCTCCCTACCCACGCATTTAAAGTATCCCCGCTTGTGCGATATATAGACACGGACACACCACACAAACTTTGAAACCCATAGAGAGAGTGATAGAGAGAGAGGTGTTTGGGTATACGTTCAGCAGCAGACGAGAAGGATCATTTAAAGCTAAGCAAGCAATTCCAGTCTGGTAGTGTACGTGAAAGTGTAAGGATGGCTTTAAGAACTGCAGTGCGGAAAGCAGTCCAGAAGAGAGGCTTTGCAGCATCGCATCTTAGGCATTTAGCATCTTCCTCTAATATCATTACCTGTCCATTCCCGGAAATCGAGATCCCTACTTGCAGCATACCAGAATATATCTTCAGCAAGTTCGGTTCCTATGGCAACAAAGTCGCTTTCGTAAGTAGCAACAGTAGCATTTGGTGAAATCAAATATAAAGTTCTTCAAATCTAACATTATCGGTTGTATTCTTCAGGAATGCGGGGTGACCGGACGCAAGTACACGTTCGACGAGCTCCGCGTCAAGTCCTACAACCTTAACCGCGCCCTCAGGAAGAAGCTGAAACTGCAGAAGGACGATGTCGTCGCCGTTCTCCTACCGAACGTGCCGGAATTCCCGATCGCCGTCATGGGCATCCTCCTCGCCGGTCTTCGCGTCACCACCATGAATCCCATCTACACACAAGGTAAAATAAATTGATTGAAGAAGAAATAATAAGTAAATTGCAATTTACCATGCACAAACTGAACATTTCTCCGATTTCTCAAGGAAACAGCAGTAGTCTCGCATTTCGCACACATTTTAAATTCCACGCTGACTGCGACAAGTCAAGTTCAATGTTAAAGTAACCATGACAACATTTCTGCTATTTGTTGACTTTGCAACCCACACATTTTGAATTCAAATCGAAACTGTCAAAATATAAAGTAAAGAAAATATACAAGTAAATCTTTCCATAACGTATATAAACAGATAACAAAACATTATTATAATAAAGCTAAATAACATACCCAAGGTAATAGTAACGAAAAAAAGGATTTAGACAAACAAATATCACTTTAATTATAAACATACGGTCGTCATTTCACATTTCATTTCACAATTAAAATATGTTTCTTCCGTCATTTCATTAAAAATATCTAATTTAAGTGATGTAATGATGCAATTATTTCCAAATTACTCAAAATATTTATCTTTGAGTTTTAGTTCTATTTAAAACCGAAACAATTTTCGAATACAAATTTATTTAAAAAAAAAGATAACAGTCATAAAAGCAGTTCATATAATAATTAACAACTATTTTTAATGATCTCCATAGCAACTACAGCACTTACGTGATTATCTTGAGAGAAATGTAACTTTCACCTGCATCAATTGAATTACAAAGTTAATAGTAAAAGTGATTTCAGGCATTATTTATTTGATATAATCATGTATGCATTACAAATAAATTCATGGCCATTTCCTCTAAATTGATATAATTGCGCTGCATAAAGCCAGGTTCACAACAATGCAGAAGCAACAAATTGTCTGTTTACATGCGAAAAAATTAATTCTCGGAAAACACTGCGCGGATATATGAAAACATTGTTTCAGAATAATAAAAATGCAACAAGCAAATAATTTTGCTTTTATCTTTAGAAATTCGAAATCCATATGAAAAACAATATATTTGAATATTATATGAAATTGTCATGGTGATTGCAAACATTCTGCATATTTTTGTAACGAATTCAATTTTAATTGTTTTCATAGCGACCACAACGCGTTTTCTGAAATTAATATCAACGCCATTTCAGTCCATCCTTTTGTTTCAGCATTTACTATTGCAAAATAACTAAATCTGTTTATAACAAAGTCTAGTTCTAAAACAATGCATACGTAGATAATCAAATCAATTTTAATGCAATTACACAATTGTTTAGTATTTCAACTAAAATAGATTTTCGTATCTTAATCGATGAATCATTGTTTTTCGAACATTCAATTATTGTATTATAATATGCAAAATAATTGTTTTCATTTGATAGTCATAGCAATACACTATTAAACGAAATTCCTATTGTTGCGGTGTGATGCAACATTTCGTTGGAGGTCAATGCGATCCAGACAATACGAATAATTAGAACAATATTCAAGTATTTAATGCAAAACGAAGCAATTGAAATTAATTGAAATTGTTTATCTTCGTTCGAAACGGAATTCAGTATTTTTATTTTTGTTTTCGTTAAGATTAACAATTATTTACATATGTTTTTTTTTTTCAACTCCAGTACTTTGAACTTTCAAAATATTTGGTTACAGGAAAATTTAAAAACAAACAAACAAACTGTTCTATTTTTGTTTATTATATCATGCGCGCATTATCTTTATTTGAATTTCGATCTCGATTCTCGTCAAAACAGGATCCAGGACGGAAGCCTACGTTGATCTTAATATGATGATGAATTGCAAAAATGAAAACAATGAAACAAAACAAAAAACAAATGATAATGACAGGAATATTTTGTGATGCGACACAGCGTTACGTAACTCAGCATTGTCAGTTAACGATGCTGAATTGTTCTCATCAAAAAGTAATTACTTTTTATTTTCGATTGATACAAATGAATATTGGTTAAAATTCACTTTGCAAAACATATGGAAATTGTACAGGATGTGATAATTTATATAGCAAAAATTTGTATTTATGTTTGATTATCGTGACATATCAACAAATTTCTATGACTGTGTTTCCTTGGTCAAAAGAAATATTAGTAAAATATCATTGAATTATTCAGTAATTTTATTGTCATGACAACATATTATTAATGAAAAATTTGACAATTAATTACTACCTAAAAAATTATAACTTTATGTAAAGAAAAAAATCTTTTTAAATTCGTTTGTTAATGATATGCTTATTTATTTTTTAATTTAGTAAATTGAAAATTATGATTTATCAATTTGACTTGACAGAATTTGATTTTGAATAATCCCAAACTTGTCTACGTAACAAATTATATCAGAAGTGACACCTTAAATAAGCGTACGTCAAAACTGGTTGCTATTGGCATATAATAGAAATAATATTAAACTATAGTTACCATTGCTGACCTTTACTTTATAATTCAATTTTAGTAAATTGAAAGGTGTGAAATGCGCCGTGTTTTGACTGACAAAACTGATAAATGATCGATAAGCAAATCGATCGCTCGTATTGATCTTTGGACTTTTCATTCATAGAAGCCAAATCGAAATTACATCTACTCGAAAATTCGTTCAAAAACAACCTCATTTCGATTATTGAACTTTCATCTATTGTTTATTGACTGAAAATACTCGTTATTACCTAAAAACGTGCTATTATTCATCGATCCACGCGCCGGATTTTGTTTCACCTTTGAACGATCTAAATATCAAAAAACAATATTTTAGTGCTTTTCTTTTTTTAATACTGTTAATGTTGATTGCATAGATTTTGATGATATTTAAATATAATAACTAATTAATTGACTAATAAGTACAAGTTGCTATGTAAACAAATTTTCAATAAAAAATAACCCTGTCAACCAGTAGCATCTTTAAAGCGTCCGCAAATCAGAAGTTTTTTTCACAAAGGACAGCACTGTTGTAAACATTTACTGTTTATTGCATGTTAAACGTATTTTAATTGCGTGCAAAATTATCAATAAGTGGTTATTATTCTAAAAATAAATGATTTAATTATGTTTATAACGAAAGTATTTAATTTTTACCTTGGAAATCTATAATTGAATAATATTAACGAAATAAGTTGATTGCAGTATAAATTGAAAATTATTATCAATATTTATTACAAATAATTTTCTTATAATAATTTAAATGTTTTGTATATCAAGATTGTTACTAAGCAAACTTGTTTTCAATTTAATTCGTTGAATTTGCATCTGTTTATATGTTGGTCAATAAAAATTCATTTAAATCTATTATTCGATAATTACAGTAGATGTATTACGTCACGAAAGAAATATGATACACTTTGTAACATTCAGTCAGATAAATTTGTAAAGATGAATTGCAAGTATTGGAAAAGAATAAAAATGAATTGTTAATTACTGTAAAGTACTTTGATATTAAATTACATTAATTAAAGAATATTAATAGAAAATATGTGTTTTTTGTGTGCGTTTTAGATGAGATAAAAAAGCAGTTCGCTGATGCTGGAGCTAAGGCTATGATCACCTTGACCGAGCTGTTTCCGGTGGTCAAAGTAGCCTTGACCGGCAAAGAGATTCCCATCATTTGCATCAATGATCAGGTATGTTGATAAAGCGAAGAAGTTGTCTCATTTTGTATCCAACGCAATGCATTTATTTACATGTCATTTATAACAATGCAATGAAGAAATTGTTGTTATTGTTGAACTTGTTAAATTGAAGGCGCGTTTCAATTTAGAGCGCTAGTTCTTTGTTGCTGAATTGAAGTAAATTAATCTGTTGTTCATTTTGCAGGCCTCCTCGACGACTCCTACCGGCGCTATTAACTTCAAAGAGTTTGCGGACAACAGCTGCGACATCGAAGATATTAAGTTGGACGATCAGAATGCCGTTGCGGTTATGCCTTATTCCAGCGGAACGACGGGTCTGCCGAAAGGAGTGCAGCTTTCGCATCGCAACATCCTCGCCAATTTATCTCAGTTCATGTCCGACGACTTCACCATCATGCGATTGGCGTCCGGCGATTTCCAGGAGGTCGTTCCGGCCATCCTCCCGATGTTCCACATCTACGGATTCACCACTATCTGCATGGCAGGCATGAACAACGGTGGAAAGACCATCACATTACCAAAATTCACTCCTGAGTCGTACCTCAAGTTGCTGGCGCAGCACAAGGCTACCATCCTCTTCGCAGTCCCTCCAATTGGTAAATTAAAAAAGTTTCTTTGTTTATTTGTTGCTATGAAGATTTATAGCTTAAAATAGATAGCTTGATAGAGTACAAGACATCAATAATTTAATTTTTTTTTGTTGCAGTTATTTTCTTGTACTCGCATCCGGCCGTTAAGAAGGAGCTTCTGGAAAACGTGCACGTTTTGGTGTCTGGTGCCGCTCCGCTTGGCGCTTTAGATGAGCAGAAGTTTAAAGACAAAATTGGACAGAAAGTCGATGTATTACAAGGTAAAAATTGCGTTAATTTTCTGGTTTTGAATAATTTAATGACCACATAATAATTTATCCGATGTAAATGATATTTCTTTCATATTCTTTCTCAATGTCAAATAGGAAAAAAAGTAATTTAATTTTAATTATATGTAATTATGTAACACAAATATATGTTTCAGTGAATGACTATTAAAACTGCACTTAACCATTTTCTTATTCTAATTCGTATTTTCAATTTTACGATTGTTTATTTTGTTTTTAGGATACGGATTGTCTGAAGCGTCGCCGACTGTGATGATGGGCGCTAGGAAGCACGACCCTAAACCAGGTTCCCTTGGAAACATAATGCCGAACACCGAGGTGAAGATAATGCCGGTGGGCAACCCAGACGGAGAAGCCTTAGGTCCAAATCAGACCGGAGAGCTATACGTTAAAGGTCCTCAGGTTATGTTGGGCTACCACAACCGGCCAAAGGAGACGGCTGAGACTTTAGTGGACGGATGGCTGCGAACCGGAGATATGTTCTACTACGACGAGAACCAAACATTCTTTATCACTGATCGTATTAAGGAGCTGATCAAAGTCAAAGGATTCCAGGTTCCTCCTGCTGAACTCGAGGAGATCATCCGAGACTTCCCAAGTGTGAACGACGCCGCCGTCATCGGTATCCCTCACGACATCTACGGCGAAGTGCCTAGAGCATACGTCGTTGCAAAGCCAGACTCTAAACTGGACGTGGCCGAGCTCAACGGTTTCATCGACTCCAAGGTTGCCGAATACAAGAGGGTGAGAGGCGGCATCGTCGTCACTGACTGCATCCCGAAGAACGCTTCCGGAAAGATCCTCAGGCGGGAACTCAAATTGCAATACCAGAACGGAAAGTGAAAGAGACGAAAATAGCAAAAAAGCGTGTACATTCTATAATTATGCATTTTTGTTTTGTAAATAGGTGAACAGATGTTATCATTTCTTTTTTTATATATATATATGCATATGTTAATAAGAATTTCTGTAAATATATAATAAATATTTTTTTATATAGAATATCATTTAAAACACACTCACCTAATTGAAAACTTTAATTTCTCCTCAATCTCTAAGACATATCAATTAAGTAAAACATATATAAAAATTAAGTATATGAAAGAAGTTTTGATGAAATCATAACTTAAATTTACCTGCAGTAACCTCGAGTTATATTACATAAATCCGAGTGTTACGTAATTTAGATTACTTGACGATTTATAACATAGATATTTCTTTATTAGTTATTTCATTTAGTGTTATAGAAATTTAATTAAAAAATATTTAATTTTTAAATTAGTAACCCATTATCAAAGTACCTAAAAATGTATTAAATGAAGATAATAGAAGAGGAAACAAATACAAAACAAACGTATGAAAACAAAAAAGTTTAATAATTTATAGATATATTAAATACTCGATCAACAATTGTATATATACTCTTTTCTTGACTTTCTTTCTATGTATTGTACAAGACAGTTTTTACTGCAGCAGATTTGATGCGGAGGCTGGAACGGAGATGTCTTGGAACGTCTGGTGCTTTATCAATTCCTTAAAGTGTCCATTTTCCAAGTTCAGCAGCTCAGCGTAAGTACCCTTCTCGACGATCTCGCCATTCTTGAGCACTGCTATAACGTCCGCGTTTTGTATGGTCGAGAGTCTGTGCGCTATGGTCAATACAGTCCTGCCCTTCATGATCCTCTCCAACGCTTCCTGAACCAAAAACTCTGATTGCGCATCCAAAGCACTGAAAACAAAAATGATTAATAAATAGAATAATTGAAAATAGTATTTTACCTTGTCGCTTCGTCCAAGAGAAGAATTTTAGGATTTTTTATCAGAGCCCTGGCGATAGCCACTCGCTGCTTCTGTCCTCCGCTCAGCATAACACCTCTTTCACCGACCATTGTATCGAAACCTTCCGGCAACTGCCTCACGAACTCAGTGACGTTAGCCTCTTTGGCTACCGACATCAGCTGCTCTTCAGTAATTTTGTCCGGGTCGTCCGCTCCGTACAGGATGTTATCCTTGATACTGCACGAAAACAAAATCGGCTCCTTAAAGAATATCCGTGTGTGAGAGGAAATTCCCTTCGCAAACGATATTGCCAGACTTTACCTGACTAACAGTTCCTACATGCTTCCTTAGCCAATTTGGGTCCAAATCTCGGATGTTGTAGCCATTCAACTCGACGACACCCTCATCGGGATCGTAGAGACGCAGCAGTAGCGCTGCAAGTGTGCTCTTTCCCGAACCGCTCGGACCTACGACGGCCACCGCTGATCCAGGGGCTATCTCCAAGCTAAGGTTTTTGAAGATAGTAGAATCCGTGCGCGACGGATACGCAAACTTCACATTGCTGAATTTAATGTGTCCGTTGGCCAATGTCGTTGGAATAACACCACCTAAAATTTACATTTTAATATTTATATTTCAAATACAGAGAGAAGCGAATATTTAAAGATACACGTGAAAAGTCGGCTTCACTCGATTATACTTGATAAATCTATTTTGTTTTGCACTTACCGCTTATAGGAATAGCAGGATTTCTATCAACCAGATCCCACAATCTACTAGCGGCTCCAACAGATTTGTTCAAGTCTGAATAAAAACTAGAGAGCCCGCCTACAGAGACTCCTATATATGCCGCGTACAGCAGGAACGAAGACAGATTTCCCACAGTGATATTCTGCGATGAAACCATAACGCCTCCATAATAAAGCACCGAAATTATGATTATATTACCACTCAATCCTGTCTGAAAATGACCAAATTGAAATAATTCATCAACAACCACCCAAACAATCCCATACCATTCCATAAAATATAGCCCTCGCTCTAGACTCCAAGTAACCCATATCCAATACAGTTTTGACTTTGTCGCTGTAATTCTGGATCTCCTTGCTCTCCTGCCCAAACGTGCGAACCGTTCGAATATTCGAGATCCTCTCCTCGGCGACATTCGTGGCTTCCGCCAATGAATCCTGCACGTTTTTAGAGATCTTCCGCACGAACCTTCCGTATACCACAGCGCATCCGGCGATTGGCGGAACTATAGCCAAACCCACCAAGGCCAATTTAGGCGACATATAGAACTGCATTGAAAAAAAACAAAAACAATATGAAACAATACGAAAAACTTTACGAAAAAAATACCATCATCCCGCTTCCTGCCACAACCATAATCGACGACCGTAAACCATCCGAGATATTTGAAGATAAAGCCTGCCCGACAATCTGTGTATCGGCAGACAGGCGATTCACCAACTCCCCCGTCGACCGTTTATCGAAGAAACCCTGCTCCTGTCTTAGCAGGGAAGAGAACACCTGCAACCGAAGTCTTTGCGTCATCCTATAACCTGCCACACACTAAATCCTATTAATAAAAACATCACTTTGCATCCTCCAAGTTTATTAATTACCTGCAGTCGACATAATGTAGACCCTCCCGAAATTACACAAAGCCCCCACGAAGAAAACGCCAACCAATATTCCGCAAAGTCGATTCATTTTAGCCTTCGCCGCCTCAGCGTCCCCGGTATTAGAGTAAATTATATCCAGAACTTTGCCTAAACTGAATGGGACAGCCATTGAAACAGAACTTGATATGAATAGCAATAGCACAGCACCTACAATCAATAAATATGTGACCATTTACAACTATTCAAATATCATTGATATTATTTATTCACCAGACAGTTTCCATTTCTCAGGCTTGGCTAATGAGAACAACCGACTGTAATCACTCCTCTTTGTCCCTTGCTCTTTGGGCAGTGTGGTCTTGTAACGATGGAATGATTGGCTGTTTCTGATGTTCACGACGTGCGTTTGTCGTTTGACCTGCTGTGACATGTTTCCTACATTCCTGAAAGTTACCAGCCGAATGCCCTGCAAATGTTTACACAGGACATTGAGGTTAGTTTTGGCCAGGAGGCACGAATAGATTGTCATCGTGTTTGCGTTTGCGGAGTCCGTAGTTTGCGAGTAAAATCGATATTCGTCGCGGAAGAAAAGTGCAGCATCGAACCGTCCCTACCCTAAACTCATCAAAAAACCGGGGGGTATTTGTATAATTAGGTCAAGTCATCACACGCAATACCGCACGCCGTTTCGCGTTGTTTGACACATGTTTGACGTTCTGTCAGATTCGCTCATTCCTATTGGACAATTCTCTACAAATTTGAATTTTTCATCAAACTACGATTATTGACCAACCAAATTGATGTAAACTTTGATACATTGAAGATTCCCTATAATTCGGAATTTCAGTTTCACTTTTATTTGTGATAAATAACATAAAGATTTTATTATTTTTATATTAGATGAATCGATCTATTCTAATTGCTACCGAATATTCTCAAATAAAGAATTAAAAATAGACAAATCTACATTGCAACAGTGCGTACGCATCATTTGATTTACGTACGAAATTATGAAACTTTTCTAATTCTTGGCAATCATTCAGCAAGCTACAATAAATGAAAAGTCAATACATATATAATATTATAGTTACTGCATTGTATCTTAACAATGAAAACATTAGCATTGTAACAATATACAATGTTTTCTCTGCCCGCAATTATTGCGCTTAAGTACAAATGACAATCAAAATGAAACTTGTTATTATAGAACACTATCTACAAACTACTTAATAAACTACGATTATTGAAAAATGCTAATACTTAACAGTTTTCGTGACTACACAAATTTATTGGCAGGATAACTATACCGAACTCGAGGATGTACCGCACTGCAGTAGTAGTCCTTAAAAATAAAACAAAGACGTTGAAAGGTGTCATCAAATACAGATTTCTATAGCGTTTAAATATTACGCTGTGTTCAATGTTAACGATTAATTATCTATTTTAATGGCAATTACTAAATTAAACGCACGGTCATCGCACTGCATATTTTAGATATCTGCAAGAGAATGTAGCGCGGGAAGTTTCTAGTATATAGGCAACACATATTACAGTTAAGTATAATTCAAAATAAATGCGTTATTCGGCATTATATATAACTTATATTTTGTTCAAGGTGAATAGTAAAAAACATATGGTTATTTATAAATTCTATAGATTTAAACTGATATTTTCTGTAATTAGTAACTAAACTATTGACAAATTTAATAATAATTACTAACATCAACTGTTTATCAAGCTATTTTAATTGTACACTTTGCGTTTATTTCTATAATAATAGCAAATCAATAGTTTTGTTATTATTATGAAAAATGCTTTCTCATTGGTTGACTGAAGATGTCATTTTGAATAACAAACTCTTCTAATTACATTATCAATAGTATTATCGTTATTGATAGTAGACAATAGACAAAACAACGATTGTAATATTCGTTAATAAGTGCGATTCTAAGCGCTGCATACAATGGACAAACGATAAACAAATTATGTAAATAAATGCAACCAACGCAACCACGCTGCTCGAAGAGTAATCTAGCATTCCGATACCCTTTGACCTGGATCGGCCTTGAAATATATCCGATTGCGATACGACTTATACAATATTTGTTGCTAGTACTGATTCCCTTGACTTATTTCCATTTCGATTGTTTACATTCAAATCGAAGCGTGCTATAAATTGATGGTTTTCAATATTCTTCGATAGATTAGCAACCGAAAGAAATTGAATTACGATATAAATTTGATATTTTATTTTGATCCCTATTATCAGTGAATTTGTTATTAGATGTATTTAAGAAACTATTTATAAAATGTTATAAATATATGTATATATATATAATATATATTGTGTTAATAAATTGTTTCAATTTTTGTCAGGAACCACAATTCTTGGATGAAAGAAACACAACGAATCCTAGTTTTTAAAGAGCGGCAGATTTTATAGTAAGGTGACGGCCGCCCACGTTGTTTCTATTCTCCACTACTGACCTAAAAGTTAGACGCTGTACCAGTTATACACGTCTCTCGTTAGAGAGATGGATATTTCTATCGAAATGGTTATAATTTGGTTTAGCACGCGAGTTCCAATTATAATTCGTTTATATTTGCATATGTGATTTCTTCTTTATTGAAATATCGTGCAAGTTTAAGAAGGGTTGAATCAAAATATTAGTAGTTTTCGGAACAACAAATATATAAATAAAATGATAAGACCCAATTTTACGGAGTCAGTCGAAAACGCGCGTTATCTCCAGCAAACACAAAAATATGTGGATAATGAAAGCAGCAAAGCAGAAGAGTTACAAAAAAAAAGAGAAAAAGAAAAGAGGCGACGAGAAGAGAGAAGCTGGCAAGAGAGATTGAACTTTGAAACGACTGCTGCGAGCGCGGTTTGGACTTTAGAAAATGTTTATTTTAATCTAAATCTCTGAAATAAACACGGTCTTAGCAGTAAGGTGGTGAACGACATCCGCGGTGCGCGAAAATTTATCAAAAAAAAATAATAATATTGTAATATAAATTGGCAAAAATTTTGTGCCAACAGGTGCAAAGATCTTTAAAAAATTCACGCCCAGATTATTTAACACTTATTTAATTGATTCTTGCATTTTCGTTTGCTGACGATAACTCAAAGTTCGAAACAACAAAGTACGCAATGTTGGCCAAAATTGTAAGGTCGAAGCCTCAAGTGGTGGATTTCTTACAGAGATCCGGCTGGGCCTCTTCGGCTGCCGCCCAAAAACTGGGCAGGCAACAGAGGAGAAGTCTGAGTGGAGGTATTATCACATCTCCTCTTGGTAGTACGATTAAGGTACCCCCGGTAAATTTGGTCGACTACGTTTGGAGCAAGTCTGATCAATGGATAGAGAAGCCGGCGGCCGTAAGTTGACTAAATCATTAAATTTAAAGTGTTCTAAAAACTTACACAAATCTCGTTGAAGACGTGCGCTGCTTCTGGTCGGAGCTACACGTACGGCATGATGCGGATGCTGATCAGCAGGTTCTCCCAAGCGCTCCTCGGACATTGCGGAATGAAACCCGGAGAGGTCGTCGGTATTCTACTACCAAACATCCCCGAGTATATCATCACCTGCCATGGTGCCATGGAAGCCGGGCTCGTCGTCACCTTCGTTAATCCTCTGTACACTCCTGGTAAACTCATATGCATTAATTTGAATAATACAAGAAATGCAATTTCAAATTCGCAGATGAGGTAAAGAGGCAGTTTGAGAACGCCGGCGTCAAGTTGATCATCACCTTCCCGTTGCTCGTCGAGGTTGCAACGACAGTTGGATCTCAACTTCCCAACTACAAGACGAGCATCTGCGTCGGCGGAGAGGACGACAAGGCGAACAACGTCCACGGCTTGCAGAGCCTCCTAATGGCCGGACACGAGGCTGAATTGCCAGGAATCAGCCCCATCGAAACTTGCCTTTTACCGTACTCCAGCGGTACCACGGGTCTTCCAAAAGGCGTAATGCTCTCGCACTACAATCTCGTTTCTAATCTTACACAGGGAGACAATCCCGCGCTCCTCGAAGAACTAAACAACGCAGGTAAAAATCATTCTCCTAAAACTAAAAATTAACCTGTTGATAAACAAACAAAAAGCAGGACCTATTACACTCACCTTGGGAACAGTTGCACGTTATTTTTTAAATCTAAATATACCCAATTATTACAGAAAAGCAAGAAAAGGTATTGACGGTGCTGCCGTTCTTCCACATCTACGGCTTCAACGGAATCATGAACTTGGTGCTGCGCGAAGGATTGCACATGATCACGCTCCCAAAATTCACGCCGGAGGAATACATACAGGCTCTCGCCACTCACAAACCGGAGTATCTCTTCGTCGTTCCATCGCTGATGCTTTTCTTGGCCTCCCATCCGGCCGTCACCAAAGAGCATTTGGCGTCTATCAAGAGCGTTACGTCCGGTGCGGCTCCAGCCACAGAAGGACTCCTGCAGAAGTTCAGGGAGAAGGTCGGACGCGACGATATCACCATCAGGCAAGGTAAAAGTTGATAAACATTCAGAAATTTGATCTTATATTGCTTTTACCTGGTCATTTTTGTAATACAAAAAGGATACGGTATGACTGAGAGTTCTCCGGTGACGATATTCATGCCTCTGATGACTCCAAGATCAAAGATAGGAACCGTGGGCGTGCTGTTGCCTGGAACGGAGGCAAAGATTCAGAGCCTCGTCACCGGCGAGGTGCTAGGCACTCACCAGCCAGGAGAGTTACTGGTCAAAGGACCTCAGGTAATAATCACCATCAACACCAAAGTTCCACTTATTGTTGTATCTCTTCATTTCTCAGATAATGTCCGGATACTTGAACAACGAGAAGGCGACGGCCGAGACCATCGACGAGGAAGGATGGCTGCACACTGGGGACGTGGCTTACTACGATGAGGACAGCTACTTCTACATAGTGGACAGATGCAAGGAGCTGATCAAGGTGAAAGGAAACCAGGTGAGTCTCTCGAGTTTTTTTACGTGTTTATTATTCGCATTTACAAAAAAAGAAAAAAAAACAAAAATCATAGTCGAACGGAACAGAAAAAGAAATATATATATATAAAAATTAAACAGTTTACACTTCATATACACACACATACAAGTCGAGTTCTTATTGCTGTTCCAAAAAGAAAAAAACACATAAATACTGAGATGCAAGGAATATTTCTTTTTCTCTTTTTCGTAACGAAAAAAAAATACAAACGAAAACATGTAAAAATTAAGAGTTTAAAAAATAGGCACTTATATTTTGTTTACATAGTATATATATATATATTATATCAAAGTGGATGGTGAATGATTGTGACTTAAGTAAAACAAAGTAATTTAAATTAAGAGGGCTTGGCGAGAAGAGGAGAATCGAATTAACCTAATGAACTTTCTCACTCACTCTCATTATTGGAGAAACAGTCTGTTGATAAAAAAGAAAGGAAAACGTCATCAGGGCTCTCTGTATGCTTGCTTATCGTCGTATGAATCCGCAGTATAAAATTTTATTTAATTTTATATAAAACCCTGAATATATCTACAAAGATAAGTTGAGGTTATACAAACTATATATATACGAAACGATCCTAAATCTAATTGGTGGTTTCAGTTTGAACGATTTCAGCTGAGGCAGTGTTTGTTGTTGATGGTTCTTCTTGTTGTGGTGGAGGTGGTGGTGATGGTGGTGTTGTTATTTCTGTTATTATTGTTGTTGGTTCAGGATCAACGTCCATGAGACTTACTTGCTGCTGTTCCTCGCATTCCTTCTCCGCTTCCCGAGTTTCGATCTTTTCCGCCGGCGGCTCCTCTATTCTGTGATCCATTTCTTCAGTCTGTACAGGCAGAGATTTTTCTTCCACTTCTGTCTGTGTTTCAATAACTTCTGGAGCTTTCTCTTCTTCCTCCTTGACAACCTCTTGCACTTGTTCTTCCACCAGTTTCATATCTTCTTCAACCACCTGCTCAGGCGCAGCTGAATCCACCACATGGACTTCCTCTATTTTAGGCTCCTCCTTATCCGCCTCCACTGGAACGTCTTCAATCATCTTGCACTCTGGAACTTCCGCACTTACAGCCATTTCCTCTTCCTCGACGTTCTTAACTGGCTCCAGTATAGTCTCCTCGATCTCAGGCGGCAATGATTTCACCGTTTCGAAGTCCTCCGTTAAGTTATCGCCTGCTCCCAACAATTCGGTACTCGCTAATTTAGTATCATTCTCACTGCTCGTTTCGTTATCGGTCATGTTAACGCTTTCTTCCTTACTCTTATTTACTACATCCTCACTACTGCTCTCATCAATCTTATCTTCTACAATGGAAGTTTCTGTTGTTTTGGGTTCTGCACTACTTGGCTCCTGTTCATTTGGTGGTTCTATGCTATCCCTACGTTTTTGGACTGGGGCAGGTATTGGAGTTATGGTAACACTGACATCTTCAGCTTCTGCAGGAGATTCATCTTGAACTATGGTTTCTGGAGCCTCGAGCACATACTCTGCTCCATAAGTTTTGTCAATTGGACAACAAGTAATCACAGTTTCTGAATTAGCTGCTTCAGCATCTGAGCTACTTGATTTTGCTGGGAAATTGTCCACAGCCATATCATTCTTAGATGTACTCTGAAAGGAAACAGTCTCAGTTTTTGGCCACACAGGTGAATCATCCATCTCCTCAATGTTAATCTCATTACTGGCATCTGGCAGGTGCTCGGTTTCAATGCCATTGATGAACCCATCCCCGTTCTCTGGTGTCCTATGATTGCCCGGCTCAGTGGTGCTGACCACCAGTATATTCTTCTCCAAAGCCCTCATATATTTGTCTATTCTATTGTACTCTTTGCGTGGTGTGGTCAGCAACTCGCAGATGCGCTGCACCGTGAAAGGGGCCGCCACAAAAGTATCCAGCTTCTCTAGTATAAATGTCTTCATTGTGTCATAGTTAAACAGGTCCACGTTCGGACACGGGGGTATATCGATGGACGGGCAGGACTCGTAGAACTCGGTAATAACATTAATTAACTTCTCGCGGAACAGACTTTTGATTACTGCCCACTGGTAAACAGGGTCACCAGTTTTGGCAACAAAACACAGATACTCCTCGAGCTCCCTCGGGATGTCCTTCGGCTTCAGTTTCGTGAACTCCTCCAGACTGTGCAGAATTTCCTCCGGATTTTCCATTGCTCTTTTGCCCTAACACTCACTTTTTTAGCGGCTTCTATAAAATTTTTAATAACGAACTTTGATCTAAAATACACAAAGATAGAAAAATGACCTTCTATTTGGTGCGTCAAACCGAATTGACGCACAGCACTGCCAACATTGCGGAAGATGAAACATCTATACCAACTTCAAGATCGATAACGTTAATAATTTTAAAATAATTTCAGGTGTCTCCAACGGAATTGGAAAATCTCATTTTAGAGATTGATGGCATTATAGATGTAGCCGTTGTCGGCATTCCAGATACCTTGGCAGGTGAAGTTCCAAGGGCATTTGTCGTGAAGAAACCTGGAAGCACGATAACCGAGGATGATGTTCTCTTGTACGTGAATCCTAAAGTGACTCACTACAAGAAGATAGCCGGAGGAATCAAGTTCATCGAATCCATTCCGCGTAATCCGAATGGCAAAATACTTAGGAATGAACTTAAGATTAAGTGTTAATATTTATAATTTAGGTTGATTTTTACAAATAATTATTTTTATACGCATTTTTTACTGTAATAATAGATAAATAATAAATAGTTATAATTTATATCTTCAAAATTTAAATTATTACAGCTATTACTATTAAACAAGTTTTGTTTATTTTTGATGAGAATTACTTTATTATAACAGTTTGATTTATGGGAATCGAACCAACGACCTTTCGTATCAGATTTTTGTGATACAGGCGATTATATCCACACGACTACGACCTCCCATTATAATAGTTAAATACTTCAAATAATAAATGAAAGAGAAAGAAATATATTTTGCCGGGTCTATATCGCAAGCTCGACATTGCAAGTCGGGATTTTGATATAGTCGGGATTTTGACATAGTCGAGATTTCGATATAGTGGAGATTTAGAACGTCGGAATTTCGATATAGTTGGGATTTCGAACGTCGGGATTTTGATAGACGGGATTTCGGTTGTCGGGCTTGCGATTGCCACTGATTTTGGCAACAAAGTTAGTTTGGGAAACTCTGATGAAAATTAGATTATTTGGTTGCATACCAACCCTGAGAATAATGAAGTTGGCTACGTACGAAGGAGACTGCAATGCTGCAATGGAGTTTATCAATTGACAAATAACATAGTATTATATTAATTTTTTTATTATCATATTACCTTAAAGAGTTTTGATGAGTGGTTAATGAAAAGGTCGCGAATATGTGGCACGAGGCAAGGAAACAGGAGAGGAAGATCCGTGGAATGTTGGTGGATTACAGGAAGAGAGCAGAAAGACGCCGGGATTTCTATGAGAAGATCGTAATAATCATAATGACTTACTGACCTAACACATTGCCTAAACTTTATTTTTAATTCTTCCTTAGAAAGCAGATCCTACTCAGTTCTTGCAGGTTCATGGCAGACAATGCAAAATCCACTTAGATCCAGTGATTGCTGCTGCTGCGGATGGACCTGCCACAATGTAATAACACTTGTCTTCATACAGTACTAATTAATTGACTTTTATTTCTTTGTAGGATGCCATGGCAAGGGCAAAAAGAAAATTTGATTGATAGGTTTGATGTTAGAGCACATTTGGATTTTATCCCAGCTGTGAAAAATGATGATGATTTTGAGATTACATATGAGGAGAGGCAGATTAACTATGAGAGGTATAGGATCATTGCTCAGAACTCTTTTTTGGCTATCAGCGAGGAGAAGTTCTTGAAGCAGTTACATTTGGAGGAGCAATTTGGATACACAGAGAATGATCCTAAACCTAAGAAGAAAACTGGTGGAGCAGCTATTGGCTTCAATTACGAAGACGGCACTGGACCAAGCCCATCGACGATACAGTATCCTATAGAGGAAGAGAATTCTGATGAGAATTCCGATAGCGATTTGGACGTGGATTTGTCGATTAACGTCTCTAAATTGGACCAAGGTCAGGCGCACGAGATGAATAGGCACGGGAGGAATTTCGGAATGAGTTCCAATGATTTTTATTCATTCTTGACACACGATTTGGAGGAGGCTGAGAGCTTCAGGTTGGCGAAGGAAGAGGAGCACGAGAAGGCGCTGTTTTCTGGGAGGAAATCTCGCAGGGAGCGTAGAGCGCACCGAGAAAAGAGACTTGCTAACAGAAAGATTAGTCCACCGAGCTACGCCGCTAGAGAACCTGTAAATGTCTTGGAGACTCATCAGAAGTCAGAGTCACGTTCGCCGTCACCTGAAAACACGGGTAAAATTACATTCATAACATCTTTCGGCGATGAGGAGGAGCCTCAGATGCCCAGCAAACCAACTTACGCGGATAAAGTAAAGTACGGGAGTCGCTTGAAACGATTGAGGGAGGATAGCGAGGAGCGTGTGGTGTTCAGGGATCTGAACACATTCAAGAGATCGCGCAGTCGGGATCGCAGTTTCCGCAGGAGATCGAGACGGTCGACTTCACGTTCGAAACGTTTCCGGTCCAGACGATCATCTTCCTCTAGCTCCGAAAGATCTCGTCGCTCTCGAAGGCGACGGTCACTTTCGCGCAGCAAAAAGAAGAGCATCTCGAAGTCGCCGAGCAAGTCTCGAAGTACTTCTCCGGCTTGCAGCATTCCGGTCCCTCCTAAGAGGGAGGAGTCACCGCCAAAACTAGTAACTCGGTATTACGGACGCAGGAAGAGCGATCTCAGCTCTTCGGATATCTGTGATTCCAGCGAAGACGACCACGCATTGGAGAAAATCGAATCAAATTCGTTAGTTGAATCGAAACCTTATCAGGTTTCTTTCCACCCTGAATATTTCGCCTAATTCGCTTTTTTTTTCGTTCCACAGGGTTTCTCAAAACTCTATATCCAAGACTGGTAATTCAGGCTCATCATCCAAAGTCAGTAAGAACCTCTCAATATCTCTCTTTCATCCAAAATCAAATAATACCAACCAAACAAACTCTTCTCCTGCATTCTCTTTAACCATACTACCGATCAGCTGCAAGGACTGCAATACCAATAATAATACAAAAACTAATTATAATATTCATGGTAGAATTTAACTTGATCAGCTAAATATTTCATTTAAAATCATTTCAACTAATACAATTTGGTATTGTAATCTTCCAGATCAAACCATAATAAAGCGTATTTTATCCAATCCTTCGTTGGAGACCTATTAATATTGGAAATATTTTCAGAGTGGGAACAGTACCTCGGCAGCGGCGGCGGCGGCTGCAGCTGCAGCAGCCAGTGTACAAAGCACGAGTTTAAGTCTGCAAGAGCGGCTTAAGAGAAAACGACAGGCCTTATTGAATAAACAATGTAAATAGATTGATTCCATCGAATGTCATCTTGTTTCTATTCATTTTTATTTTATTGGCAGTTAAAGCAGATAAAATCGCCGAGCAGATGAAGACGGAGCGCGAGAAGCAGGAGCAGCAAACTCGTGAGGACGAACTACGGGAAATGGCAATAAAACTAAGACGAAAGTGAGTCTACCAATAAATTATCTAATTTAATTTTTTGTGTTGCTTAAATTAATCATATGTAACTTTTGTCATATTCAAATACTTCTATAAAACATTTTTTTTTGTTGCAGGCAAAGAGAGCGACGGCATGCGTACGAGAGTAACAGCTCGGATAACTCTTCGGACAATGAGGCTGGGAATGCCGGGTCTTCTACATGCGACCGGAGAAGTCGCAGTACTTCGCCAAAGTCGCATCAATCCAGGAGTTACAGGGATCGCAGGTCGCGTGATCGCGAATACCGTAAGTCCGATAAGGATGACGATTATAGGAGGAATCGGTCGCGGGGTAGGAGTCGCGATCGGCACCGGAAATCACCGTCACGTGAAGAGGACCGGAAGCAGCGAGATGATTACGATGACAGACGTCGGGACGAGTACAGCAGACGCAGTAGGGACTACAGGAACGATGATCACAAACGGAGCGACAAGGATAAGGACAGGGAGGAGCGATCCTCTGGTCGCGGTTTAGTGGATTATTGAGATCGTCTTTCTAAAATTGTTTACGACATACACACACGATGATTATCAATATTTACGTTAATGGATTGCGAGAAACGTCGCTTTTATTTTCATGGAATTTGCGGATGAAGGCACTGAAAGTTTATTTTTCTTTGTATTTGTATTCTTTACATCATTTTTTTTCTGTCTATATATGTTTTTTGTTTATGTATTAATAAAATGAAATGAGCGGTAGAGGAGAGGATTCTGCGTATGTATTTATTGTGAGGGTTGGTCTCGTGAATAAAATATGTTTGCGGGAGGTGTGGAAAACTGCCGTTGCTGAATGTGCGCGACGACCACCACCCCCAACTTACATCCGCCCTCTCGCGTTGCCTCCTTTCGAGGCACACGCGTCTCCGGGGACCGGACATAAAATGTCCTGAAATGTCTTGTGGCTACATGCTACGAAGGGCTAAGAAAGTCATTTGGCGACTGGTCCGCACCTGAGACGACGTCCCTAAACCACCCTCTTACAACCCTTAAAAACGGTTTTCGCTTCTTTTAATGAAACCTCCATCCTTTATTTAACATCGTCATAATTTTAATCCTTATGCAAATATGTCGATTCACAATTTGGGAAAAACAAAATTACCAACAACCACTTTGATCTGTTCTTCATGCAACAACATTCGAACTTGCATAATTGTTCTATTCGAATTATTTATATAAATATTAAAGTCATAAAATAAGTTTTTTTTTTATTATTTATAAAGCAATCTATCTACAATAAAAATAGAAAAATTAAAAACAGATAACATGCTCTAGTTCTGGGTTTATTGTAAGAGAAATTAAAAATATATATTGGAGATTGATGCAGCGACCAAACTCCACAGAGTGCTTATTAAAGAAAAATTCACGAATACATACACGCAAACATGTCTTATTGTTAATTTAGGCACTAACTTAAAAGCGATTAGGAAGGTCCTGTGGTTTGAATCGTTTCAATCTTCGTCGATGGGATTCAGTGTGCGTAAGTTCAGAAGCAAGTTGGTTTGGATGGTCCTCCAGCCAATGTTGGTATTTGCTGCTGAGTTCCGTTATTTCATCCTTCACAAATCGGACTCCAGTGTATTGATGGATGTATTCGTTAGTCGAGAACCAGGGAGCATTGGCAATTGCTCTGAGCGGTTTTGATTGGAACCGCTGTATGATGTCGATACTTGTGTTACAGGCAGATCCCCATAGTTGTAGTCCATAAGTCCATATTGGTTTTATTATCGTCTTATAAATTAAGACTGTTTTCTGCTGAGATGGATACCCATCAGCCAATGCAATCTTTTTACTCAGTCCCAGCTGTTTTCTTTTTGTCGCTTTTTCCAAGTGAGACAACGATCCACTGCCCTTCAGTGTAACGGGTGGACAAGTTTGTTGACGTATTGTGTACGTTACATGCACCGACTTAGTTTCATTAGCCCTAATTCTCCACTTTCTGAACCAATGTTCTATGCTATTCAGACTTCTTTGGTGTATCTGTGAGGCCGTAGTTTGGTTTTGGTGGGATGCTAGAACAACGGTGTCATCAGCAAATGTGGCTATAGTGGCGTGCTGAGGAGTTGGTAAATCTGCCGTGAAGATCAAATAAAGTAAGGGTCCATAAACACTTCCCTGCGGGACACCAGAGTGGATTGGGCGTAGTGTGGTCACTTCGTCCTTGTGCTTGACCTGGAAGTGCCTACCAGTCAAGTACGATTTGAATATGACGTAATATTCATGTGGGAGACACTTTTTAATTTTATATAGCAATCCTCCATGCCATACTCGGTCGAACGCCTGTGAGATGTCGAGTAAAGCGGCAGAGCAGTACCTCTTCTCCTCAAGACTTTTGCCAATCACATCTACCACACGATGCACCTGTTCCACAGTGCCATGTCGCTCACGAAATCCGAACTGGTATTCCGGAATCAGATGACTATCCAACAGCCAGGGCTTCAGTCTTCGCAGCAACAGCTTCTCGAACAGTTTAGACAGTACCGGCAGGAGGCTGATGCGTCTATATGAAGACGCCGCGTCCGTTTGTTTTCCAGGTTTGGAAAACAAACGGACTATGATTTGGGCTACCTTCCACTGTGATGGAAATATACCGAGTCTCAGGATTGCGTTGAAGATAAGCGTTATTACCCTATTGCCGATACTGGGGAGCTGCCTCAAGACCTCTGCTGTAATCAGGTCATATCATAAAATAAGTAATTGGATTTTAACTTAGTTTCATTGATTTTATTTAAAGAAAGTAAAATTATATTTTTTCATCCTCATTTTCAATAAAAACTAAAATGTTCATTTATTTTAATATAAAAATACATAAAAACTTAAATTTTCACTGAAATTATAATTTACTGAGAAAAATAAATATTTCCGGTAACCGACCTAACAGAACACACCAGGACAGAACGTGATACATCAGGACAGGACATAACAGTACATGATACAAGAGAACAGGGCAAAAGAAAACTAATTAAAAAAAGAATAGCGAAAGCAGTAATAGTATCAAAAGAGAACAACATAGGACATATAGAAAAAAATAAATCGATTAAAATTTCAATAAATGATAAAGCTTTATATTTAAATAATTAATTATAAATTTATTTTAATATTTTCTCTATTATCATGAATGGTACGCGACATCAAAATAAATATAAATTATAAAATTAAAAAATACATTATACAACAAAACAATTACAATATATACAGTGGAATTCGGACTTGCTGGAAGCATGCTGACCCGTCTTGTATGATAACCGCGGTATAAACGAATTGACATTTTGAAATTTACTTTATTATATTTATATATTTTCATGAAATATAAATATAAAAAAATAATCATTCAGAGAACTAAATCTAAATTTCATGATACAAATATACATATACAAAATATTTGTATAATTATATCATGTCAAAATTATGTATAATTTTATTTATTTGACCTCTAAAAGTTATCTACAATAATAACTCGAAATATATAAATTAAATTTATAATTTGAATCTAATTAAATCATGATATAGATCACTATTACATGATGTCAAATTAGATAAAACGCTGAAAAACTCCATTAGTTGTAATGTATTATGTTGAAAAAAAAAGTGAAATTTTCTGATGCCAAAAAAGCCTTTGTTTATAAACAAAGGGTTGCAATTTCCGGCGCGACATATGCGCGGTAAATTTAATTAAAAACATGTATTGAATTCATTTTTTTTTATGTCTGTTGGACCATTTTCTGAGGCAACCCGTTAAGACGACATGTGTGGCCGCGGAAAGGGGTTGAAGGAATGAATAGAAAAAAGCAACGAAAAAAGATCCATCAATTCCTGTAATAAATCAACAACGGTGACTAGGATTCCCGTACAATATGTTTATTTCCTTGGGTCATTTATTTTTGCGTGAGTTGATCTATGTGTAAGAGGAAATATTCATAATAATGATGTTAATCATAGTAAACAGACATAAAAATAATATTAAAAACTAAACTAAATTGAAGTAATCGTCGTGGTTAACTGGATTCGAAAACACACATCATCAAAAGGGATTCCACTTGGTTTGGTACGCGTTTGTCCTCTGCGGACGCTCCAGCAGTTTCGGTTCATTGTTTTCATTTTTCTTGCGGAAAATAGCGCCATTGTTAACACGTCTTTATATACGTTCTTATGTCCATAATAAAGAGGGGAAGTTGTTGTATATTTATTTTTAAAACACACATTCCACTGCATGATAACAAAGCTATTCGGTTTTATAGCGTATACACATGCAAGGGACTCGCACCGCACGAGAAGAACATGCGGATGTCGTGTTAAGTCCAACCCCCACCGACACACACACACACAAACACACATTCGTACACCCATATGCAAACACATACACATACATGATCGTAATGTGAAAGGAATATGTTTGGCGAATAGACAAATCCGCGCTGTTACGAATTTTATAGGACATCTGTGATTCCATAAGAATAAACCAAGTTGCGGTGGATGTAAGAATCGAACGACCAATGGATGTCGAACGCGAAATCCCTTTTCGATTCTACGACCGAAACTTAAAAACGCGCGCTGTTTTCTTTCGAAATAAAAACCAACAACGTCTCACCTTCAACCAACCCCCCAAAATCCAACCCCGAAGAGAATAAGAAGAAAAATATAACGACAAACAAAAAAAAACGTATGCGCGAGTCCCGCCATCAATTTAACATTACTACATTATATAAATATAAAAATGGGAGCGACAACTTTATGAGTCTTCCTTATGGTTGGATTTTTTATGTCTCGGAACGCCACTACCTCATTATTATTATTTCACTTCCTTCAATCGCAAAATAAAATTTCTATTAAAATCATCAGTTTCTTACTTGTTGCATTGTTCATTATTGTATGATGGCATCAATCAAATACAGTAAAATGCCGATTATCCGTGGTAATTCGGGAACGTTAAAGCAAGGATATCTACCATATGTATTGATATAGAAAAACACATTTTCAATCATTTTAAAAGATAATGTATAAGTTTTTATTATTATCCTTATCCTATTTACTAATTGGCAGATTTGTAGAGACAGTTTTAGTGCTTAGCTTATAAAATAAGTAAACCACGGTAAATGGAGACCCGAATAATGGTTGATTCCTAAATTATTTTGTAGAAATTTATTAAGAATACAATCAAATGATTAAAACAATCGAAATATTGGATAAATGCGTATTATGGCATTTTTTATATTGATTTTATACTATAATATTCGGAAAGATCGTGTAAACTGCTGGTGATGCAAAAATATGTATATGTTATGTTGTTCCATTTAAAAAAACTCATTTTCATTGCAAAATGGTAACATTTCTTTTATGACGCTCATGCAGCTCTTAACAAGCAAAACAAATTGTAACAAAAGATTACAAGCTTAACGTGTGATGAGGAGAAGAAAAGTCACGGATTGTGCGTCTTCAACATCATCTTCAAAACTTGTTATGTGTGTTTTTTGTGAAAAATTAAAAAAATACCTTGCAAAAATATCACAGAAGAAAAATCCGCAATTAGACAGCCATAAGAAAATAAATTCGCATTCCAGGTTATTTCATAACACAATAGAAGAAAAGATGATGATTTACGCTCCTTAAAAAAAAATATATATATATATATATATACAGTGGAACCTCGCATAACGAGCATTTCGCTTAACGAGCAAAATTATAAGAAAAATTACTCGCTTAACGAGCGACGTTTCGCATAACGAATGACAATAAGAAAAGAAGTCCCGGATTGCGCGCCTGTTACTTCATTTTTAAAATTTGTGTACAATTATTATGTGTATTTTTGAATATGTTTCACTATACGAGTAAAAATCCGAAAATTTTGAAACAGATTAAACTCGTTAAGCGAGGTTCCACTGTATATATAATTTTCTTTACATGCATTAATACGATAATGCATTAATTTATATGGGAAAAAGAGTGTTTTGCAGTTAGATTCTGGAACGGATTATTTTCATTAAGCCATGTTCTACTGTACTATAAAATAATGAAAATAAA